GACGTACGCGAGTCGAGCCAGCGAAGACGCTCCAGGCTGACGAGTCGTCTACTCCCGCCGTCGTGCCGCCCTCGGCTCGTCGCACGCCGAGTCGGCACCCATGCTCTCGACTGCGTCGGCACGACGCCCTGCCCCGGTCGCCGACGCTCGGCGCGCCCGACGTCGAGACGGGCGTCGCAGGTGGGCGGCCCAAGAGCGAGGGTGCGGGCGCGGTCGGGCCCCTCGAGCGCGCCATGGACGCCCTCTCGGTCAACGGCGGCAGCGGCGGCGGCAGCGGCGGTATGGGAGGCGGCACGCGCAGCCTCCACTCGTCGCCGCGCATGACGGCGCCGCAGGTCGTCGCGCCGCAGCCGGTGCACCCGCCGCCCGTGCCCGAGGTCGGCTGGGCCGAGGGCAGCCCGCCGCCGCCGGTCGAGAAGGACCTCGCGCCTGCCGCGACGACGACAGGCGCCAGGCGGGCGAGCTTTGACGGGTCGTCGTCGTCTGCGGCGGCGGCGGGAGGAGCTGGCGCGAAGCCGGCGTTCGGGACGAGCATCTGGGGCTGAGGGCGCAGCGCGTGTGCGACGACGGGGTAAAGAGGGTCCTCTGGGTTCTGGGTTCTCTGCTTTTCCTTTTTCTGTTCTCTCCTCTCGGTCGGGGCTCTGCCTGCTGTGGTTAGACGAGCGTTGTTGGGCGCGGCCGCTGCGTCGCGAGGTGGATGGACACTTTCCAGGGTTAGACGGTCGCGCTCTCGCTGGCATTCTTATTCTCTTGTGCACTCTCTCGAGGCGAGGTCGAGCGAGAGGTTGACATTGCTTGCGAAGCGAGAATGACTTGGCCGTGAGCGAGCGCGAGCGGGGAGCGGGGCTTGACCTCGTCCACTCTGCTCGCTCCTCACAGCTCGCTCGCGAGGGCCGCCGAGATGGCGCAGCCTCCTCCAGCGAGTGCAGGCGACCCACTCGACGACGCAGACCTCGAGTTCGAGGCCGCCCTCGCCTCCCACGACCTCGCCTCCGCCGCGTCACCCAACTCGCGCACCTCGACCAAGGCGTCGGCACCCTCGGGCGACTACCGCGATGGCGCCATGTACGAGCCAGTCGGCTTTGGCGAGTTCGGCGCCTACATGCGCAACAAGCGCGCCAAGCTCCAGGTGCAGAACAAGGACCTCGTCGAGCAGGCCAAGGGCCTCCCGCAGATCTTCCGCGGCTTGCACATCTACGTGAGCAGCCTGCCTTCATTCTGTCCAGCTCGCATGAGCGCACGCTCACATGCCGAGCGCGGCCCCGCAGATCAACGGCTACACCGACGGCATCACCCTCCCCGAGCTGCAGAACCTCCTCATCGTGCACGGCGGCGTCTACGTCCCCTACCTCGACCAGAAGAGCCTCGTCACCCACATCCTCGCCGCCAATCTCACCCCGTCCAAGCGCCACGAGTTCCGCGACTACAAGGTCACGACGCCCAACTGGCTCACCGACTCGGCCAAGGCCGGTCGCCTCCTCGACTGGCGCGACTACTCGCTCCTCGCCCCGGTCGATACGCCGCCGCTGCCCAAGGGCCTCGAGGCGACGGCGGGCGCGAGGGCGGCCGAGGACGCGGCGCGTCTCGGGACGCAGACGGGCCAGCGCAGCCTGTTCAGCATGGGCGTCGGCAAGGGCAAGGCCAAGCCTGCCCTGACCGAGACGCGCGAGAGCCTCGCCGAGCGCGGCGCGAGGCTCGGCAAGGAGGCGCTCGAGGCGCAGGCGAGGGCGCAGGCACAGGCGCAAGCCCACGCCGCCATCGCCTCCTCGTCGTCGTCGTCGTCGAGCGGCATTGGCGCCTACTTCGCCGCCGGCCGCGGTGCGGTCTCGAGCGCCTCGTCGGCCCGGTCGCCGACCAAGCTCTCGACGTCGTCTCGCCCGACGACGCCGACCAAGCTCGAGCAGCAGCCCGTCGCCGCCGACGCGTCCGACCTGCCGTCGACGCCCGACCGCGCCGCCGCCAAGCTTCCCGCGACGACCGACTCTGCCGAGAAGCCGACGGCCGTCACGCGCTCGTGGCTCCCGCAGGCGCAGCGGTCAGAGCGGCAGAACGCGCTCCTCGGCGACCAGGACTGGCTCATGCGCCACACGTCGTCGTCGGTCGACTTCCTCGCCGGGTACTTTGCCCAGTCGCGCCTCCACCTCATCAGCAACTTCAAGGAGGACCTCAAGATGCTCGTCGCGGCGACGCAGCAGTCGCTCCCGTCGCGCAAGAAGAAGCTCACGGGCCGCGCGAGCGACGGCCGCACCGTCTTCCACGTCGACTTTGACTGCTTCTTCGTCTCGGCCGGTCTCACGTCCCGTCCTGAGCTACGCGGCAAGCCGATCTGCGTGTGCCACTCGCGCGGCAACGCCGATGCGGCGTCGAGCACGAGCGAGATCGCGTCGTGCTCGTACGAGGCGAGGGCGTGCGGCGTCCGCAACGGCATGAGGTCCGTCCCTCGTCTCTCTCTTTCGGTTGTCAGAGCAACGTCGTACAGCGCCCTGACTCTCGTCGAACCCGCTTGCAGTCTTGGCCGTGCGAGGGAGCTCTGCCCAGAGATCCAGACGATGCCGTTCGAGTTCGAGCTGTACAAGAGGTGCGCTCTACCTCTCTCTCTGTCTCGCTTCTACGTACTCTCGACGAGAGCTCCACCTGACTCGAGCCCGACGTGCGCAGCATCTCGATGACCTTGTACAGCATCCTCCTCAAGCACGCGTCGTTCCTCCAGGCCGTCTCGATCGACGAGGTCCTCATGGAGATCAAGGTCGAGCCGACCATCCTCCGCGAGCACGACCCGGCCCTTGAGCGCGCTCAGCAGATCCGCGCCGAGATCTTCGACGCGACGGGCTGCCCGGCCTCGATCGGCATCTCGCACAACATCCTCCTCGCCAAGCTCGCGACGCGCAAGGCCAAGCCGGCCAACGCGTATCACCTGCTCGCCGAGGAGGTCGACGAGTTCATCGCGACGCTCGGCGTCGACGAGCTGCCCGGCATCGGCTGGTCGATGCGCGACAAGCTCAAGGCGCAGCTCGGCGTCGAGACGGTCGGCGACCTGCGCAAGGTGCCGCCGCACAAGCTCGCCAAGGCGATCGGCCCCGACAACGGGCGCAAGTTTGCCGCGTTCGCGCAGGGCGTCGACGACCGCGAGCTCGAGCTCGGCAAGGCGCGCCAGTCGGTCTCGACCGAGGTCAACTACGGCATCCGGTTCCCGGTCGACCGTCACGACCTCGTCGAGCGCTTCGTGCGCCAGGTCGGCGTCGAGACGGCGAGGCGGCTGCGCGAGCAGGGCCTGCAGAGCCGCCAGCTCACGCTCAAGGTCATGCAGCGCCACCCCGAGGCGCCCGTCGAGGCGCCCAAGATGCTCGGCCACGGCTGGTGCACGACCGAGAACAAGGTGTCGACGCTCGCAGGCCGCAGCGGCGGTGCGACCGACGACGGCGACATCGTCGGCGAGACGGCGTGCAAGCTCATGCGCTCCTTGCAGGCCCCGCCGCACGAGCTGCGCGGCATCGCGGTCCAGTTGTCGAAGCTCGAGAAGGACGGCGTCCCGGTCGACCGAGTCCTCGAGAAGGGCCAGTCGCGCCTGTCGTTCAAGGTCGCGCCCCGACCTGCACCTCCTCCGATCCAGGCCGCGCAGCCGGTCGCGCCTGTCGCCGCACCGCACCTCGCCTCGCTCGGCGCCACCTCGACGCTCTCTCGTGCCACCGCCTCGACATCTCGCGCTCGCCTCCCGAGCACGTCGCCTCCTCCGCCTGCGCCGCAACGCGGCTCGTCGATCGAGACGGTCACCCTCACGTCGAGCCCGACGGACGACCCCGACGCGCCCTCGGCACCACTGCCGGCGGCGCAGTCGAGCCCCGCACGACCCGCTCGCGCTCTGCGCAAGGAGCCCTCGGCCATCGTCCTCGACAGCACGGACGACGAGGTCAACGACGCTCGTCCCGCACCACCTCGTGCCGCGTCGGCCGCTTCGCTCGGTCCGCTCCGCAGCAAGACTAAACGGAGCCGCACGCCCGAGGTCGTCGTCCCCCACATGTTCCGCACGACCAAGCGCCGCAAGGCCGCCGCGCCGACGTCGGCGTCGCAGGTCGACGACGCCGAGCTCGTCTACTACGAGATCGACCCGGGCGCGTTTCGCTCGTTCGACCCCGCGCTCCGCGAGGAGGTCCTCGCCGACGCACGCCGCCGCAAGCCCGCTCCTCGCAAGGACAAAATCAAGGGCAAGCCGCGCGACCAGGCCAAGGAGACGACGCCCGTCACGACCGAGCTTCCCGCCGACAGCGCCTTGCCCAAAGCGCCTCGCCCACCTCCCGACGTCGTCGTCCTCCCGCCGTCGCCGTCCAAGATGACCGACTCGCAGCTCGTCGCGATGGAGATCGAGCCGGACCTCTTTCACGCGCTCGGCTCGGCGACGCAGCGCGAGTACGTCAAAGCCGTGCAGCAGCGCAAAGCTCGTCTCGTCGTCGGCAACATCGGCGGCGGCGGCGGGCGCAAGGGCTCGGACGGCCGGCCTCGTGCGCCGGTCCTAGACGTCCCTGTGCGCAGGCCGCCCCGCTTCGGCGGCCAGGTCGACCTCGACGACATCGAGGACCGCATCGAGGTGTGGGTCCACACCGAGCGCGACGGTGCGCCCAACGGCGCCGACGTCGACAAGCTCGGCCGGTTCGTCGAGAAGTGCGCGGCGAGCGACAAGGGCCACGACCTCAAGAAGGCGACCGACGTGCTCAAGTGGTGGAGCTACGTCCTCGAGGTCGAGGTGGGCAAGTGTGCCACAGCCGAGGGCACGGCGGCGCTCTGGTGGGACGGGTACGGGCGCGTGAGGGAGCGCCTCGAGTGGCTCGTCCTCAAGGAGACGGGTTGCAGGCTCAAGATTTTCTAGCTCCCCTCTTTTCTCTCTCTTTGTGCGCTTCCTCCGTCGCTTTGTCGTTGTAATCCGATTCGTCGTTCCTCTCCTCCTCTCGCGTCGTGCGCCTCCCGCGTTGTGGCCCTCTCCTCTCTCGCCTCTTCTTGCGAGCGTGCTCCTGCGAGGGCAACGCTCGAGACCGCTTTCTGGCTTTCGTCGCCTCGGTCAATGAGCCATGCGGACCATCTCCAAGTTGCACGCCAGACCTTACTCGCCCTCGCCGCCATCGTCCTCCTCGCCCTCAAGGTCCTCCCACGAAGGCCACGCCTCGTCGACCTTGACGCCCTTCTTCGACCCTCGGCAGATGGCGTCGCACGCCGGCAGCTTGTCGAGCTCGTCGCAGGTGTGGACGTGGTCGAGAGCGCGAGGCAAGTCCCAGTCGCGCCAGTGTGTCGCGTCGGGAAAGTCAAAGTTGATGATCTTGACGACGGGCGCACGGGCCGACGAGAATGAGGGCGAGCGCAGGAGAGCGAGGAAGGAGGTGAGGGTATCGGTATGGCGCAGGTCTGCGGGCGAGTGCGAGGCCGTCAGGCCAAGACTGAGAGAGAGAAAGAGATGACGTGGCGGACGCACCCAGCTCGACGACCTCGGCCAGCGAGGCCACCTTCTCGTTGCGCCTGCGCAAGTCCTCCCCGCTCCACTGCACGTCGAGCCGCAGCCGAGACCCAACTCCCTCGCCGTCCTCGACCGCCGAGCTCGACGTACTCGGTAAACCGAGAACGCTCCCGCCGACGAGCTCGCGCGCCGCCCAGGCCGGGTACCTCGGCTCGACGATGGGCACGCCGAGCGCTTCGGCGATGTGCGGGATCGGGAACGACGAGTAGATGCGGCGCGTCTGGCGCGAGGTGGACGAGGAAGACGGCTCGAGGTTGAGGAAGGTCGCGTGCGTCGGCGGGAGGATCGTGCGGGACGTGTAGTGCCTGTCGAGCCGAACTGTCAGTCGATGTCTCAGGAGGAGGAGAAAGGAGAGAGGGGACGCACGCCGCAGTGAGGAGGATCTTGAAGAGCTGCTCGACATCGTCGCGGTCGCCGCTCAGGTGGTCGACAGTAAGCAGGGGCGGTGGCTCGGTGTAGTACCGCTCGACGTCGCTCCAGAAGCCCTGCGATGTCGTACGAGAGTCAGGTCGGAAGCGAGCGAGACAGGAGAGAGAGAGAGAGAAAGCGAGGGCGTACCTGCGCCTTCGAGACGTAGACCTTGGTGCGCGTGTCGTCGCCGCAGGTCATGTGCAAGTACAGCGAGTGTTGCCGTGCCGCATACGGGCGGTCGATCTCGAAGTGGTGGCTGCGGAAGAGGTTGTCGTCGAGGACGTGGACGCGCAGGCCGTTCTTGGCGACAAAGTCGGCGAGGAGCGGTTTCCGACGAGGGTCGCCGCCGTCGAGGTGCTGCCGCAGGAGGGCGGTGCCGAGGACCTGTCGAAGAAGGTGTCAGTGATACGCAGGTGAGGAGAGGTGGGAGGGAGGGGGGTGCACCTCGTTAAAGTTGTTCTGGTCCCGGCTCGTCTTCTCCAGGTCCATCTTGAGCACCTCGTGCCAGGCGTCGGCCGCGGTCTGCGAGCGTCGGATCCACATCCAGCCTGTCGTCGTAGAGAGCCGAGTGATTAGTCCCAGGGCTGGAAGTAGAAGGCGGACGAGGACGCACCAGTGTTGAAGTGGTCGAACGAGTCGTTCTCCTGCGCGACGAGGTCGTGCGTCGCCATGAACGGCTCCATGTACGGGTACGGGTCGTAGCGAAAGGCGACGTCCGAGTCGACGAAGAAGAGGTCGCGATGAGGAAGGACCTCGATGAAGGCTGCGAGGGGAAAGGAAAGTTAGTGAGGGAACGATGAGAGGGTCCGTGAGAGCTGACGCAGGCGCACCTGCGAGTTTTGGCCAGGTCGAGACGCTGCGCACGACGTCGAAGGTCAGTCGAGGATGCGAGTAGACGCGGCGAGGACGCTTGAGCGGCCCGGGCCTCGTCGCGAGGAAGAAGGGGAGATCGCGACTGACAGGATCTGCGAGGCTCGGCAGGGAAGTCAGTCTCTGCTGCGTGTCGATACGCTCCCGTACGGACCGGGCGCCGAGAGGGAAAGAGAGAGCGTCTTGACGCACCTTGTCGGGCCGATTCCACCTCCAGCCGCCGTACGCGTACCCGCCGCCTGCGTCCCGCCCGTGCGCGTCCTTGTACTTGGCCACCTCGTCGACGCACCCGTCGTCGAGACACATGACGACGAGCCTCGTGTCCCTCACGCGGCCCTCGCGCGCGCCGTACCGCGCCCTGCGCTCCGAGTTGAGCCGCTCGACGAACGCGTGCAGCGCCGCTGTGCCCGTCCTCGCCCACAACGCGTCGGCCATCGTGAGCCAGACATGGGGCTGCTGCGCGAGAGGCCGTGTCGGGGGACCAAAGTGCGAGTCGAGGTAGGCCGAGAGCGAGACGGAGGGGTCGTTGGAGGCGGCGGAGGCAAGAGGGTGGAAGAGGCCGGCTCGAGGGGTGCCATCGGCGGCGGCGCGCTGCGGCGAGACTGGAGGGAGCTTGAAGGAGCGACTGTGCGCAGGCGAAGGCGACTGGGTCGAGTAGTCGTGGCCACGGTCGCCGGCTCGGCGGACGATGGGGGCGCCGAGGAGGAGGATGGCGGCGATGGCGGCGGCGAACAGCTTCTTGGCGCGAGGGCTGAGGCTCGCAAACGCGTGCAGGAGCGCTGCCGGGGTGGCCGGGAACGAGGGCGAGTCGGACCCGCTCGGGCGATGAGATGAGGGCGGCGGGAGCGAGATGGAGGGCGGCCGGGTCGGGAGCAGGGCGAAGCGCGGCCGCTGCGTGCTGTACTCGGCATCGAGCCCGAGCCTGGCCATGCGCGCTGGCGGTGTCGAGAGCGAGGCGGTGGCCGTTAGAGTGGGAACCGGCGTCGCCAAGGCGTCTCGGCCGACGAAGGTCAGAGTCGACGCGTCGACGTCGCGTGCCTTTTCGTCCTTGTCGCTCATGGTCACGCTCGCACAGAGAGAGAGAGGGCTCAGACGGCTTCGTTTCTATCGCGGCTCGACAGAGGGGCATCTACACGTCGTCGGCGGTCCCGCCGCCTCCCGCCTCCTCGTTCCTCCCGCTCGCTCCTCTTCCGGCCCGCGCTCACGACTCGCCCTGCACGCGGTCCTCGTTGGCGTACGCCTGCACCTTGGAGAAGAAGAACGGCTTGCTCGGCCGGATCGGCAGCTCCTCGAGCTCGAGCGTCTGCCGGTGCTCGGTCGCCATCGACAGCATCTCGAGCTTGTTCCTGCGAGCGCGCACGCACAGTGGCTTCGAGTCAGGCGCCGTTCACTCGCTGTCGGTGACGAGGAAGAGAGAGAGAGAGGGGGACGCACATCCTGCCTCGAGCCGTGCTCTTGAGCTTGCACTGGATCCGGAAGCTGTACTTGGGGTCCTCGACCGCCGGGTCCTCGAGCCCCCACAGCTCGACGAGCTCGCCGCGCAGGCGCCATCGGCCGAATGTGAGGCCCTTGAGGCGGAGCGTCGGGTTCAGCTTGCGCACGACTTGACCGGGCGGGTCGGTCGTGAGCAGCGAGAGGGCGAGGCCGTGATGGTAGAAACCTGCGGACACGTCGAGAGAGGTCGGTCGAGGGAGGACGAGACGATCAAGAGGGACAGGAGGGCTCACGGAGGTAGCGGTAGAAGGTGATCAGGTGTGTCGGCGCATAAATCGACTGCGTCTCGCCTCGGCGAAGGTACTGCGACGGGCGAGAGCGTGAGCGGCTTCCTCGTGCCGCCGAGAGATGAGGGGCCGGGCGACGCACCGTGACGACCGAGATGTAGACGCCGTCGAGCCGAATGCGCGGGCTGGTGGACGGCGAGGTGTCAGTGCTCGTCCGTGCGCGACCTCGAGGAGATGGGGGACGCACTGCTCGATGTAGAGACGTCGCCAGTCGGCGCCATGCTGCTTGACGAGCTGCTTGGCGTCCTCCTCGCGACTGATCTGCTGCGGCGGAACGTAGGTGCGCAAAGAGAGAGATCTGCAGGACGGCGAGGCGCGAGTGAGTGAGTGAAGCCTCCTCGAGGAGACTCTACGAGGACGAGCGAAATGAGGACGCACCTCCACAGCCCGGTATCGAGCGTGAGGACCCTCGCTGCACGACACACGCGAGCGAACCGCTCGAGCGCCTCGACGTCGCTCTTCCACGGTCTGTCGACGTCCGCCAGCTCGAGCTCTGCCTCGAGCAGGACCATCTCCTCGCGCAACGTGCGCTTGCGCAGGCGCTTCGGGCCCTTGGACCGGTGCTCCTCGGCCGACGGGTCGGCGTGCGCCGACTTGGGCGGCGGGAGCATGCCCGACAAGACGAGGTGGCGGAGGATGAGGAGGAGGACCTCGCGCGGCAGGTCGGCGAGCGGAACAGGTTGGTCCTCGTCGAGCGGGATAAAGTGGAGGGTGTCGAGCGCTTGGGCGGGCGTCATGGCGCCCTTGCCGAACGCGTGCGAGGTCGAGGCGGGAGGGCGAGATGGTGGTGCGGGTGGAGGTGGGGAGGACGGGGGGAGCGCAGGCGGTTGTGCGCGTCGCGGCGAAGTTGGGCCCTGGGCGACGGCGTGAACTGGCGGTGGTGGGCGCTCGTACGGGTTCTCGGCGATCGACTTGAGGAGCGAGTTGAGGAGGAAGGCGGTGCTGCTCGGGTGCGTCGAGTCGGCGTCGGCGTTGCCCACCTCGCGCTGCGCCTCCTCGGCGCTGCGGTGCTCGTGCTTGGCGTCGTAGTCGGGACCGAGCTGGATCGTGCGCTCGAACCGCCATTCTGCGGCGTCTGGGTGCGGCGCGGGTTCGGCGGCTCGGGTCGCCGCGTGCTTCTGCGCCGCGACCGAGGCGCGGTTGTAGGCGCGGTCGACGTCGGGATCGAGGCGAAACGCGGTGCGGTAGTTGACGAGAGCTGCGGGCGTTCTCGAGTGTCAGTTCGTGGTCTCGCGGCGCGATTCTGGGAGGACGGGGGAGGATGCCGGGACGCACCGTCGTTGAGCCGTCCTTGTTTCTCGCTCTCGACGGCGAGAGAGTAGAGCTCGAGTGCGCTCGCCGGCCGCTCGCGCTCCTTGCCCTTGCCCTTGTCGCGCGGCGGCGAGGCCGGCGGCTCGACCTCGTCATCGAGCTGCACGCCGGCGACCTGCGCAACGAGCTCGGCATCGGCCGCCGAGTGGTCGGGCTGCTGGTCACTGCTGGTGGACGGCTTGGGCCGTGGAGCGGCGGCGGTTGCTGGAGCTGGTCGGGGAGGTCGGCTCAGGGAGGTGGAGGTGGGCGCAGTTGACGAGGGAGCAGCGGGCGGCTTGGTGCGCCGCGTCTCGGCGAGCCAGGCTGCGCGAAAGGACGCGAGCTCGTCCTCGAGTTCGCCAGCAGGCTTGGCGGGAGGCGAGGACATGGAGGCGAGGAACGAAGCGATGAAGATGGTCGGGGCGAAGGGCCGCCGACCACGACCGCGTACGAGCTGCTCTTTCGCGCGTTGCGTCGAGCGCACGCTTGCCAATGTAGCTCTCGGGAACCCAGCGCGCGGCGAGAGATGTGGAACAGACGAGGTTGCAGTGCGAGACGGCGGATTAAGCGTGGCTCCGTCCGACGACGACGGAGCATGCGTGCGAGGGGGTGCGGCAAGAACGAAGTAGACACATGGAATGTGCGAGAGCAGCGACGCTGACTCTGCGCGATCTAAGGTGGGAGGCTCGACGAGGGCGGGAGGGAAGAGGCCGGCGAGCCGTCCGAGGGGAGGAGGTCTAACTGGGTATCGAGAGGATGGACGAGGTCATATGGACAACAGGGCGGCAGCACCGGCGAGAGAGGAGCGAGAGGGAGGAGAGGGGATGAGACGGGAGGAGAGGGAAGAGCGAGGCGCCTAGTCGAGGACGACGGCGTTCTTGCTCATGCCGCGAATCTTCTTGCCGTACTTGATGAGGACGAACGGGATAGGGATGAAGACGATACTGTAGGGGAGAGCGCAATGTCAGTCTCGGGGTTGCGAAGGGGCACGAGGAGAAGGAGCAGGGGACGTACGCGAGGCCGCCGAGGAGCGAAGAGGCGCCCTGGATGCCGAGGCGGGCGTACTGCAGGTCAAGGACGATCGGGTCAGTCTTCTGAGCTCTCGAGATAGAGGAAGAGTGCGAGTATAGCTCACCATCTGCGTCGTGAACAGCGGGAACTGCAGGTTCGAGAGGGAGAGTCAGCGAGGCACGCTCAGAAAGGCTCGACAGCGAGCGCCATCGGGCCGAGAAGAACGTGAGAGGGACGTACTCCTGCTCCGAACGCACTACGTACGACCGTGTTGATCGAGAGAGCACTCGCGGCGCCTGTGTGTCCGGGAAGGTCGACAAGGTCAGTGTAGGTCCTTGGACGGGCGGCGAGGGAAGGCGAGGACGCACCCCAGAGGTAGCAGTCGATCTGCAGAGGACGTGATCGAGGGAGAGAGGCGCGAGGCGAAGAGAGGCAGAGGGAAAGAGGGCGAGGATGGGTTTGGGAAGGTCAGTGCACGTTCCTCGGGGCGACAACGAGGGTGAAACAGAGTGGACGGACGATGTAGTTGAAGCCGGTGACTGTGACACAAGGATTGGTCAGTGTCGAGTCGCAGGAGAGGTGAGGAGACACGAGAGGACTCACGGAAGACGTAGAGGACGCAGGCGCCGAGGAGGACGACGGCGAGGATCGGGCTCCAGATGCTGATGTGCGAGTAGGCTCCCGTCCAGCCAAACCTGGTCGAGGGGAAAGAGACGAAGTGAGCGGACACGCGCAGGGAAAGAGAGGGAGGGGAGGGAGAGGCGCACCAGAAGAAGCTGATGGCGAGGGCCGGGGCGGCGTACATGAGGGGCTTGAGGCGCTCCTCGGGCGGGACCATGTGCGGCTTGATGGCGTGGTGGATCTTCATGTACTGGCGGTTGAAGTAGGTGACGTAGCCGAGGACGCCGAGGGACCCGCCGGTGAGGAGGGCGAGGAAGACGAGGCCCGACTCGAGCGGGTTGAGGCCGTGCCTGCCCTCGAACACGATCGGGATCGCCTCGAACAGGAGGTACACGACGCCGTACACGAGACTCATGTAGAGCGTGATGACGGCGAGCATGGGCTCCTCGACGATCATGATGAACGGCTTGAGGACGGTGCGCTTGAGCGTGCCCGTGATGCCGTCGTTGTTCTTCTTCTCGAGGGCGGCGTGCCACCGGTCGTCGCCCGTCTCATTGCGCAGGCGCTTGGCCTCGGTAGCGAGGATGTAGGGTACGTAGGTCTCGGGAAGGAAGAACACGATGAGGAGGCCGCACGCGCCGGCGAACAGGGTGAGGGTCCAGAAGATCCAGTACCAGTCGACGCCGCGGACCTCCATGGCGCCCGAGATGATGGGCGCGAGGGCCGGGCTGTCGAGGAAAAGGGACGTCAGTTGGACATTCGGGAAGGCGGCTCGAACCGGATCGGCGAGAGAGAGGGAGAGGCACCCGGCGAACGGCATGAGCGCAAACACGGCGAGAGCGTCACCGCGACGGTCGGCGTCCCACAGGTCGGCGATGACGCCGCCAGACACCGTGAGCGGCGCGGCCGCAAAGCACCCGCCGAGGAAGCGGAAGACGATGAGGGACCCGATGTTGGGGGCTGCAGTCGTGGAGGTACAGTCAGTCGACGTGCACGATGACGAGGGGAAGCGACAGATCGAGAGAGAGAGACGTACCGAGCGCGCAGCCGACCTGGAAGCAGATGTACGGGATCCAGACGAGGAGGAAGACGAGGCGACGGCCGTAGCGCTCCGACAGCGGGCCCCACAGGAGCGGACCGAGGCAGTAGCTGCACGGGACGAGGGTCAGCTCTGCCCAGCTGAGGCGCGACAAGAGAAGGGAAGCGCGAGTTGGGGAACGAGAGAGGGGGACGCACCCGGCGACAAAGATCGAGATCAAGAGGATGCCGACCTCCTGCGAGACGTCAAAGTGGGTGATGATGGACGCGATGAGGTTGGACGGGGCGGACGAGGCAAAGGCTGGACCGAGGAAGGAGGTCAGCGAGGTGCTCTTGAGGAAGGAGGTAGGCGGGGACAGTGCGGCTCGCTCGCTCGCCCACCCGGCTGGACGGCTGCCGGCGCTCGACAGGTAGACAAGGTCGCTCGACTCACTGGCATTGAGGACGAGCAGGCCGGCGAGGCCAGTGATGGCCCAACGGTAGGCGACGCTCCAGGTGTGCGGGTTCAACGACTCGCGGCCCTTGATGGTGACGAGGAACGGGCTGCGGCGAGGCAGAGAGCGTCAGTCAAGAGTCCTTGCGAGGTCCTCCCTCACCGCGATGCTGAGAGGAACCGGTCGACGCACTCGTCCTCCTGCTTGGGCGGCGCCGGACCCTTCGACTCGGCACCGTCGTCACCGTTGCCGCCCTCCTTGCCGCCCTTGTGGCCCGCCTTCTCGAGGTCGACAGCGTCGCGGTCGGTCAAGGTCTCGCCCGAGTGCGACGAGTGCGACGACGAGCGCGCGATCTCGTTCTCGGCAGGGTGCTCGGCCCCCGACGACGATGACCAGGTGGAGGCGGCGGCGGGTGGTTGGTGGTCGTGGTGCGGTGCGGCGTGTGCGTGTGCAGGGGCGGCGAGTGCCGGTGCGCCAGTGTGGACGGCAGCCATTGCGCGTGTCGAGAAGCAGGTGCGCGTTGGTGGGAGAGGGGAAAAGCGAGTGCAGGAGGCCAAAGTTGGTCGGCTCGCAACTCGGCGGAGAAAGCACTCTCGGCCTCCGCACACGGAGGCGGGGCGCGACAAGTAAGACAAGCACGTCGGACGGAGCTGCTCACAAGCTGAGCTCATCAAACGAGCTGCACAGCTTCCGCCGAGCGCGCCGGCCGACGGCGGAAGGGTCGCAATTCACGGCGCCGGTGCTTCCGCTCGAGCTCTCGCAGCTGCCCGCAGCGTCGCCCTGCCGGCTGCAATCGACGCCGCTCCAACGCGATCCCGCCTCGAGTCCGACCGAGAGGAGGACGAGGAGAAGCACGAGAGCGACCACGGCGAGGAGCAGCCTGCTTGAGCGGCGACTGGAGCGGCACTCGCTGCAAGTGCAGATAGCAGTGCAGAGGCAGCTCGCGCTCGCAGTGTGGCCCGAGGGAGAGCGACGAGGCGGTGTGCTGCTGCTCCTCCTCGACCGACGCTCGCGCTCCGACTCGCACAGCACACACCCGAGCTGCCGACATGCTCGCCCCACAGCTCCTGAGAGCAGCCGCACCGGCAGCGCGCGTGCTCCCACGCCGTTGCGCAGCGTGCTCGTCCTCCCTCCCTCGCCGTCCATGGCCTTCCCCGCACCCTCGCCTGTTCACCTCGAGCGCGCCCTGGTCGCTCCCGCCCAAGCCGGCGACTGCCGCAGCCAAGGGCTCGCGTGTCGTCAAGGACGAGGACATCCCGCACGAGGTCGTCGTGCTCGTCGACCCGGCCACCAAAGGCCTCCTCCCTCCCTCGACCCTCGCCGGCCTCCTCGCGTCGCTCGACCGCACTCGGTACGCGATCCAGCTCGTCGACGCTGCCCACGACCCGCCCATCTGCCGCATCCTCGACAAGAAAGAGCAGTACCAGCGCGAGAAGGACAAGAAGGCCAAGGCGCAGGAGCGCGCAAAGGCCCCGGCGACGACGCCCGGTGCGGGAGGCGGCGCGCCCAAGGAGGTGCACCTGACGTGGGGCGTGTCGGCGCACGACCTCGAGCACAAGCTCAAGAAGGGCAAGGAGATGCTCGCGCGCGGCAAGCGCGTCCTCGTCTGCCTCGGCGACAAGAAGCGCGTCGCCGTCAAGGCCAACCAGGACGTGCGGCAGCAGGTCATTCGCCAGATCCAGCAGGAGCTTGCGGGCGCAGGCGAGCTGTCGGCGCGCCCGGCGAACCGCGAGGGGCTCGTCGTCCTCGACTTCAAGCCGGTTGCCGCCGCCGCCGCCGCCGCCGCCTAGAACCTTGTGCGTGGACTTTCGCCGCCTCACTTGTCACTCTTTACAACCTGACCAGCTCTTCGTGCAGGTCTGGCGCCGCCGCACGCCGCCTCTCGCCCTCCTCGAGCCGTTCGACCTTCTTCTCAGCCCCCTCTCGCCCTCTCTCCCTCCTACCCGAGCCTGTATCACATACCCTGCAGTCGCATTGTCTCGTTCCTCTGTCCACGAGCGTCGGCGACCATTGGCTCGGAGCGTGCGTCGTGAGCCGTGCGCACCGTCTTGTGCCGCGGCGGCCGCAAGAAGTGAGAGGATCGAGAGCGCGCACGGGTAGCCGATCTTGTGAGAGTGGAAAGCTGCAAGCTGTGCACGCCTGGCAAGCTCTGATGCAGCGCGGCAATTTTCGAGTCGAGCTGCTTCGGTCCGCCTCGCCTCGTCGCGTGCGCCGAGCCTGAGGACCTCGTCACCCTCGTCCACCCTCTCTCGAGCCCGCCAGCCGCCTGCACGTGCCGCCCAGTCCACCTGTGGGACTCTGGCCAAGGCCTGCACCCTCCCCCGCGCGTCCCACCGCCCTCGCCGACGGTCCCCTCCTCGTGGCCCCCTCGCTCAACATCGTCGCTCGTTTCCCCGGCCTCGACTCGCCCGCCGCGCTCGAGATGGCCGCCCAGCCGTCCACGCCTTCGATCAGCAAGGGCGCCAACGCCTTTGGCAAGCTCCTCAACAAGCTGCGCACCCCGACCGGCGCCGACCACAACAACGCGCCCGAGGGCGAGCGGTCCACCCCTCGCTCGGCGTCGCCGTTCAGCGCCATGATGGGCCGCAGGAGCAGCAGCAAGGCCTCGCTGCGGTCCTACTCGGGCACCACCACCACCAGCGCCGCCGCACCCCCGTTCCCTCCCTCGCTCAACGGCAGCTCTGCCTCGCTCGCCTCCAACCCGGCGACCAACTCTCCGCCTCTCACGTTCGACACGGACGACGACGACCTCGACCTGCCCCAGTTCGAGTCGGAGCGCATGTCGTACCGCCCTCGCGGCAGCGGCGGCGACGGCTTCTACGCCCACAACCTCGCCTCGTCGTCGACCCTCGCGTCGACCGCCTCGGCGACCGGCGACGGCGACTACACGGCCCTGCCCGCCCCACCTCGGCCCTCGACAAGCATGTCGACTCGCGCTCGCGGCGACAGCGTGAGCGGGAGCGGGAGCGGTGGGGCGTGGAAGGGGTCGCTCGCGGGCACGGCGGGCGCCAGGGAGGCGGTCGGCAGCCTGAGCCGAGGGTTCGGCAGGGGCACGGCGGGCCGAGCGCTCGACGCATCGGCCGCGCAGGGCGACGACGACGAGTTGACGCACAAGGTGTCTCGCAAGCCCGACGAGGTGCGCTCCCTTCCCTCCCCTCGCCTCCCATGTCGCGTCGTCCGCTCACACTTGCTCCTGCGCAGCTCGCTCCGCCTACGCGCGCTCCCCTCACTCGCCTTCCGTCCAACGACGCTTCTCTCTCGGCGTCGCAGCCGTCCTCGCACCCTCACCTCGCGAGCACCACGCCCGGCCTGCCTCGCGCCGGCCTGTCCAAGTCGACCACCTCGACGCTGCCGAGCGCCGGCACTCGGCGCCTCTTCGCGTCGCGCCCCGGCGGCGGTGAGCGCATCGTGGGCCGAGCACGACGTGTCGTCCAGCCGGTCCAGCCGGCAGCGGCGACGCCCGAGGGCCCGATCGCGAGCGAGGCGTACGACGGCGACCAGAGCCGGAGCGCCAAGGAGGACAGCCCCGATGCGTCTGCGGGCACGAGTACCGACACTTGTGCGTCCTCTGGCTCTCTCCGCGACGTGTTCGCGCGAAACTGACCCGGATGCTCCTGCAGCTCCCGACATGGCTCCTCCTCCTCGTCCTCGACCGCCCATCTCGCCCAACAGCCACGGCCGCTCGCTCTCCGAGCTCCCGCCTTCCTCGCCCAAGATCGCCTCGGCCGAGCGCGCCGCGTCGACCGTCACCATCGGCGCGTCGAGCTACCTCGCCAAGCACTCGGTCTCGTCGAGCAACCTGCGCCCGAGTTCGTCACTCAGCAACTACAGCGCGTCGGACAGTAACAACGACGTGTCGCCGCCGGCCATGGGCAGCTCGTACCTGAGCGCGAGCGCGAGTGCCCGTGGCGCCAAGCTCCACCCGCAAGCGCAGGGCAGCACCGCCTTCCGCAACCGGTTCCTCAGCAGCGGCTCGAACCTGTCGATCAACGCCTCGTCGTCCCTGTCGTCGTCGCAGCAGCAGCACTACTCGCCGCCGTCGGACGCCGCATCCGCCTCGGCCCAGCCGTCGCCGCCCATGCTCGCCCAGTCGCTCTCGTCGTCCACCTCGACCGGCAACGGCGGCGGCGGCGGCGCCAGCTTCCGCCTCGCGCCTATGGGCGGCGGCGGCGGCGGCCTGTCGTGCAAGAACAGCGTCTCGATGATGTCGTCGCTCGCCGAGGACGGCCAACCCGCGGTCCGAGCGGCGTCGCTCGACATTCGCCGCGAGGCGGTCGCCGCCCGAGTCGCCGGGCAGCTCAACGAGCCCGTTGCCGCCGGTCGAGCGAGCCTCGACGAGCGTCGTGCCTCGCCGCCTCGCGAGCGCGACATGATGATCCCGTACGCGCACCGCCGAGGCACGTCGGTCTCGCAGGACGCCAACCAGGAGACGATCAGCAGCAGCTCGTCGGCATCGACGCACGGCGGCACGACGCTCGTCAACGGCTCGGGCGGCGGGCTCAAGCGCAGCAACAGCGCGACGATCACGCAGGGCTCGCTCATGCAGCCCGCCGCGCCGGCGCAGCAAGTCTCGCGCCCGGCGTCGAGCATGGCCATGTACCGCGACGACTCGCACGGTCAGCAGCAGCAGCAGCAGCCTCAAGCGCGCCCGCAAGTCGCGCGCATCCCGTCGGGCCAGCAACAGCCGCAGCCGCAGCCGCAGTACCAGCAGCTCCCGCCGCCCGTCCTGGACGTCCTCCCCGACCAGCCTCCAGCTCCCGCCACGTCCGCCTTCCAGCCCTACCACGACGAGAACGCCTACGACCCTCGCTCGTACGCGCGCCCGGGCGCGCCTCCCACCTCGGCCGCTCGGCCCGCCCTCACCGAGGTCAACCGGCCGTACGCTCCTCCTGTCGGCGTCGCGCCGTCGACCCAGCCCCGCCAGGGTGCGCCGATGTACGGCTCGACGTCGCAGCAGTCGAGCAGCCAGAAGGACTACCACGTCCCGCTTCGGGACCGCTCGCCGGGCATGGCCGAGGCGACGCCGAGCGTGACGGTCCAGCAGCAGCACTACCAGAGCCAGCAGGTGTACCAGCAGCAGCAGTACCTCCAGCAGCAGCAGCAGCCGCACCTCGCGATGCAGATGCAGCAGCAGCTCGGGTACACGCCGGGCGGCGAGCCGCAGCAGGAGAAGCGCCAGCCCAAGCCCATCATCGTGCGTCCACGTCTCTCTCTCTTTCTTCTCGCCGTCACAAGATCCCTGACACGACGCTCTCGCAGGTCAACGGCAAGGCGTACCACCGCGCCGGCGTCCTCGGTCGCGGCGGGTCGTCCAAGGTGTACCGAGTCATGAGCGCGAGCAACGAGCTCTTTGCGCTCAAGCGGGTCGACACGCGCAACGACGCCGAGTCGCGAGCGAGCTTCATCAACGAGATCACGCTCCTGCGCAAGCTCATCGGCAAGCCCGAGATCATCCAGCTCGTCGACTCGGAGATCCAGGGCAAGTATGTCATCATGGTGCGCCTCCCTCTCCCTCCCTCTCTCCTCCGGCCTGCCGATCTGACCTCGTCGTCGATGCAGGTCATGGAGGCGGGCGAGACGGACCTCAACACGCTCCTCGCGAGCCACGCCGGCAAGCCCGTCAGCCTCAACTTCATTCGCTACATCTGGGAGCAGGTGCGTCCTCCTTCTCTCTCTCTCTTTCGCTCTCACTTGTTCGCCTCAGGGATACTCACGCTCGGCAACTCGTGCAGATGCTCTCGGCGGTCCAGGTCATCCACGACGAGGCCGTCGTCCACAGCGACCTCAAGCCGGCCAACTTTGTCCTCGTCAAGGGCCGCCTCAAGCTCATCGACTTTGGCATCTCCAAGGCCATCGCGGCCGACACGACCAACATCGGGCGCGACCAGCAGATCGGCACGGCCAACTACATGCCGCCCGAGGCGCTCAACGACACCGGGCTCGGCCAGGGCGGCAAGAGGCTCATGAAGGTGCGTCCCTCGCTCTACGCCTGCCTCTCATCCCTCGACACGTTCCCTGACTATGCTCTGCATCGTCGCCAACTCGCAGCTCGGCCGCGCCGCCGACGTGTGGTCGCTCGGCTGCATCCTGTACCAGATGGTGTACGGCGGCGCGCCCTTCTCGCACCTGCGCGACATCGGCCTCAAGGTCGCCGCCATCTCGAACCCTCGACACCGCATCGCCTTCCCCGACCACGCCGTCCCGACAGGTCGTCGCGGCGAGCAGCTCACCGAGCACCGGTTCAAGGTCGGGCCCGACCTGCTCGACACGCTCAAGAGCTGCCTGCGGTACGAGCCCAAGGAGCGAGCGGCCATCCCGGAGCTCCTGCAGCAGCCGTTCCTGCGGCGGTCGGGCGACGAGGCGACGCCAGGTGCGCACCCGCTCCCTCCTTCCTCTCCTCGAGCCCGTGACTGACCCGCCTCGTTCTCGCGCAGCTGCCGCCCCGCCGAGTCGGTACCCGCTCATCAACGACCAGCTCATGGAGGCAGTCATCAAGTGCGTCGCCGACAAGGTGCACAAGGGCGAGATCCGCTCCGAGCTCGACATCGTCGACATCGCCCAAGTCCGTCTCCTTTTCTCCTCGCCCTCTCTCTCTCGTGCGCCTCGAGCTTACCTGAGTCTTCGCGCAGGGCCTCATGCAGCAAGTGCGCGACGTTCAAGACACGCTGCGGCACTAGCGCGCCGTCCTCGCCCTCGACCTCGATACCCCCCTCCCCGCCGGTTCACCCTCGTCCTCCCTTTTCATACCCTTCGCATCGCCCGTCGTTCCATCTACCCTCGCACCTTCTCCTTCTCTCGCTCGACCACTCTCTTCGCCTTTCACTCGCTGTGTACCCCCTTCCTTTGGCCCCTCTCGTCAGTTTCCCCTCGTGCCGTCGCGCGCCCTTGTGTCCCCTCCTTACTCTCGTTGAACCTCTCTTCCTTATCGTTCCCTTGTGTCGCTCTCGAGCGTGCAACAATCGAGACGAAGCACGACCGAGCCCTGCCTGTGAGAGCGCGAGAGGCCGCCATCGTCCAGCGCACGGGCCTCTCTCTCTGCCGGCGAGCCGACTTTGCGCGTCGCCCTGTGAGTTGGCGCGCTTCCTCTGCCTGTGTGGCGCCTCGAGAGACAGTGCTGCGCCCTTGCTGGCCGCTCGAGAGCTGCTCGCTCTGTACGCGCCTCTCGCCGGCACTCCGCGTTGTCTCATCAGCCTGGTCCTCTCGGTTCTCCTCCCTCTCTCACATCGCCTCGTCGACGAGCGCAAGCCGGCACAGCTGCCGCACCAGCCCGCCATGAACCCCCCACAGCCAGAGCCCTGCGTCGTGTGCGGCGAGCCGACCTCGACGCGCTGCTCGAGTTGCTCTCGCGCCGGTATCGACCTGTTCTACTGCAGCGTCGCCCACCAGCAGCTCGTGCGTCCCACTCGCCTGCCCCTCTAGATGTGGCGTGAGCTGACACGTACCCTCCCACAGGTGTGGAAGGCCCACCGCGCCCACTGCGGCCCGAGTTCCGCTCACCCCTTCCTCGCCTCGCCCATCGACCGCGACGAGCTCCCGTTCATCCTGTCCGCCACTCGCCGCGAGATCCCGGTCGCGACGTTCGCGCAAAAGTGGTTCGTGCTGCCCGCCTCGCTCTCGTCCGAGTGCGCGAGAAAGGGCCGGGTCAGCCTCGAGCGCGCTTTCGCGACCAGGAGCGGCATTCCCGCCAAGCAGTTCCGCAAGGTGGGCACCCCTAGCCTTGTCAGACTGCAAGGAGCAGGTGACAAGACGTTAAAACGGTTGCGCGCGTCTGCAGATGGCTGTCGACGGCCTCACGACGAGCCAGCGCGGCGCCAACTTTGCCGACGACGACGTCCAAGCCTGGCTCCGCGAGCTGCGTCACTACACGTGGACCTTCTTCGACCTCGCACCGTCGCCTGCGTCCTCGCCCTCGCCCATGCCGCCGCCGGCCGAGCCCGCCCGTGTCCACACCCTTCCCCTCACGACCCTCGCCGCCACTCTCGAGATGGCGATCCGCCCGATGCTCGACCCAGGCCAGCCCCTGCCGCCCCTCGTCGACAGCAGCTTCAAGCACCGAGCGCTAGTCGTCGCCGCCGTCCTGCAGGCCGACCCTCCCGTCCCGCACCTCGTCCCCAAGGCGCTCAAGACGCTCCTCGTCTTTCTCACGCCGTACTACGCCGTCTCGTCGCTGATGGACACGACGGTGCACCTCGGCGAGCTCGCCGGTATCGTCGCGCCCGTGCAACCCGTCTCGCTCGGCGTCGTGAGCGGGCTCGGCGGGCGCGTCGTCGGGTTCTTCTGCCGCGCGACGGGCTGAGAAGGGGGACGGAGCGACGGGCAGGAGGGAGCGCTTGAGGCCGTAGCGAGCGAGGGCGCGCAATGTACCTGAGAGTGTCCTCTGCGAGCGAGCAAGGGAGAGAAAGAGGACGCTGTGCGAGGAGGATCGTGAGCAGGAGAAGGTCGGTCACGAGCTTGCCAGACTGCGCCCCCTGGACCGGTGTAGCTCTCGATCGACGACTTGTAGCGGTTGCTCGAGCCTAGCGCCTCCCGCGATACCGCCTCGCGACGTGACTCGCTCGACTCGACGTCGAAATGGGAGGTCGAGGAGGGGAGGGCCAGTTTCTCGCGCTCAGACCTCGCTCTTTTTCGGTCCAGGTGCGCTCGAGCGAACTATTGAGGCGTTGCTCGACGATGGGCTCGCTTGCGCTGACGTGGAACGGGAAAGCCAGCTCGACTTGGCGTCGAAAAGGGAGGTCGAGGAGGCGCCGGTCCTTGGTACGCTCGTATAACTGGACTGCTCGAACCGCTGCGGCGCTCTGAGCACTGTGTGACGACGATCGTGCGACGAGCGACCGACGAGAGAGCAGTGCACGGCGGCTCAGAGAGAGGGTCCGAGCGAGCCTTCTCAAGTGGACCGCTGCCGAGGGAAAACTCTCGCTCCTGCTCCCGTTTCGCCTCGGCTGCTGAGCAGACCTGTCTAGCAGCCTTCTGAGCTCGAGCCGAGCAGCTTGGGCGAGCGAAAAGGAGCGGGAAACAGGAGCAGGTCCACGTGCAGGGCAAAACGCGAAACGCAGCAAAAGAAGAGGGTTGGCGCGCGGCGCGGCCGGGGTGCGACTGGTAATCCGAGTTGCATGCCGGGGGCGTGGCGACGCTGAAGCGTCATTCTTTACAGCCCGGTATCGTGCCCCAATCTCTCGAGGTAATCCCGCAGCTGATGTTGGGAGGAGAGCCGAAGAACCTAAAGGTTCGACAAAGGAAAGTACTACTTTGCAAACGCACGCAACACGCATCGGGTTCACCTCCCGCCGGTCCTCCCTCTCGCACCTCGACACGCTTGGACTTGGGAAGGTCGCCATCGTCTCGAGCATTTTCTGCTGCACGTCTGGGTACCCAACATGGACCCCCTTGCGCGAGATGGCGAGCGAGGAGCGAGGAAAAACGTCGGACGAGGAGGGCGCGCGCGCCGGCTCGGCTCGCCACTTCCCCACATGCTCGCTGCTCTGCCCTCTCCTCCTGCTGCCACAGAGCTCGGGTTCGTTCGAGGAGCAGCTCTGTGAGGTGTGTGCCCCGTACCGAAGCACGAGCGCGCAAAGAGCGAGCGTTGAGAGGGCGACTCGTGCTCGAGAGGAGGAGAGGCTAGCTGCTTGCTCGAGCGGTGCTCCCGAGTTTGCTCGTGCACTTCCGAAACTCGCTCGAGAGCTCGGCAGAGTGTAGCTCGAGAGGTCCGGCGACCGTGCGCTGGCCCTTGGGAGCGGTCCGAGCGTCCAGTCGAGGTCAAAGCGCCGCAGCTTGTCTGTACTCGGCGCGTTCGCTTTCGCTGCGCCGCTCTCGAGACACGCCGTACACATCGTGTAGAGATGCGACAGAGACAGAAGAGAGCAGCGAAGGAAGAACGCCTTAGCATTACGAGCGAGTTCGCGGCCCGCCGTGCAGCTCGACTCGCTTGCGCCCTCGCAGGTCTCGAAGCTCTCGACGCTCTCAAAGCTCTCAGCTCTCTCGAGGCGCAGAGAGGGTACATGTGTCTCGTTGCTGCACGCTCGCCGCCCCAAACTCGCTCAGCTCGACGCCCTGATCGTGCACTCGAAGCGGCCGACCTCCTCGCCGCGCCTGATCAACCTCGTCAACTCGATGCCGGGGACGATGGGCGCAAGCACGTTGGAGAGGGCGGACAGGCAGGGGTCGGCGGCCTCGACCGAGTCCGGAATGACGAGATGGCGCTGTATGAAGTTGAGGACGGTCTGGATGGCCGCAGCTTGAGGCCATCCAGACCCTCCTCGACTTCATTCAGCGCCATCTCGTCGTCTGGACGGCAGCTTACCTTGATCCTGTCCGCCGTCCTCAAGGCAAGCTGCCGATGATCGTGTGGTCGATGTCCTGGGCGAGGTAGATCGGCGGGAAGTACTCGAACGCGCGAACTCCCGGCGGCAGGACCGAGAACTTGTACGGGATACGACGAGCCAGTAGGTCAGTGCATGCTCACGTGGAGGAAGATGGAGAGGAGAGCAGGACGCACGAGCTTCTGGTGGTCGCGAGAGCAGAAGAAGAGGTCGACGCCGGCGTTGGCGCAGCTCGAGCACCGGTTCTCGGTCTCGGCGCCGCGCACGAGGCACGCCTGGGCAGATGACGAGTCCATAGATGATGACAGGCGAGCTTGAACAGGGCTGGCGGACCGCCCGAGGTTGGTGGGAGGAGGGAGAGGCGACGGAAGTCGGAGAGCTGATGAGGATGAGGGGTGACGCCGAGAGGCGTGTGCTGGACGAGCGTGTGACGCGGTGCTGTTGGGCCGGCTGTGCGACAGGTAGTGACAGCGCTGTGCTGTTCTCGCGCCGACTGGTGAGGCGTGGAGGCGAGACGAGGGAGCGGCGAGGAGCAACTCAGCGCAAGCCTCGCGCTCACGGCCGAGTCGCGCTCGCTGCGATTGCTCGGCTCTCTGGAGCCAACAGGGGCGCCATGACGTCTATGCACAGCGACCGAGATGCGCTACGACCCGACAGCCCAGCACTCGAGCCCGACAATCTCAAACTTCCTTCCCTCGCCCTCGTCCTCGTCGTCGTCCTCCTCGCCGCCTCCTCCCTTCTCCCCCTCGCGCTTCTCCCCCCTTACCCCTCGTCCTCCCCCAACGAGCGGCTCGTTCCCAAACGTCTCGCTCCTGCCCGTCCACCCACGCTCAAACACGCCGTCGACCCACAGCCCAAACTGGCCGTCCTCGCCGCCGCCAAACGCGAGGAACGCCTCGCCGCCGGTCCCGCCGAGCGGCGACGCGAGCACGGGAGACGGCGTCGACGTCGCGTAGGCGTAGTACGTGTTGCGGAACGTCGGCTTGAACGACTGGACCGACGAGCCGAGGCGAAAGTCGTGCGGCGGGAAGGGCGTCGCGCGCCACAGGAAGCTGGACGAGAGAGGTGCTGGTCAGTACCGTGCGCAAAGAGGGCGTACGTCGACGCCAATCGCGACGAGAGAGGGAGAGAGAGAAAGAGAGAAAGCCGGGACGCACCAGCTGCCGTCGCCCTGCCACCTCGTGCTCCCCCTCTGCTCCCTCGCGCCGTCCCTCAACGCCTCGCTGACGTACGCGCCGCACACGTCGCCCCTGCTCGTCTTGACGACGAGGACGAACCCGCCGTCGCGCGACGCGAGGCCGCGCTGGAGCGACGAGAAGAGCGTCGTGAGCGAGATGCCGTGCTGGTCGAGCGAGTAGAGGAGCGTCCAGCGCGACGAGAGGCGCAGGCGTGGCGGCAGAGATGGACGGATCTGTTGCGAGGGGCTCGAAAAAGTCAGGACTGGGGTCGTCTCGGGGCTGTCGCCTCACGAGGCCGGTCAAAAGCTCGGAGGGAGAGAAAGAGGGACGAATGGGAGAGGTGGACGGACCCCTTCTGCGACGTCGTCCTCGAGCACACGCTGCACCCCGGGGCGCAACCCGACGAGCTTGACCGGCTGCGCCGTCGGGTCGAACCCTCCCGTCCTCGCTCCTCCCGCTCCTCCGCTCGTCGTGGCCGCTCGAGCCGGCGATGGCGGCGACGGCTTCCTCGCCGACGTCGACGCCGCCGACGGTCCTCCCTCGGCCGGGTGCGCCGAGCCAAACAGGGACGAGAAGCCGCTCGAGAGGGACGAGCCCGCTGCGGCGGCGGCCGACACGGGGAGCGACGCGGCGCGCCCGAGCGTGCCCATGCCGCCGTGCGCCGGGGCATGCGCGTGCGGCGAGGGGGGGACAGCAATCGGCTGCGCCCACGGGGACGGCGCCGCGCTCGCGCGCGCCGAGCTCGAGCCGGCGCCGTTGTTGAGCGGCAGCTCGGGGGTGCCGCCCTGGAACTCGCCCCACTCGCCGCTCGTGTCGCCCTGGCCGACGCTCCACTCGCCCTCCATGGCCTGCTCGATCAAGTCGCCCGCGCCGGCGCTCGCGTCGCGGATGCGGCGCCACGCTGCGCCGGCGGCGCTGCTCGCCGCGTGGAACGGGTCCGAGAGGATGGATGACTCGGCGGGCGGGGACGAGGGCCCGTGCGGGAACGACGCCGTGTCCATGAGGGTCGACAGGCGGCGAGGGGGCGAGAACGAGGCCGAGGGACGGCGGTGCAGGGTCGACGAGGGCGAGTGCGGCGTGCGGTGCGTGGTGCGGGTCGGGGAGGAAGGGGACGGGATCGGGACGGCGGGCGACGCCGGGAGGGAGGTTGGCTCGTCGGCGTAGGACGGCGAGAGCGGGGTCGAGTGCGGTGCCGAGGGAGGAGGAGGCGCGAGAGGGGTGGGAGGGGTCGGGGGCGCGAACGGGCCGCGGTCGAGGTCGCGCAGGATGCGCGTGTTGCGCTGCTCCTGCGCGAAAGTGGCGTGGCTCGCCGCCGTGCTCGAGGTGGCTGTCGGTGCAGGCGAGGGCGAGTGACGGGTGGACGGCGACGGGTCGAGGGCGAGAGAGCCGAGGAGGCCGCCGAGCGGGTCGGTCCCTGGCTCGACGCCCTCGGCGTGGACCGGTTGAGGTGTCGGTGCGGCGAGAGCTGGCGTGGCCGAGCTGGACGATGCGCGACTTGACGGGGCGGGTGCGGCTGTGCGAGGTCCGGGGAACAAGGCGCCGAGCGGGTGGGGGGACGACGACCTGGACGACGACGACGAGGACGAGGCCGTGGGCGAGAAGGGATCAAAGTCGGACACGTCGATGGTGCTGGCGGGCATGGTCGGGCGTGCTTGACCGTGGTGCGAGAGGAGGCTGGCGGCCTCGAGATGACGGAGCGGGGACGAGAGGTTGCGCGGACGTGGCGGCGACGAGTGGCGCGTCGCAGGTCAGGCGGTGTGCGTAGCTCGAGTGTGAGGCAGCAGCAGTGCAGCACTGGCCTGGCTGTGCGAGATGGGTCGAGCAAGAGCGCGAGCTTCGAGGCTGGACCGGTCCTCCGCTCGTCCTGCGACCAGCTCGCAGCAGAGCCCATGCTGCACTGCGCTTGAGCTCACTCGCTGCACATAGCCGCCCAGCCCACGCACTGCCTCGAGCCCGCGCCCACTCGTGCGTCCTCGCCTCGCCCTCGTCCTCTCCCCGTCACCCAACTCACGCACCTCGTCCCGCAGTCCACTGGCAAGCGCGCCAGGGCCATGGCCCAGCCACGCACTCGAACCTCGACCAGGACCTCGTCGCGCTCGTCCGCCCCGTCCTCGAGCGCCCGCCGACCTCCTCCCGCCCCTCCCGCCGCCTCGCTCCCGCTTCCTGCGTCCATCCGCGGCGGCGAGGGCTTCTACCCGGCGTCGAGCAGTGCAGCGAGCACCAGCACAAGTGCACGCCCCAGCACGGGCGAGCCCCTCAAGCGCCCGACCGGCGTCCCTCGCCCCCCGACCTCGTCCCGCCCGCGCACACTGCGCCCGACCGTGCCGCGCTCGCCAGCCTCGAGCCAAGAGTCGCTCATCATCGTCGAGCCGGCGTCACCTCATCCTGCGCCGGCCCCGCCACGCCGACCCGCTACAAAGCGCACCACGACCCCGTCCTTGTCGCCCTCCCCCTCTCGCTCGACCACCCCGACCCCGACCCTCGCCTCGGCCAGATCAACCACGCCGACCTACGACCCTCTCCCGCCCTCGTCAAGCTCCACCTCGACCGTGCGGCGCCCCTTGCCGCCGTCGTGCTTCCGCCCACGTCCTCCCTCACCGCCCCCTCGACCGCGCTCGCCCAGCCCAGAAGTCGTCTCACCCTCCCCTCGCAAGCGCCCTCGCCTGCGCCCGTCCTCCCCGTCATCCGCGACCGCCCCATTTCCGGCGGACCTCTCCTCGTCGCTCGTCCCTGCACTGCGCGACACCGACTTTACGGCGCTCGACCCGGCGTCGACCTACCGCCTCGACGCGTCGCTCCTCTTCCGCGCCGAGTACCTCGAGCTCGGCGCGCCCACGTTCGCGCAGGGCGGCAAGCGCGGGTACGGCGGGGCGGCGGCGACCAAGTGGGAGCGCGATCGCGCGAGGGCGAGGGCGCAGGCCGGTGCGGGCCGCGGCGGCGGCGCGACGCGCGACGAGGACGGCTGCGGCGAGGTGCCGCGGTGGGCCAGGACGGACGACGACCGCGAGTGGGAGGAGGACGTCCTGCAGCGGCTCTCGTCGCGCCTCGCGGCCCCGACGACGACGACGGCGAGCACGGCGCTCGTGCCGCTCCTGTTCGCGGCCGACGTCGCGCGCCTGCGAGGCCCCGTGCGCCTCGGCGAGGCCGGTGCAGCGCTCGAGTGCTACGTCGTCGGACGCGAGTGGCCCGTGCGCACGGGCGTGTGGACCGGGTGGGTCGTCGCCAAGGAGTGGAGGGAGAAGGAGAACAGCTGGGTCTACGCCGGTGCGTCTCGCAGTCGCTCTCTCTCTTTCAGCCTCTTGCAGTCTCTGCGGTGACTGATGAGTTCTGGTCGGACCCGAGCGCAGTCGATGACGGCACCGACGTCCTCGAGGTCGTGTGTCCCTCTTCGTCCTTCTCCCCCTCGTCCTCCCTGCCGGGCACCACTTCCGCCGCCCAGCTCCCCCTCTTCCTCTCTCGACCCTCGACCTCGTCCACGACGTCAGCCACGACCTCGAGCGCCGCCGTCTCGCCCCGCAAGGCGCTCGCGGCCGCCCAGTTCGGCCACCTCGAGCAGCGCGCCGAGCAGCAGAGCGAGCGCGTCGAAGTTCGAGAGGGCGAGTGCGTGCGGGTCGTCGGGCGCGTCGAGGAGAGGAGGATGGTGTGGGACGAGGGGAGGAGGGTCGTCGCGCTGCGCATGGGTGCGTCCCCTCTCGCCTGTCCTGGCGCCCGTCGTCCGCGACGACCTCACTGACCACGACGCCTCGACGTGACCGTCGCACGCACAGACATCCTCGACGACGTCAACGCCCTCTCAATGCACCACACGCAGGCGGCGCAGCTCCACCGCACGCTGTACGCCTTGCCGTTCGACGCGCGCACGCGACTCGCCCAGGTCGAGCGCGACGAGCTCGAGGCGCGCCAGGCGGCGTGGGAGACGGCGAGCTGTGCGACGGCGACGACGAGCGGGACGGGCGGCGGGAGCGAGTGGGGCGGCAGGGGAGGAGGGAGCGTCGCGAGCAGTCCGGGGAGGGGAACCGTGCGTCGCCAGCCTTTCTCTCTGCCTCGTCGCCCTCGTTCGAGGATCCTCTCGACGCAGTACGGGCGTAGGCTTACAATGACCTGCGCCGTCACAGCACTACCGCCCGACCCGGCCGTCGAAACTCGCGAGGGAGGACCTGACCCTGAGCAACTTCATCATCTACGTCCGCCACCACCTCCGCAAGCGCTACGTCGTCGCCATCCCGTTCCCCGGCTCGCCCACCGACTTCGACATGTCCCCGCCGCCATCGTCGCAGCGCTCCCCCTCGTCGTCCTCGCCCTCCTCCTCGACCTCGTCCTCCTCAACAAGCCGCCACACCGCCGAGCTCGCCCTCCCCTTCACGCTCGCCGCCATCCAGGCCAACGCGCACCTGTCCCTCTTTGCGTCTCGCCTCGCGCAAGAGCAGGCGCGCGTCGCGCGCGACAAGGAGCGCGGCGTTCGGCCCGGCGCAGCGACGAGGGCGTGGGTCGCGCCGCCGCCCATGGGCTCGGGGCGCGGCGCGCAGCACGTGTCGAGGGGCTCGGTCGGCATGGGCGCGGCGAGGCTGCTGCCGCCGCCGTCGGCGTCGTCGTCAACGTCGTCGAGCAGTCGTCGCTCGCGCGCTCCCCTCGCGCCGCACGAGCACGAGCCGCCGCTCCTCGAGGGCGCAGAGCTCGAGCGCGCCATTGCGAGGGTCTGGCGCGAGGCGATCCGCACGATGCGCAAGGCGGGCATGGTCGTCGAGGCCGAGGACGCGACGGCTCGAGGCGACGAGACGGTGCCGGCAGGCGAGCTCGGCGGCAAGGTCGTCGAGGACGAGCTGCCCGACTTGCCGAGGTGGGAGCGAGGTCGAGGTGCGCCGGCGCTCGCGCCGCAGACGCCGAGGCGTCGGGCCGGGCGGGTCGGCGAGGACGAGGACGAGGGGACGCCTCGAGCCGCTCAGCCGGCCGGCGGGTGCCCTTGGGGCGACGTCAAGCTGTTCGGACCCGACGAGGAGGACGAGGACCCGAGCGGCCAAGACGGTCTGGGCACGCCTCGAGCGAGTCGAGCTCTCGGCGCCGCTCGGATAGCGCCTCCTCCCGTCACGCCCGCCCGGCCCAAGGCGCACGGTCCGACGCCGACATGGTCCGCCTCGTCCGGCACGAGCTCGACCAGCTCGTCGACAGCGCAAGCGCAGCAGTCGTTCCAGCTCGTCACGGCCGGCTCGCTCGCCCCTCTGCTCCTCACCGTCCTCTCGACCCTGTTCGACCACCGCCGACGGCCCGACAAGCGCAGCGGTGCGCCGCCGCCCTCGTCGGTGAGGGAGCGCGACCTGCGCGTCGTGCTGCACGGCGACGAGCGGTGGGCGGCCGTCGCGCAGTACAGCGAGGCGGTCGGCAAGGCGCTCGAGGTGCTCGCGAGCGAGGGCAGGGTCGAGCGGCATGGGCTGGGCTGGAGGCCGTCGGGCATGGGCAGGGGACGATAGACGACGAGGAGATGCTCGTATCGACGCAGGGCGGGAGCTGCAACTGGACGTGCTGCTGCGAGCGAGGAGCCGTGCGCGAGAGCATTGGAGGTCTCGGGTTCGAGAGCGGGCCGGGTCGCGCTCAGACCGCTGCACAGGCTCGACGATAGTGCTACAGCGGTGCATCAGAGCTCTGCAGGACTTGCGCAACTGGTCGTCGCGGAAAAAGCGCGACCTTCGGCTCTTCATCAACTTCTCGGTCCTCTCTCATCTCGACACGCTCTGCGCAGCTCGCCGTCACCGCCAGCGAGCTCCCCAGCATGAGCAGCACCAAGCGCGAAGCATCTCCGCTCGCCGCGACCGACAGCGCGGGCCACGAGACCCCCTCGAAGCGCGCTCGCCTCGACGACCACTCGACCCCGACCGCCGCGTCCTCAGCAGCAGCACGCGCACCAGGCTCGGCACCACCTGCTGCCCAGGGCGCAGCACCGTCGACCCCGGGCCCTGCCGCAGCCGCCGACAAGGAGCTCAAGCTCGACGCCGGCAGCACGGCCGACGCGCGGGCGACCGACTCGCCGTCTGCGGGCAAGGGCAAGCGCGGTGGACGCGGCGGCGGCGGCAGTGGTGGACGAGGCGGCGGCAAGCAGGACCGGCGAGGCAGTGGGCGGGGCGGCGGCCGCGGTGGAGCTGGGCGAGGCGGAGGAGGGCGCGGTCGGGACGGTGGAGCGGGCGACGAGGACAAGGGCAACGGCGAGGGAGGCGCAGACGGCGACGACAAGAAGGACAAGCTCCCGAAGCGCAAGGTCGCTGTGCTCCTCGGGTACAACGGCATTGGGTACAAGGGCAGCCAGGTGTGCGTCGACCTCTCTCCCTCCCTTTTCTCCCCCTTCGTCGACCTCGACCGCATCTCTCGTGCCCGCCCTGACATCCTCCGCGGCACACAGTAACCCTGGGACAGAGACGATCGAGGGCGAGGTGTTCAAGGCGTTCGCCAAGGCGGGCGCGATCAGCGAGGACAACTCGACCAACCCTCAAAAGGTGCGCTCGCAGTCCTTCCCCTCTCTCTTGCGCCGCTTCATACTGACACTGAGCACCCCTCACAACAGGTCTCGCTCGCTCGAGCGGCCCGCACCGATGCCGGCGTGCACGCCGCCCTCAACGTCCTCGCGCTCAAGCTCATCCTTTCGCCGCCGTCCAAGTCGCCCGACACGCCGCTCGAGGCGCACCTCAACGCGTTCCTCCCGCCGGCCATCCGCGTGTGGTCGGTCCTGCGCGTCCAGGGCTCGTTCGACCCGCGCCGTCTGTGCGACCAGCGCCAGTACGAGTACACGCTTCCGACGCACGTCCTCCTCGGGCCCAAGCCGTCGTCGCCCATGGGCCAGATGCTCGCACGCTCTCGCGCAGAAGCTTCTGCCACGTCGTCGTCGTCGACCTCGTCGGCAGCAGCAGCAGCAGGCGAGCCGGGCGCGATCGAGAAGGCGACGAGCGAGTTCTGGGCGGCGCAGCCCGCCGAGAGCGGCTTTGCCGACGACGTCCAGGCCAAGAAGGCGTGGCGCATCTCGCCCGAGGGCATGGCGCAGGCGCGCGAGCTCCTCAACGCGTACGAGGGCTCGCACAACTTTTACAACTTTACCGTCGGCAAGGACTTCCGGGACCGCAGCTGCCAGCGCGTCATGCGCAAGCTCGAGGTGCGTCCCTGTGCTCCCTCTCCTTTCTCTCGCACACAGCGGTATCCTGACGGCCCTTGTTCCTGCAGCTGTCGGAGCCGTTCGTCGTCGCCGACACCGAGTACGTCTCGGTCACGTTCATCGGCCAGTCATTCATGCTCCACCAGATCGTGCGTCCTCTCTCTCTCTCTCGTGCACTCTCCTGTCCTCGACATCACCAGGGACTGATGCGAAGGCCGTCCCGCAGCGCAAGATGATCGGCCTCTTCATCCTCGCGCTGCGCTCGTCGACGCCGGCGTCGCTCGTCCCCGAGACGTTCGGCCCGTCGCGCATCCACATCCCCAAGGCGCCCTCTCTCGGCCTCCTCCTCGTCGCGCCGCACTACATCGAGTACAACCGCCGCGTCGTCGAGGCCAACGACAAGCTCGACTCGCTCGTGCGCGCCGGCCGACTCACGCCCGACGCGGCCGAGGAACAGCGCCGCGCCGAGATTGACCCGCTCAAGGTCGACGGCATGGTCCAACTCGTCGACGAGTTCAAGCGCGACCAGGTGTACAAGCGCATGTGGGAGGTCGAGGAGCGCGACTTGACGTTTTCCAAGTGGCTCAACTACCTCGACCAGTTTGTCGGCGCCGACTTTGAGTGCGTCCCTCTCTCTCTTTCTCTCTCTTCACGATGAAGGATCTAGACCTGACGAGCCGGCGCAACCGCAGGTACCTCAACCCCAAGGGCGTCATCCCGCCCGCGGCCACGTTCACCAAGGGCGAGAACCCGGAGCGGACGCGCCGCGCTGCGGCGGCGGCGGATGCGGCAGCGGCAGCGGCAGAGGGAGCGCTCGAGGGCGAGAGCGACGACGAGGGCGTGGTGGGCGAGGACGACGGCTGAGTCGAGGCGGCAGGCGATCGGAGGACCGAGCGTAGCTCAAGCACTGCATTCCTGCATCCCGACATGATTGGGTCTCTTTCTCTCGCGCTCTCGCTGTTCTGCAGACTGTGCTCGGGCAAGGAGAGATGCGGCTACACTGCGTTGCGACGGCCAAGTCGTACGGGCTGAGAGGGAGGGAGAGAGAGCGCGAGAGAGAGGGGTATCGATCGACAGGGCGTGAGTGAGAGGGGCTGACAGGGTGCGGCGGGAGGGGAGCGTTGACCGTGTCGTGCGCGAGGTGTCGGGGCGAGGGAGGCCGAGGAGGGAGAATCTAGATAGCGACGGTCCTCGTGCGCTGGAAGAGCTGCTCGACGATCTGCGAAACGTGCCCGATCGTCTCGAGCGTCGCGTCGTACGTCTTCTGCTCGAGTAGGACGGACATGGCGAGAGTGTCAGTGGCCGTAGACACGAGGCGGAGGAGGGGGAGAAGGAGGAAAGAGGGGACGCACGTCGACCTCGGGCTCGTCAAAGACGACGAGGCACCCGGCGCCCTGGTCGAGGATGCCGTGGAACACCTTGTCGAGGATCATCTGGCTGAGCCTGCGAGGGGCGCAATGAACGTTGTCAGTCCCGCTCTCGAGAAGGGAGACCAGGAAAGGAAAGGGGACGCACTTGATCTCGACGTCGCGCACCGGCTGCTGCACCTGCTCGGCGATGTGGGAAATCTCGACGCGCTGGTACGGCTCGATGACGCGCACGAGGTTCTGCTCGAGGAGCGTATCGTACAGGGCCGCGAGGTGCGTGCGGATGATGGGGTCGTCCGAGAGCTCTGCGGGCGGCCGAGGGGCGTGTCAGTTGGACGTACGACAGAGGGAGGAGAGACGAGGAAGAGGAAGAGGGACGCACCCTCCTTGCGCTCGCGGAGGACGCGCTCAAAGTCGCCGAGCGAGCGGTCCTCGTGGGCCTTTGCGACGGCCTTGATGGCGTCGACCTCTTTGCCGGCGTACTTGGCGGCGCTCTTGCCGCCGGCGATGGCGGCGACGTCTTCGGGGAGGGCGAGCATGACCTTGCACAGGAGCATGTACTTGAGGGCGCGCACGGCGTTTGGCTGGTCGTCCTGGGTCGACAGGCCCTCGAACGCCTCGAAAAAGTACGAGTAGGCCGTCTTGTAGTCCTTGTCCTCGGCGTGGAGCACGCCCGACTGCATGTCGAGCTGGGCCTGGAGCAGAGGCGGGCAGTAGATCGAGTTGGCGGCGGTGCGGGCCGAGGTGAGGGCGGCCTTGGCCTTGGGCATGTTGGCGAGGGCGTTGTGGACGCGCGACTCGAGGAGGTGGACCTCGGTGAGGATCATCTTGTCGTCGAGCTTTTTGAGCTCGCGCAGGAGCTGGTTGATGAGGGCGAGCGCGAGCTTGTAGTCGGCATGGTCGATGTAGAGGCTGACGAGGCGGGTCTCGAGGTTCTGCTTGAGGAAGATGCGCTTGTCGTGCTTTGCCCAGTCGGCGGCGTCGCGGGTGGCGTCGATCTGGGCCTGGGTCGAGTCGGGGATGGCGGCGAACAGGTCGAGGAGGGTGCGGATGAGCTTGGCGGTTTTGGCCTTTGCGAGGTGCTCGACGAGGGTGCGGCTCTGGCGGATGACGTCGGCGAGCTTGGTGGCATCCCTGTGGGGGGCCAGGGGTGTCAGTACGAGGGAGTGCAAGAGAGAGGGAGGAAGGGGCGGACCGGTTGTCGCGGTGGAGCTGGGCGAGGGCGATGATGGCCTGCTCCTTGTCGCGCAGGAGCTGTTCGTCTCTCGGGCCTGTTGCGAGGGGTGACGGTGTCAGTGCTGCTGTGACTTAGCCAGGGCAGAGAGAGAGGAGGGACGGACCTGCGGGGGAGGCGAGGATGGCGTCGAGTTGTTGCTCGCGGCGAGCCGGGTCTTGCTGTTCGAGAGCGAGCTGGAGCGGGGTCGAGGTGGAAGTGGAAGCGTCTGCCATGGCTGGAGCTTCTAGTGTGAGTGGGAGAGGAGGAGGAGGGGGAGACGACGAGATGATGATGCGGCCTCGCTCTCACTTCCCTCCCTCCACACACCGCACAGCTGCGAGCTACTCACACTGAGCAACACCACAACCCGCACAGCACAACCACCCGACCGACACCCACCCACCGACTCACCCCCCGTCCCGCTCTCCCTCGACCTCCGAGTCGTCCTCCTCCCTCGCCTCGCCTCGCCTCGATGAGCTCCACCACGGCAACCCCGGCTCCTGCAGCGAGCACCTCGACCGCACCACCCGTCGACGATGCCCCTCTCCCGATCCCCAACCTCCAACTCCCGCAACTCGCCTTCAACCTCTCGACCCCGCGACCCGACTCCGACGACCAACACGCCCGCACCGCCCTCCTCGACGGCATCGAGCACGACCGCAAGTCTCCCTTTCTCCTGCGTCGACTCTCCAGAGACGCACCTCTGACGACCCCCACCCTCCACAGACATGGCCCCGTACCTCGAGCACCTCGCCCACGCCGGACTCGTCACCGACCAGCACGACCTCCTGTCCCGCTTGAAGCAGCTCAACACGGACGAGCTCAAGCGCATCAACGACAAGCTCGACGACGCCACCTCGAACCTCGGCGAGACCGAAATCTCGGACGCCCTCAGGGAAAAGGCCACCTACCTCGCCCGCATCGGCGAAAAGGTGCGTCCCTCGCCTCTCTCGTTCTCTCTCTTGCCGCAACAAGGCCCTGACCTCTTTCCCCCCGACACAGGACGCGGCGGTCAAGGCGCACGACGAGGCGTTCGCCAAGACGGCCGGCAAAGGGTCCAAGATCGACCTCGTCCTGAGCATCGTCCGCATCGCCCTGTTCCACTCGGACCACGACCTCGTCATCAGCTCGCTCGACCGCGCCCAGAAGCTCGTCGACGAGGGCGGCGACTGGGACCGCCGCAACCGCCTCAAGGTCTACACGGGCGTCCACTTGCTCTCGATCCGCAACTTTAACAAGGCGGCCGACCTCCTCCTCGACGCCCTCCCGACCTTCACCGCGACCGAGTTGATCCCGTACGACGACTTTGTCACGCTGTGCGTCCTCGCCGGCGTCTTCAGCCTCGAGCGCAAGGAGCTCCGCAAAAAGGTGCGTCGCCGCTTTCGCTCCCTCGGCGACGTTCTCTCCTCTGTGCCGAGAGTCGTCACTGATCGACGCGTCTGTCTCACGCACGCAGGTCATCGACGCGCCCGAGGTCATTGCCGTCCTGCCCGTCGTCCCGTCGCTCAAGGACTTTGCCGAGTCGTTGTGGAAGTGCGACTACGCCGCCTTCTTCCGCGCCCTCGGTGCGTCGCCTTGCCTCTCTCCTCTCTCTCTCTCTCTCCCAGTCCTGCGGTACTGACTCTCCGCTCCCACAGCCACGGTCGAGGAGCACCACCTCCTTCCCTCGCGCCTGCTCGCCGTCCACGCGCGCTACTACGCGCGCGAGCTGCGCATCAAGGCGTACGCCCAGCTTCTCGAGAGCTACCGGAGCGTCACGCTCGAGAGCTTGGCGCAGGCGTTCGGCGTCAGCAAGGAGTGGCTCGACGCGTGCGTCCCTCGTCTTCCTCCTCTTTTCCTTCGACCCCCTCTCTCCCTCTCATCCTCGACATCCTCCTACGCCTCGACTCGACTCTCCTTCCCTCTAGTCAGGTTCAGAACTGACCCTCTTCCCCCCCTCGCCATCCTCGCCGTCCTCGCCCTTCCTCCCCCCTCCCTTCCCCTCTCTCCCCGCGGCGCCGCACAGCGACCTCGCGCGCTTCATCGCCGCCGGCCGCCTGCCGTGCACGATTGATCGCGTCGCGTCCATCGTCGAGACGCACCGCCCCGACGCCAAGAACGCGCGGTACGCCGCCGTCATCAAGCAGGGTGACGCGGTCCTCACGAGCGTGCAGAGGCTCAGTCGCGTCATTGGCTGAGGGAGGAGCGGGTTGGCGTGTAGAGGAGGAGGACGAGGGCAAAGGATTGTGCAGTGCCGTGCTTCGTCTCGAGTCGCGAGGCGCGAGCGGGAAAGCGAGAGCGCAACCTGACGGTGTTGAGGCCGCTCTGCCTGGTGCGCCTTGGTCCGTACCCTGCTCTACAAATGCTCTGGAGCGCGTTGTGTCTTTGCGTGAGCCGAACCAAGGTCTGCGGCGAGTGTGCGAGCGTGTTGCGCCGGCCCGCGATGAGATGGCGTCGGTCGTCTCGAACCCGCGCTTCTCGCAGCCGAAGCAGAGCGCTCCACCGCTGGAGACGCGTCACAAGCTATCTCTCGAGTCACCGCATGCGTTGCTCGTACGCCCCGACGCCCTCGACCTCGTCCTCAGCTCCCACCTCCGGCACCGCCTCGCGTCCCGCTCAACTCGGCAGTGTGCTCTACAAGGGCCCTGTACCGCCGACCAAGGGCACCTGGCTCGGCATCGAATGGGACGAGCCCTCGCGCGGTCGCCACAGCGGCGTATACGACAAGACCGGCGTCCGCTACTTTCACCCGCGGTCCGCTCGCCTCCTCTCCCTCTCTCCCTCGTGCCCAGCTCACCCTGCCCATGAACACACAGAATCCAGGGAGCCGGCTCGTTCCTCCGCCCAGACGCCAAAGGGCTCGACCTGCGCGGCAAGACGTTCGAGGAGGCGCTCCGGGCCAAGTACCTCGACGACGACGACTGCGGCGACGGCGACAACAACGTCCTCGAGGCAAGATCCGGGCCGCAGATCGATCCTCTCGACTCGAGCTCGACGACGCGGCGCTACGCGACCGACGGCAACTTTGACGTCGAGGTCGTCCTGTCGAGCAAGGTCACCGAGCGCTTCCACCAGCTCGGCCGGTTGCGCGAGGTCGGGCTCGAGTGGGAGAGTGTCAGCGCGGCGATGGGTGTCACGGACGATGGGGAGAGTCGGGCGAGGGCGCTCGGGGCGCTGCAGGAGCTGGGCAGGCGGCTGAGCAGTGCGTCCTCTTTCCTCTCGTCACGGGCCGACCGAGGGAGCGACGGGTCCCTCGCTCCTCAGCGCGCACGCCTGACACACACGTCTATCTCCTCTCTCGCAGGACTAGAAGTGCTCAACCTGAGCTTTTCGCTCTTGCCGTCGCTGCACGAGGCGGCCGAGGTCGCCAACGTCCTGTCAAGGCTCGTCCACTTGTCGCTCAAGTGAGCCGCACCTTCGACCACGTCGTGTTGAACACGCCAAAGAGACTGACTCACCACCTTTTGTGCAGCGGCAACCGGTTCACGCGACTTGTCGAGCCCACGCAGCTCCCCGGCTTCGCGCGCTTGCGCCGCCTGCAGCTCAACAGTACGCTCATGACCTGGACCGAGGTGCGTCCCTCGTTCTCTCAGGCCTCCTTGTTCTCTAGAGGCTCCAACGACTGATCCGCCTGTACCCTCGTGGCTGCAGATTCGACACGCCGCACCTTCGTTCCCGAACCTCGAGGAGCTCGAGTTTGGGCACAACCGTCTGCGCTCGTTGTGCGGGCCTGCAGGACAAGCCGACTCGAGCGCGTCATCTCTTCTGATCTTTCCCAAGCTGGTGCGGCTCAACCTCGAGGCCAACGAGTTGGGCGACTGGCACGAGATCGTCGAGCAGCTCAACTGCCTCCCGAGGTGCGCCCGCCATCTTTCCCCTACTACTCTATGGTCGTCGACGGTCGGACTAGACACTTATGAGTGATTGTCGATCGCCTCGCAGCTTGACCGACCTCGTCCTGAGCAGCAACCGCCTGTCCTCCCTCGTCCTCCCGGATTCCGCCAGCTCTTCATCCTCGCCGACCGCCCACGTGCCTGAGCCCCGCCACCGGCTTCGTCATCTGCGTCACCTCGACCTCGTCGACAACCTGCTCGACTCGTGGACCTCGAGTGTCGATGCTCTCGGCGCGTCGGCGCCGACCAACTTTCCCACTCTGCAGAGCGTGCGGCTGCGCGGCAACGGCGTCACCTCATCGAGGCCATCTACGACAGCCGACGATCCCGCCAACGCGGTACCCGACCGGCGCGCCGCTGAAGCGCAGCCCTCGCCCGCCTCGAACCCCGACCTCGCTCACGACCTCGATCAGCCGCCCCACCCTGAGCCCGCCTCGCCTTACGGCCGCCTCCTCATCATCGCCCGCCTCGCCTTCGTCATGGATCTCGACGGCTCGCCCGTCTCGCGAGCTGAACGCGACGACGCCGAGCGCTTCTGGGTCGAGCAGCTGGCCAAGGGCGCCGAGGACGAGGCGCAGCTCGGCGAGTGGGCGAGGACGCGACTGCGCGAGGTCCGACTGAGTGAGTTACCCGCCTTGTTCCTCCTCCTCAGCGTCGCGCGGGCCTGACCCATGTCCTCGCCCGCAGAGCATGGCCAGGTCGAGCCGTCGAGGGACAATCCGGCATTCTCAACGTCCACGAGCTCGAGAGCCAAGCTCAAAGACCGCCTCATTCGTACGTCCTACTGCACACCCTTCTCTCATCGACCGCCCCTGACGTCAAGGTCCCTCGTCGCAGACCTGCACGTCCGCCTTCCCCCGTCGACTTCCCCTTCCCCCTCCTCGACCTCCCTCGCCGTCCTCCCGTCTCTCCGCACGCTCCTCTTGCGCGCCCAGATCGTTCGTATAGCGAGACTGCCGCTGCCAAAGAGCCAGTACCGCCTCGTCGCCGTCCTCCAGCCGGCCGAGGGAGAGACGGACGAGGTCAGGGTCGAGATTCCGCCGGCCGAGGAGGGCAAGGAGCTGAGCTGGTGGGGCATCGGCGACGGCGATACGGTCGAGGTCGTTCCGATGGAATAACGACGCGCTTCCCTACCTTTGTGGCAGCGTCGCGAGCAGGCTCGAGCCGAAGGACAGCGAGAGTCGTCGAGTCTCGCGGCCGTCGTCTCCCATCTCTGCGCCTGAGACTTTGACTGCAGGGATCTCGAGAGACCGCTATTGTCGAGCCGCTGCAAGGTGCCGCAGGCTCACGGACGAGCTTGTGAGCGCGACTTGGCTCTCGGCCGCTCGCAGTCCGCTTCCACCTCGACCACGACCGCCTCGGCTCCTCGACAGCCTCGAGAGGCGCACGAGCTACTGCTGCACCCTCAGTACAGCCCGTGTGCGCTACCACCGCGCCCACGATGCAGGTGCCGGCGTCCCAGTCCGCCTCATCTCTCCTCCTGTCGGCCCGACCACCGCACCGGTTCTCGTGCGGCTGCGGCGCGCTCGACGTGCTCGTGACGCCCCGAAGCTTCTCGGCAGCAGCCCACGCCGTACCGCATGCGCCGTCCGAGCCGGGGCTCGCCCACGGCGCCGTCCTCGAGCTCCTCGGCCCGCCAGGAATCGGCAAGACGCGGGCTCTGCTCGGCTTTGTCCTCGCCGAGCGCTTCAGAGAGCGAGGTGGAGAGGTTCTCGTCATTGGTGCGTCCCTCCAACGATCCTGCATCGAGGAGGAGCCCGGGTCCTGACTCAGTCCTCCTCTGCGACCTGCAGATGCCGACGGAGCCCTCCTCCCGTCCTTGATCAGCGACACGGCCAGGCTCTACGCACAACACAACAGCTGTACGTCTCGTCTTCCGCCTGCAGATGCGGTAGAGCGTCCTGACCCAGATCCTGCCCGCGCACCCGCAGACCACGACTCGGACGTTCAAGCTGTTCTCGAGGGCGTCCGGTACCGCCGCATCGACTCGGCATGGCTGCTCATCGCCTTCTTTCGGACGCTCGAGGGCTGGCTACAAGAACATCCCAACGTGAGCCCGCCTGCTCCCCTCGTCCTCCCCTTCCTTCCCCCTCCGACCCTGCATCCCTCGCACCGCCGAACGCCCGCGCTCGTCCGCCTGTCGCGGTCTAGAGAGCGCAAAGCTGACAGCTCTTTCTCACCAGGTCAACCTCGTCATCGTCGACTCGCTGTCGGCGCACCTGCGGCCGACGCTCGACTCGGCAACTCGCACTCTCATCGCTGAGACCGTGCGCGCCGCGCTTTCCGCCGTCTGCGCCAATGGGTCCGTCTCGGTGAGTCGCTTCTTCTCCTCGTACGTGCTCAGGGGACCTCACGCTCACCGAGGTCGCGCGCTCCCCGCAGGTCATCCTCTCGACGCACCTGTCGCTCAAGCTCTTTGGGCCCGATCAGCGCCCGAGCAGTTGGTCGCGCGACGCCGAGGCGCTCCTCGTGCCGCAGATTGCCGAGCGGTGGATCCCGCAGGAGGTCAACGCGTGGCGGGTCTTGCTCTACTACGACGAGCGCGGCGAGAGGTGCGTCCTCTGCGTCCTTGATCGTCCTCTTTGCGAGCGACAACTCACGCTCGTTTCACGTTCCGCAGGCTCGCGAGCACGCTCTCGTCGCCTACACCGACCCTGGCGACCCAAGCCTCATTCGCAATGGACGTGCGTCCTCTTCTCCCTCCTCTCGATCCCGGTCGTGCACGATCGAGCCCTGACTCGGACGTTCCCTCTCTGCGCAGGCTCTCGGCCCGTGCGACGTGCCCGAGGCACCTCTCGAACAGAGCTCGTCGCCTTCATGATCGCCCTCGCCCTCTCGCAAACCGGCTAGGAAATTCTCGCGAGCACGCGATCGCGATACAGACTCGTTCCTCGTCCCATCTACGCCGCCTCGACCACCCTGAACGCGACCGCGGCGCCCTCCCTCCCCCTGCGGTCCGTCTTGACCGTCTGCTTGCTCACGAGGGCATAGATCGCCGTCGTCCCCATCTCCTCGGTCCACCCTCGGCCCTTGGCGAATGCGCCGAGGTGCGCCTTGAGCGCCGTCATGCCGAGGTGCGGCGTCTTGCGCGTCGAGCCGAGGAGCGAGTCGCGCAGGATGATGGCGAGCGGCGGCAGGGCGGACGAGGCCGAGGGCGGAGGCGGAGGAGGAGCGCCGCTCAAGACCGAGAGGAGGAGGTGGCACAGCTGGGCCTCGACGACTTGTGCGGGCGTCCAGCTCGGTGCCGAGACGTCGCCGTCGCCGGCGCCACCGGTCGTCGAGGTCGAGAAGGACGTGATCGAGTGCGACGAGGGCGACGACGGGCCGGCGTTGTCGGGCGACGACGAGTTGGCGAGGGCGTACTGGAGGATGGTGCTGCAGCAGGACCAGGTGACATCCGAGTCAGTTCCAGATCCGCGCGAGAGGAAGAGAGAGAGAGACAGCGACGCACAGAGTCTCCTCCCACCCGCTCTTGCCCTCGACCACCCGCTGCTCCTTCTCGGCTGCGCCCTCGTCCTGCTCCCTCGCCCACTTCCTCCCCCACCTCGTGAGCCCGTTGACCTCGCCGAGCGTGCTCCAGATCGTCTCGGCCGCGCTCGACAGCTCGACGGGCGTGACGCCAGCGGGGAGCGCGGGTCGAGCGGCCCTGGCCGGTGCGGCGGCGGGCTTGGCCGGCGAGCGGACGACGGGGACGGGAGGTGCGAGCTTGCGCGGGGAAGGGGAGGCCGCCTCGGCGGCAGGGCGAGAAGCCCTGCGAGCGGCTTTGGGCGTCGAGTCGCCCTCGTTGTCGTCCTCCTCGGCGTCGCGCCTCGCTCGCTCGTCGGCAGCGCCGCCCATGCTCGCCCTCGCGCCTCCGACGCTCGGCCTCGTCCCGACGCTGGGCCTGCCGGCGCCAAAGCTCGGCCTCGTACCGACGCTCGGGCGCCCAGCCATCAAGCTCGCGTGCGCGGCCGCGCGCGCCTCGGCGCCGATGGGCCGCCGAGCAGGCGAGCTCAGGACGCGCATGTCCTCGAGGTGCTGCGCGAGGCGGGCGCTGCGCGAGGTTGGCGCAGGAGCGGGAGGAGGGGTGGCTGAGCCGGCGCGGGCGGGGGAACGTGCGGGCGAGGTCGAGGTGCGGGGCTGAGAGGCGCGAGGGCGGGCAGAGGTGCTGCCGCCACGAGCACGGGCGACGACGGACGGGACGCGCCCGCCGCGGGTAGCCGTTGGGCCAGGGGCGGCACGGGAAGACGGCCTGCTCGACGAGGCGACGGCGGCAACCTGCGGGCGTTTGCGCGAGAGTTCAGTACGGCGCCTGCGTTCGACGAGACTAGGAGAGAGACGACGCACCTCGACCTCCTTGTCGGCCTTGAGCTGCTCGAGCGCAAAGACCTCGAGCTGCTCGCGCTTGATGGCGTCCTCGAGCTCGAGCTTGCGGTAGAAGGACGCATCGTTCTGCGGCTGCGGTGCGGTGCGAGACACAGGCTGCAGGCATTCGAGACTCGTCAGTGCATGGTCGACGAGGAGGAGGGCGAGGAGGGCGACGCACACGGCGCAAAGCTTCCTCGAGCGTGTTGAGCGACTGGACGATGCCGGCGTGCTGCGACTTGAGCGCTTCGACGTGCTCTTGCGCGCGAGGGAGCGTACTGCAAGGGTTCGCAAACAGGTCAAACCGTGGTGGACTGAGAGAGGACGAGGGAGGGACGCACTAGATGTCGAGAAGCTGCTGAGCCGCACGCAGGCAGCGGTCGGCGTCGGGCCCTCCTGCTCCTCCTTGACGCCTCGCCTTGAGAGGGCTCGGCTTGTCGGCATGTCTTGCTGCACGGCGCGGACCTTTACGCTTGGCGGCCATCCACTTGTCGTCGCCGGAGCTGGACGCGAGGAGGCCCATCTGCGCGACCTCGTCGGCGTCGTGCGGGATGACGTCGGCGGATGCGGGTGCGGGCTCGAACAGGGCGAGCTCGTGCGGGAGGGCGTCGCGCAAGAGTAGCGTCTCGACGAGCTCGTCGGGCCCGAGGACGGCGCGAGGGAGGACGGCCGACCGCTCGAAGCGGAGCGACCGCAGCGTGGCGGCAGACTGGGCGAGTGACGCGAAGGCGGCCGAGAGCTGGGGCGTGCTCATGGTGCCGGCTGCTCGAGAGGGTGAGGTTGAGGCGAGCGAGGCGTTGTTGTGTGAGCGCGGAGGGGGCAGCGACGCGCACTTGCCGGATTCGGGCGCCGTTTGTATGCGATGCAGGACTCAGGGGAGGCTCCTCACTGCATTTCGGCCAGTCGAAACTCAAGCCGCTGCACTCGCCCTCGCTCTCCCTCTCCTCCTTAGCCACCTCGCCTCGAAGCTTTTCTCGACTGGAGCGGCACACTCGACCATGCTCGTCGACTACCGCCCTGCACCAGCTCGCCCCGCCTGAGCCCGCCCTCGCCATTCACGTTCGCCGGCAGCTTTTCTCCGCGCTCGGCGGTCGCCCTCGTCCTCGACCCGCGTCACCTCGGCGGTGGGAGGGCAGGTGGTCGCGGTCGATGGTCGCAGGGACGACCTGGGCGAGTGCCAGCTCGGGCAGCGGCCTCGCCCTCGGCTTCTTTCGGTGCGCCCCCTTTTCCCCTCTTCCTCCCACTCCCTCCCTCGTCGCACACGGCTGGCCTAGCCTCGACGTGATGATACTTTACGTATCAAATCAAACTAGAGTCGCAGAGTCTGGTCTAAAGGACCGGGCGAAGCTGAGAACCCGTATCTTCTCTCTGATCTTCGTCGTCGTCGTTCCGGTCGGGGCGACGCTCGACGGCGAGGGGGGCCTCGCCCAGCCGTGCCAGCACACCCTGCATCCGTTCTCCCGAGCGTCGAGCAACGTACTGACCCACGCGTACGCCCACAGATGCTCTTTCAGCTTCGGCTCGCGCTCGCTCTCCTCGACCTCGTTCCCCGGCAACCACGGTCCGTCCCTTCTCTCTCTTTCCCTCTCCTCGATCCCCTCCTCCTGTGCGCAACGTGTGTGTGTCGCGAAGGAAGATAGAAATTACCGACTTAGTTCGTCGTCGGCCCTACGGGGCACACGCGGGCGAGCTCTTCGGAGACTCGTCTGGGCGGCGCGCACTTGATTGAACACGCTGGCTGCGTTGTACGACGCTTCACACACACGTTGCCGCATCGGCGGACCGGACTCGAGCAGGATCCACATCGAGTCGTTCGTCGCACTGACCCTCTCGTCGTCCCTGCCGCAGCTCTTCTTCCTCTCGTGCCCGCCTCTTTCGCGCCCGCAGATTCTCGCCCGTCGTCGAGAGCGCATCTCTACGTCCGGTGAGCCTTTCCTTCCATCCCCTCAGCCTCGTGGGAGACGACGAAACCCCTCATTTTATCACGACGGTCTTCGTAACCTCATTGCCGAACCTGCCCGCCACTAAACAAACTTTCGGGCGCATTCTGATCCCCCTGCACAACGCGCAACCCACTCGAGTCGTCGTCGAGCCGAGCACTGACACTGCCTTGCCTTTCGTCGGTCGCAGGCACCCGGTCGTGCGGCGAGTCAGGTCTCCCTCTCTGTGTAGCGCTCTTCGAGCTAGTCCTGCAACGCGCGCGTTCTCCTCTCTTTGTGCGTCATCGTCAGCAGAAAGCCGAGATAGATCCAGTCGACGACGCTTTCGCGGCTGCCGAGCGACTTGGCCGCTGCCGCCTCATCGTCGCTCCACCTCTCTCTCCCACCCGACCTCGATGTGACCCGCACCGCCGCTCTGGCTACACGCACGCCATGCCCGTCACACTCGAGCGCTTCCCGATCAACCCGACCGCGTCCGCCGCCCACGCGCAGCTCGTCGTCCTCTTCCCCGACTCCGACCCGGGCTTCATCGAGCAGTGCATCTCGCACTGGCTCGCCCTCCCGCCGCCTGCATCCGCCTCGACAGGCTCGAGCACCACCTACCGCCGCGCGACTAGCTGGACCACCCAGGCCCTTGTCGAGCGCGTCACCAACAAGCTCCTCGAGATCCGGCCCGAGGGCGAGTGGCCCCGAGCGGCGCCGCCGGTGCGGGGCAGGGCCAGCGGCGATGTGCAGAGCATCGCGAGCAGCTCGCAGGTGCGCCGGGCGTTCGGGCGTACGGCCACCGGGCGAGGCGAGGCCGGCTCGTCCTCGGCGGCCTCGAGACGGCGCGTGAGCGAGGGCAGGAGGGAGGACGTTGCGCTTGCGAGGAACCTGGCCCTGTGCGTCTCGCCCAGCTTCTCTGTGTCACGGCCGGTCACTCACGAGCAGCCTCGCAGGACGCGCCTCCACGCCATGTTCCCGCTCGTACCCGTCGTCGACCTGCGCGACCTCGTCCTCGCCCAGCCTCACTCGGCCCTTTTCGAGTGCGCCGACGTCCTCGCACGGCGCTCGAACATGCCGCTCAAGCGCGACCCGTCGACCGCCCTCGGTGCCGACCTCCTCGAAGCCGCCGCGGCCGCCTTCTCGCGCCTGTTCGGCGCCGTCGACCCTCACGCGCACTCTCGTCCTCGCTCGAGCCGCACCAAGAAGGGCAAGGAGCGCGCTCGGCCCTCAATCGAGCACAGCGACCCGGTCCTCACCCCGGCCGACCTGTTCCACTCGCCCGCGCACGACGCCGCCCTCGTCGCCCACTTTGGCGCCCTCTTCCCCGCGCTCGCGCCACTCTCGAGCGCGCCCATCGAGCGCGTCGTGCGCCGTGAGGGCGGCAGCTACGCGAGCATGCGCGAGCGGCTCGAGCGCGCGGCGGCCGACGCAGAGGACGAGCGCGACCGGCCCTGGTGGAGCCGGTGGATCGGCGGGCCCTCCAGCTCCGCGCGAGAGGCGAGCACGACGGCAACGGGCGGGTCGTCGGGCCGGCGGCGAGGGCTCGGGAGGACGAGCACGCGCGAGACGATCGAGGCGCACCCGCTCATCCGGCGCGAGGTCGAAGCGTTCGAGCGGGCGCAGCGAGGGCCGCCGTCGGCGCCCGTACACACGCCGCACGTCGAGACGGCACCTGCGCTTGACAGCGTCCCGCTCGTCGAGTGCCAGTGCTGCTTCGCGGCCGTTCTCTTCTCGCCGACGCAGCTCGCCTGCTGCTCCGACATCGACGCGCCCGCCGACCTCCCCTCTTCTCCGCCCAGCCCGTCAGCCCCGCCGCACCTCTTCTGCCGCGACTGCGTCCTCGCCTACGCCCGCACGTTCACGTTTGGCGGCGCCGCGTCCCTGCCGTCGGTCGCGCTCGAGCGATCGGCCCTCCCGTGCATCTCGGCGGCGGGCTCGGCGCCGTGCGGTCGCGTCTTCCGTCACGCCGAGCTCGTCAAGGCGCTCGACGCCCCGACGCTCGCCGCCCTCTCGAGCCAGATCACGTCAGCGACGCTCGAGCGCCTCGCCCTCCCCTCCTCGTCGTCGGGCGCGGCAGCAGGCGTTCGGCTCCTGCGTTGCCCATTCTGCCAGTACGCCGAGCTCGCCGACCCTGTTCCCGGTACACTCGCCCGCACCTTCCTCCCCGCCTGGGTCGCCGAGCCCTTCCCGCCGTACCCTTCTCAAATCCTCCACACCCTCCTCGGCGCCCTTGCCCTTCTCTTCCTCCTACTTCTCGCCGCCCTTCTCGCCCTCGTCTCTCCCGCACGACGCCTCGAGCGCGCCTACGCCGCGCTGCACCCGCCCGACGTCAGCGCCGCCCAGGAGCAGCAGCAGCCGTCCCTCCTCACCCTCCCCGAGCGGCTCCTCCTCGCCCCGCACCATCTCCCTGCTTTGTCTGTCGCCTACGTGCGCCGGGTCGTTGAGCGGGTCCTGCGGGACAAGGAGGGCGACGTGCGGCGCGTGTTCCGCTGCAGGAACGACGGTGCAGCGCTCGGGCCGGGCGATGGGCGACGAGGGCAGGCGTGGCTCGCCCGGCTCCAGGCGGTGCAGGAGCTCGAGTGGGGCGACGAGCAGGAGGGTGTGTCGTACGAGGAGGGCGAGGTCGAGGAGCGGCGCCGGGCCGCGCTCGTGCGCTTCCTGTGGGGCCCGAGCGCGCTCGACGACGCCGTGCAGGGCGGCGCCCGCGCACCCGACGAGCCGTCGGTGTGCGGCAAGCTCTCGTGCCTGCTCTGCAGTGCGGCCGTCAACCCGTCGGCGCCGTCGCTCCACGCCTGTCGCGCGTCGTCGTCGTCGTCATCGGACGCAGCAGCATCGGGCGCCGAGCCGGCGAGCGAGCAGGAGCAGGCCGAGGAGAGTTTGCGGCTCGCCGTCGAGCGCGCCATGAGCGACGCCGTCAAGCGCGACTGTGGGCGGTGCGGCGCGGCGCTGCAGAAGGAGACGGGCAACGGGGCCTGCAACAAGGTGCGTCACCTGCACCTCTCTATCCTTCCCTTCGTCTCCAGCCGTCGCCTCTTCCTCGACCTGACACTCTTCCGCCGACGACCGACGTGCAGGTCGTGTGCCGCTGCGGCTTCATCTACTGCCACGCGTGCCGGCGCGAGATCCCTTCCTGGCAAGGCTACGGCCACTTTTGCCCGCACCCTCGCGACCCGACTCGTGTGCGCCGTGAGGGCGACAAGGCGTGCGACGAGTGCGACAAGTGCAGCCTGTGGGACGAGCCGGACGAGGTCGAGCGCGTCAAGGAGGCGGTCGAGCGAGGTGCGTCCTCTTGTTCTCTCCCTTCTCGCCGACGTGTATCTCGCGGTCGGCGTCGCCGAACGAGCGCAGCGTCTCACTGACGCGGCTGTGCGTGCAGCCCGCGTCGTGTGGGCGGCCGAGCACCCGGCGTGGGCCAAGAAGGTCGACCTCGAGGCGCCCGTCGCGTTTCAGCCCGACGCGCAGGAGGTACCTGGTCCGTCCTCTTTCCTCCCTCCCTCCTCCCTTCTGTCCTCTCTCCCCTCCTCTCTCGCCGCTCGAGCCCGCTCGACAACGGTCTGCCCTCCTCCCTTCCTCGCCTTCTCGCCTTCCTCGAGTCATTCCTCGGCGCCTCATCCCGCGTCGAGATCCCTCTCGGCCTGGATACTGACCTCGCCTACGTCGTCTGCAGTCTACGAGTGGCTCGCCGACGGGTACGATGCTCTCGTCGAGGGCGTCGTGCGCTCGCTCGTGGCCTGAGCGGCGAGTCGGGCGGGCGGCAGCGGGGCTCGAGCGGTCGAGCGGCGCTCTCGCGAGCATTGGTCTCTTGCAGAGCCGCCTCTTGCGATGCGGGCCTTTGTGTAGACTGCAGTTCGAGCAACTCTGAGCCAGTTTGCGCCCCCTTTTCGTGCGCGATTGGCTGGCCCCGCTCACGTGGGGAAGTCTCGAGACGGAGCGGACCGCCGTTCTGCTCTCGCCCCTCGACAAGAGCACAAGCCAGCCTGCATCGCGCCAGCAGCTACGCACAGCAGGCCGCCCGTCCACCCACCCCCGTCGACCGCGTCCCGCGTCCGCCCGTCGCCCGCCCTCGTCCCGCGGTGCCCCGACTCGGAACGACCCGCCGCACGAGATGCCGGCGCTGTCGCAGCTCGACGTCGCAGCGGGCAACGCGCTGCTTGCCAACGCCATGCCGAGCTCGCTGCACGCGCACGCCAACGGGTCGAGCGACCACCTCGACAGCATCCTCGTCCCGCTCAGCACGGCGACGCGCCGTGGGTCGCACTCGAGCGCAAGGTCGTCGTTCGCGTCGTGGGCGGCGAGTCGACCGCTCAGCCCGGCAGAGAACGTCTTCTCGCAGCTGTGTGCGTCCCAGCTTCTCTCCCTCTCGAGCGCGGTCGGCGGATCCGAAAGTGGGACGAGGGCGGAGGCCCGGCCGTTCGTCTGGCTGACGAGCGGCCGAGGCTCGCTCGTCTCGCGCCTTGGTCCCGCTCGTGGGAGCTCGCCGACTGACACGAGCACCTTGCACTCCCTCCCCCTCGCTTGCCCTCGCTTCGCCTCGCCCTCGCCCGCGAAACGTCGCCCAAACAGATCCACCACCGCCTCACCTCCCTGGCCTCACGCCCTCGCCGACCCCGCCTCGCACCCTCAGCCCTTCGCGACCACCGCGCACTCCGCCAAAGGTCACGCCCGTCCTCGAGCTCACCCCGGCCGCCGCCATGCCGCCATCCGAGCCCGATCCAGCTCGCGCCGTCTCCAACGAGCCGCTCCCCACGACCGAGCTTCTCGGCACGCTCAAGGTCCGCGTCGTCGAGGCAAAGGGCCTCGCCGTACCCGACAACCAGGTCGCCAAGCCTTACGTCCTCCTCCAGTACGACCGCACCGAGTGCGTCCCCGTCTCTCCCTCCCTCTCTCGTTGGCTCAACCAGCTGATCGTCCCTCCCTGCAGTTCCGTCTCGCGAGAGTGGGGCGCGCCGCCGCCCGAGGAGCGCAGCGAGCAGAAGAAGAAGGGCGTCCGCCGCAAGGACGCGCCGACCAACGGCAAGGGCGAGGTGACCCGGCGTCGCGTCGTCGGCGGCGCCTCGGACCGCACCGCCGCCTCGTCCACCTCGACCGCCACCCCGACGCCCATCTCGTCCGCCTTCAGCTCGAACCGCTCGACCGCCGAGGCCAACCCGCCGCCGATCGCGAGCCTCGCCAGCGTCGACGTGCGCCCGCCGAAACCTCCTCCGCTCCTTCCCTCCAACTCGCACACGCTCCGCCCGATCGACCCCTCGCTCCCGGACGGCGACCCGTCCGTCATCGGCACGCCCTCGTCGCCCATCTGGAACCACACGGCCACGTTCGACGTCGTCTCGCCCGGCCGCACCATCCTCCTCTGCGTCTACGACCGCCTCGCGCCGCAAGGAGGCCCCGCCGGTCGCCTGCACGGCTTCCTTGGCGCGTGCCTGTTCCTGCCGCCGTTACTCGGACTCGAGGGAGAGGAGGTGGATCGAGGAGAGGACGGCGAGGGGCTCGATGTATGGGTCCCGTGCGTCTCCTGTTCCCCCACCAAGTCTCGTTCGCGGACGTACGGAGAGTCCGAGGACGAACACTGACCTCGATCTCTCCTACCCTCTTCCTCTCCTTTTCTCTTCCCTCTCGCGCCCTGCCGTCGTCCCGCCGCCCCCTCGCCGCTCGCTCCCCACGCCGCCTCGACGCACCTCCTTCGTCACCTCGACCTGTTCCTCCCTCGCCTCGCCGTCGCCATCGCCGCATCCTCGTCTCGCTTGATGCAACTGCCCCTCTCGCCCTCCCGCCTACCCGACTTGCCCGACTGCCGCACCGACAGAGTCACGAGCGCGCTCGACCCGAGCGTCGGCGGCGAGATTCGCCTGCGGCTCCTGTTCGAGCCTCTCCTGGTGCGTCCCCCCTCTCTCTCTCGCCTTTCCGTCTCTCGAGGTCTCTGTTCCCGTTACTGACCCTGCTGCGCGCCGAAACAGTCTCGCCCCAAGCTCACGGTCGACGACTTCCAGATCCTGCGTCGCATCGGCCAGGGCTCGTTCGGCCAGGTGTTCCGCGTCCGCAAGCGCGACACGAAGCGCATCTACGCCATGAAGGTGATCCGTAAAGCCTCGGTGACGACGCCCGAGGCGCTCGCCCAGGTCATCGCCGAGCGCCAGGTCCTCGCGCGCACGACCGACTCGCCGTTCCTCATCGGGCTCAAGTTCTCGTTCCAGAGCGACAACGAGCTGTTCCTCGTCATCGACTACAAGAGCGGCGGCGAGGTGTTCCAGCACCTGCAGCGCGACGGCGGCCGGTTCGAGGAGGCCAAGGTCCGCTTTTACGTCGCCGAGATCATCCTCGCCCTCGAGTACCTGCACGACAACAACATTGTCTACCGGTGCGTCCGCTCTGCTCTCTCTTGCCCCTCCTGTCAAGCAGCGCCTGACCACTCCCTGCCTCGTTCCTCCCTCGCAGCGACCTCAAGCCCGAAAACTGCCTCCTCGATGGCTCGGGGCACGTCGTCCTGTGCGACTTTGGCCTGTCCAAGCTCCTCGACTCGCCCGACGGCAAGTGCCGGACCCTGTGTGGCACGACCGCCTTCGTCGCTCCCGGTGCGTCCCCGCCTTCCCCTCTCCCTCTTCCCTCGCGCGCCTCGTCCCGCCCGCCATCTTCTCGACTCGCCCCTGACGCACTTGTCGCACTCGCAGAGGTGCTCCTCGACGTCGGCTACTCGTTCCCGGCCGACTGGTGGTCGCTCGGCGTCCTCCTGTTCGAGATGTGCTTCGGGTGGTCGCCCTTCTACGCCGAGAGCCGCATCGAGGAGTACGAGCGCATCCTCGAGGGCGAGATCCGCATCCCGAACAAGAAGGGCTACGGGCCCGAGCTGCGCGACCTCCTGCTCAAGGTGCGTCTCCTCGCTCTTCCTCCTCCCCCTCGACCCGACTTGGCGGCAGAGCCCTGACTCTGCGTCCCTGCCTCTCGCCCTGCAGCTCCTCGAGCGCGACCCCGAGAAGCGCCTCGGCAGCGACGGCGGCGCGTCGGCGATCAAGGCGCACCCGTTCTTCGCGCCCATCGACTGGACCAAACTGTCGCTCCGCCAGGTCTCGCCGCCGTACAAGCCGCCGACGCACGCCGATGACGACCAGCCCGACTACTACGACCAGGGCGGCTCGTGGTGCTTCTCGGAGGAGGCCCCCGGCGGCTGCTGGCAGACGCCGCCGGGCACGTCGGGCAGCTCGGGCGCGACCGGCGGCGGCCTCGGCGCGAGCGACTCGTCGTCGTCCCGCCGCCCGAGCAACACGCGCTGCAGCTCGGCCAACCTCATCCGAGGCTTCACCTGGCTCGGCAAGGACGCGGCTGGCGCGGCCAAGGCGGCGCAGGCGCGGCGCGAGGAGCGCGCCGCCGAGCCGTCCTCGTCGACGTCGTCGTCGTCGGCCAAGGGCGCCGCCGCCTCTCGCTGCCCAGTCGAGCGGGTCCACAACGGCGTCGACACGCGCAGGAGCTCGTGCGCGTAAGAGGCGGCGGGCGCGCGACGTTGGCGACCGCACCGACCCTCCCTCCCTTCCTCCCCCTCTCTCCCTCCCTCTCGCTCCGGCACGTCGACACTTTCTCTCTCTCTCTCCTCTTCGTACATACCGTGCCCTGTCTAGTTGTACCATACCCGCCTTACGCATGCTTTCCATCCTCTCTCTCCCACGGGCCGTCGTCGTAGACCGGATCTTGCGCGGCGGCCTCTCTCCCTCGTCGTTCTCGCGCGCTCTCTCTCGTTCGTTCCTTGTGCAGTTCCCGTGCAGTGCCAGTCCATTGCGCCTTCCCTCGCCCGTCCACGAGAGCTTGTGAGCCGAAAAATCGCGTTGGAACGCGTGCGAGGTGCCGGCCGGCGTCAGAGGACCGGCCCTCGCCCTCTTCTAGCACACCAACCAGCAGCCATGTCGAGCCAGAAGGCCGCAGGCGGCACCCAGTCGACCCTGTTCAGCTTCTTCGGCAAGCCCGCGTCGTCCAGCGGCGCCACGCCGGCCTCGTCCTCCCCCGCCGCGTCGCGCCAGACCCCGGCCTCGCGCCCGCTCAAGACGCCCACGAGCCAGCGCGCGAGCACGAGTGCCGGCAGCAGCACGAGCAAGGCGACCACCGCGAGCGGCAGCAAGGGCAAGGAGACGCCGGCGACGAGCGAGGGCGACATCCTCACCCTCGACGACTCGGACGGTGCCGAGGACCAGCACGACAAGGTCAAGGTGCGTCGCCGCCCCTCTGCATCTATCCTACGCGTTTCAGCGCCCCGCACTGACACTGTCGTCGCCTCTCCTACCGCAGGTGCCGTCGAAGCGCGCCGCCCCCACCAGCGCGCCCAAGGCGCAGGTCAAGGCCGAGGACGACGAGCCGGTCGCGGCGCAGGCCGACAGCGACGAGGACGAGGAGCAGGTGGCGCGCAGGAAGCGCCCGTCGCTCGGGCGAGGCGTCAAGGCGAGGGGCAGCATGGTCGTCGACTCGGAGGAGGACAGCGACGGTGCGTCACCCTTTCGCTCCCGCCATGCTCTCCTCGAACAGACACTGACCTCTCGTTGGACTCGCAGCTGCTTCATCGACGCCGCCCAAGCCCAAGGTCGCCGTCAAGGGCAAGGCGACGGGCAAGAAGGTCGGCGCCAAGGTCAAGGGCAAGAGCAAGGGCAAGGACGACGACGACTTCTCGGGCGCAAGCTCGGGTAGCGACGACGACAGTGCGCCCATGTCCTCCATCCTGCCCCTCACAAACTCGGGGCCCGCACTAACCCTCGCCGTCCCAACGCGCAGGTGCCGCCTTCTCCGACGCGAGCTCGTCCGCCGCCTCGTCCGCCGCCTCGGTCGCGTCGTCCTCCTCCTCGATCGGTCGTGCTCCCGTCAAGAAGGCCAAGCCGGCGCCGGTCAAGGCCAAGCCGGCGGCGAAGCAGGCGTCGTTCGGCGGGTTCGGCGGTGCGGATCGGCCGGCGTTCAAGTCGACGGGTAGCGGCAGCGGGAGCATCAAGACGAGCGCAGAGCTCGCGAGGGAGGTGCGTCGCCTGTTCAGCTCTACCTCGGCCGTCGTTCGCCGTGTGCGACGGCGCGTCTCCTTCCACCGTGACCCTCTCGGTCGCGAGGAGGTCCGGCACGTCCTCGTCGCGACCGCACTGACTCTCGGCTCTCGCCGCCTCCCTCCTCGAGCAGAAGGCCAAGAAGGACAAGCAGACCAACGAGGAGACGTTCAGCTTCCTCATCGACCCCAAGGACGTGCGTCACCCGCTCGGGCCCTCTCTTTCTCTCTCTCCCTCTCTCTTTCTTTCCAGTGTTCTCGAGCTCACTCGGTCTCTCGCATCCCGCAGGCCGACGGCATCCGCCCTGGCGAGCCGGGCTACGACCCTCGCACGCTCTTCATCCCCAAGTCGGCCTGGACCACCTTCACGCCGTTCGAGCGCCAGTTCTGGGAGATCAAGCAGAACCACTACGACACGGTCCTGTTCTTCCAGAAGGGCAAGTTCTTCGAGCTGTACGAGGAGGACGCTGTACGTCGCCCTGTCCTCTCGCCGTCGACCTCGCCGTCCCGCTCGAGGATGAACCGGCACTGACTCTTCCCCGCCTTTGCAGGCTATCGGGCACCGCGAGTTCGACTTAAAGCTCACCGACCGAGTCAAGATGAAGATGGTCGGCGTCCCCGAGTCGAGCTTCGACATGTGGGCGAGCAAGTTCCTGTCGCAGGGGTACAAGGTCGGCCGCGTCGACCAGTGCGAGACGGCGCTCGGCGCCGAGATCCGCAACAAGGACGACAAGAAGGCGGGCGGCAAGGCCAAGCCCAAGGGCGCCGGCAAGCAGGCCAACGGCAAGGAGATTGTCCGCCGCGAGCTCAAGAGCGTCCTCACCGGCGGCACCATCGTCGACGGCACGATGCTCACCGACGACATGTCGAACCACTGCGTCGCCATCAAGGTCCGTCTCTTTATCTCCCTGTCGTCTTCGTCGTCGTCGTGCAGCAGCAGAGCGAGCCAGGGTCCTGACGTCGCGCTTTGACCCGCAGGAGGACACCCCGTCGCCGACTTCGCCGCCGTCGTTCGGCATCTGCGTCCTCGACGCCTCGACCGCCGAGTTCTCGCTCTCGTCCTTCACCGACGACGCGTGCCGCACCCAGCTCGAGACGCTCGTTCGCCAGCTCAAGCCCAAGGAGCTCATCCACCAGAAGGGCAACCTGTCGGTCTCGACGATGCGCCTCCTGCGCAACTGCCTCGGCCTCGAGTGCCAGTGGACGGCGCTCAAGGAGGGCAAGGAGTTCCTCGCCGCCGAGGACGCGCGCGACGAGGTCGTCAAGCTGTTCCAGCAGGGCCTGAGCGGCGGCGAGAAGGCCATGGAGGTCGAGGGCGAGGACGAGGACGCGGTCGTTCCCGAGAACGTTCGCGCCATGTACGACAAGCCTGTCGCGATGAGTGCGCTCGGCGGCATGGTCTGGTGCGTCCTGCTCGTCGCCTCTCTCCCCCGAAACCTCGATCCGAGACAGCGCCTGACCTCTCCCTCGTCGTCTCGCAGGTACCTGCGCCAGCTCAACCTCGACCTCGACCTCGTCACCACCCGCAACTTCAACATCTACGACCCCCTGTCCAAGAGCGACGGCACGCTGCACCTCGACGGCCAGACGCTCGCCCACATCGAGGTCCTCCAGAACTCGCAGGGCACGACCGAGGGCACGCTCATCCAGTTGCTCAGTCGCTGTGTCACGCCGTTCGGCAAGCGCCTGTTCAAGGTCTGGCTGTGTGCGCCGCTGCGCGGCGTGGCGGCCATCAACGACCGGTCCGTCCCTTCTCGAGCCGGCTCGTCTCTCTCTTTTCCTGCGTCCTGACGCCCTCGGGCCGCTCGTCCCTGCAGCCTCGACGCCGTCGAGGACCTCCTCGGGAACGCCACGTTCGCCACTTCCTTCGACGTCATGGGCAAGAAGCTGCCCGACCTCGAGCGCATGCTGAGCCGCATCCACGGCAAGACGTGCCGCAAGGCCGACTTCCTCAAGGTCATTGAGGTGCGCCCTCGCTCACTCGTGCACGTTATCGGGTTCGCCGACTAACTCGTCGCTCCCGCAGTCGTTCGAGAACGTCGACGCCAAGCTCAAGACGCTCGCCGACCTCGCCGAGGACTTCAAGTCGAGCGGCATCCGCAGCCTGCTCAGCTCGGCGCCGGACGTCGCAGACCTGCTCGAGGAGATCAAGGAGCTGTACGACGGAGAAGGTCCGTCACCTCGTCCTCCTCGTCCTGCCCTCGCGAGGAGCCGAACTGACCTTGTCGAGCCGTGCGCAGAGCTGCTGCCCGTCCCGGGCAAGGACGACGAGTTCGACCGCGTGGCGCAGAACGTCGAGGACATCGAGGACTCGCTCGAGGAGGCGCTCGCCGTCGCCCGCAGCTCGCTCAAGTGCCAGCAGGTCGTCTTCAAGGACATCGGGACCAAGGACATCTACCAGGTGCGCCTCGCTCTTCTCTCCCTCTCTCTCTCTCTTCGTCCTCTGTCGTCGGCCCTGACGCGCCGCATCGACAGCTCGAGGTGCCCGTCGGCGTCAAGGTGCCGAACAACTGGGCCAAGATCTCGGGCACTCAAAAGCTCAACCGCTACTACACGCCCGACACGACGCGCCTCATCTCGGACCTCAAGGAGGCGCGCGAGCGCAAGCAGATGGTCGTCAACGACTTCCAGTTCAAGGTGCGCTCGCCCGTCCTCTGCCTCGTCCCCTCCTCCTTCTGGTCCTCGCTGACTCGCCCTTTTCCGTTCGCCGCCCGCAGCTCTACGGCGAGTTCGACAAGCACTACTCGACGTGGATGGCCGTCGTGCGCGTCGTGTCGCAGCTTGACTGCCTCCTGAGCCTGTCGAAGAGCTCGGCCGCGCTCGGCGAGCCGTGCGTCCGTCCCGAGATCGTCGAGAGCGACAAGGCCATCGTCGAGTTCGAGGAACTGCGTCACCCTTGCGTCCTCAAGTGCGTCCCTGTCGACCTCTTCGCTTTCCCCTCGAGCCCGACCTGACCTCGCAGAGTGTCCACAGCACGTCGAGCGACTTCATCCCGAACGATGTCGCCCTCGGCGGCGACGACGCCAAGAACCTCATGCTCCTCACCGGCCCCAACGTGCGTCCCACTCCTCCTTGCGACGACCTGCGGCGAGATCTGACCTTCTCCTGGTGCGCGCAGATGGCCGGCAAGAGCACCCTCTTGCGCATGACGTGCACGGCAGTCATCATGGCGCAGCGTGCGTCCCACTTGCTCCTCCCACTCTCCTGCGTCTCGCTCACACTCTCTTTCTCTCGCAGTTGGCTGCTTCGTCCCGGCCGCCAAGGCCCGCATCGCCCCGATCGACGCCATCTACTCGCGCATGGGCGCCAACGACTTCATCTTTGCCAACGCGTCGACCTTCAAGGTCGAGATGGATGACTGCAACAAGATCCTCACCAAGGTGCGCCCTCTCGCTCTTGCTCTCGACGGCGACGAAGCTGCGGCAGGGCGAGAACTGACTTTGCTCGAGCGCCCGCAGGCCACGCCTCGCTCACTCGTCATCCTCGACGAGCTCGGCCGCGGTACGTCGACGTACGACGGCATGGCCATCGCGTACGCCGTCCTGCACCGCCTCGCCACGCACACGGGCTGCATCGGCTTCTTTGCGACCCACTTTACGCTCTTGACCGAGGACTACTCGGTCCGCCCCGCTCTCTCTTCTCCATGCGCTCGAGTCCATCCTGACCCTCGCTCTCCTCGCAGTACCACCCCGAGTGCGTCGTATGCCTTGCCCTCGTCTCGATACTCGTCGCCTGACTGTGCTCGCCCGCAGGATCCGCCTCGCCAACATGCAGACGAGCTTCGAGAACACCGACGACGGCCGCGACGTCGTCTTCCTCTACAAGCTCGTGCGTCGCCATCTCCCTGCCTCGTACAGCGTTGCGCATCACGCAGGCCTGACGACGATTGGTCGCAGATCGAGGGCTCGGCGCCAAAGTCGTACGGCCCGCACGTCGCCGCCATGGCCGGTCTCCCGAGGTGCGCCCGAACCCTCTTCTCTCTCTCTACGCCCCGTCCTGACGAGCTCGTCCCCTGCAGCGAGCTCGTCGACCGCGCGATCGGCATCTCCAAGACGTTCGAGGAGACGTCGCGAGCGCGCGAGCTCAAGATGCGCGCCAACGAGGCGCTCCCGCTCACGCAGCAGGCCGACGCCGCCTTCCTCCTCAAGCTCGTGCGACTGTCGACTGCGGGCGTCTTGCAGGACGGCCGCGCCAAGCAGGCGCAGCTCCTTCGCACGCTCGAGACGGTGCGCAGAGGCGTCGAGGCCGTCAAGGTCAACAAGACGGTCACCGCGTCCGCCTAGCCACCTTCTCCTTCCTTTCCCTTCCTCGTCCTCTGTCTCTCTCTATTTCTCTCCTTCGCCTGGCGCGCTTGTCTCGTCGGAACCGCCTGTGCCCGCTTGTACCGTTTCTCGCTCCCCCCCTCGTCGCACCTTTTTGCCGTCATCATACCCCTCGCCCGCTTTCCTTTTGTCCTGCAACGATCAAGTGTGTCGCTCTCGCCCGGTTAGCGACTGTAGAGCGTTTACCGAGAGCGAGAGAGGCGGCCCTTGGACTCTTCGCCGCTCGCCTCTCTCGTCCTCCTCTCATCTCTCGACCCTCGCGGCTGAGCTCGCTCGGTACGGTTCGCCTGGGCAGCAGCACATCTCAGCAATCGCCTCCAGCTCTGTTCGCACCGTCGCGAGCGCTTGCCGACGGCACAGAGCGCGTCGCTTCTTCCTCAGCAATCCGCCGCTCTCGGCCGCTCTCTCGTGTCCTGCTTCCGCTTGATCGAACTAGGATGTGCTCGCAATGCAACTGAGCCCGTCTCTTGACCCAGTCGGCCTCGTAGAGCGCGAGTTGGACGGCGCCTTCTTCCTCGCGAGAGCAGCGCAAAGCGAGGCTCGAGAGCTCTTTCCCGCCGGTGCTCTCTCGTCAGCCCTCTCGCCAAGTCTCTACGAGTACGTAGCTGGCGACACATCGCGCGCAAGGAACGACAGCGTCGCAGTGGTCGTCCAGAAAGCCGAGCCGTGCGAAGCGAGCGTGCGGAGATTTGGGTCTCGACCGGCTCGACCCAATGTGGCGAATGGGCCGCCGAGCGGAGTGACATGCGGTGACATCGAGTGATATCCAGTGACATGCGGCGAATTGCCTTTCGAGCGCACGTCCTCCCCCCTGCGCTGCCTTCGCGAACGGGCCCGTAGCGCTCGCTCTGGTCCACCTGCAAGCTTCAGCAGGGAGCACGAGCAAGCGCAAGCGAGGCGAGCGCAGCCGAACACGAGAGAGCAGTGGCCGAGCGTCTTCGCTATCGCTCTCGCTCCCAGCTCTCGCACGACCGGAACGCGCTCGTGTGGATGCGGTGCGATGCAAAGATGTTCTACGTGCTCCTCCCGCAATGCTACACGGTCTGGACCGACGGCCGCTTGACCCTCTGCGGCGGCGGCGGCGCCTGCTGCTGCTGCCCTTGCGCCCTCGCCTGCTCGAGCCCCTCGCGCTCCCTCCTCTCGTCTGTCACCTGCGCCGTCGCACGCAAGGGCGACGAAGGCGCGACGCGTACCGGCGAGAGCGGGCCCGTCGGCGAGCCAATGCCCATGCTGATCGACGACGACGCCGACGACGCGCTGTACCTCGGCGACGGCAGCAGCGGCGCCGGCGGCGGGGCCCTCGCCGGCGGCGGCGCGACGTACCGAGGCGTCTGCTGCTTGCCCGGGGTGGCCGGCGTCGAGCCGGGCGGCGAAAAGGTCGAGAAGGCGGTGGACGAGCCGGCCCGTGCGCGGTTGGCGGACGAGGGCGGCGGCGGCGAGACGTACCGCGGCGCCTGCTGCTTGCCCGGCGTCGAGGGCACGGTCGGAATCGGCGGCGCGAGAGGCGGCGGGGAGGTGTATCGGGCGGCGGGTTGAGCGAGCGGGGCGGACGGGGAGCTTGCGGCGCTCGGCGGCGAAGGTTGCGGCAGGCGCGGCGGTGTGGCGAGGGGAGCGGCACCATGCGGCGGCTGGGAGAGGCGACGAGCGAGAGGAGGAGGAGGGAGGATGCGCTGGGTCGTCGGCGACGGGATCGACTTGGTCGGCGAGGGAGGGGGAAGAGGCTCGTGCGCCGGCTCGAGCGGCGAGGCGCGCGCCGTGGCCTCTTGCGGGGCTGAGGTCGGCGGCGGCGGCGGCGACAGCGGCTTCTGCGCAGGCGGAGGAGGCGTGGCGACGGTCTGCGCCGAGGCGGGGACCGTGCGCGCCGGTGGCGGTGCGACGTCGACAGGAGGCAGCGCCGCCGAGGGAGGATCTGCCCGACCCTTGTCCCGGTTCAGCTCCTTGAGCACCTCCCTCAGCTCGCCGACCATGCTCCGCTGCGACTCGACGCCGCCGCTGCCCTCGCCCGACGCGCCCTTGACCGGGCTCTCGAGGCTGCTGCGCCCGAGCGCGAGCGCCTCGCGCGCCTCCTTCATGCGGCGAATGCGCTCGTCTCGCGAGAGCTTTGCGCCTGCCGAGGCGCGCGCGTCGGAGCCGGCGACGGCCTCAAAGACCTTCTCCTTCGAGGGGGACTCGAGGCCGTCAGCCGAGTCGGGAGGAGGAAGGAGCGACGCCGACAGGGCAGCGTCGAGCATGGCCTGGCGGCTCGAGATGAGGTCGTCGTCGGTGCCGGTGTCGGACGAGTCGAGCGTCGCGTAGACGGCGCCCGTCGCGTTGAGCTCGTCGCCGACCTCCTGCGGCGCCTCGTCCTCCTCCGTCGACGCCGGCGCCACCTCATCGTCCCGCACCGCCTCAGCCCGCTCGCGCACCTCGACCTGCTCGACCGCAAGCCCGAGCGCCGCCCTGAGCGCGCCTCTCCCGTCCCGCCACCCGCCCTCGAGCCTCCTCACCTCGGCGCCGACGCTCTCCCACACCTCGAGCACGCGCTCGCGCTCCGTCGCGCTCCCGACGCGCGCACCCGCAGCGTCGGCGAGCACGACGCGCACCTTGGCCTGGAGCGCACGCAGCGAGAGGAGCATGCTCTGCGCGTGCGCCGCGAGGGCCGGGTCGACAGCGCTGACCGAGAGGGCGTGCGCGTGGAGCGCAGCGCGGCGCGGTGGAGGCGGCGCACTGGACGAGGAGGAAGGCGCGTAGTCGGCGTAGGCGGCGGGACGGCGTGCGGCAGGCGTCGGCGTCGGCGGCGCGCCCCAGGTCGGGGCGGATGACGAGGAAGCCGACAGCGGGTACAGCTCGTCCGCCTCGGGTCGGGCGTAGTACCCGCTCCTGCGACGCTTCTCGCGTGCATCGACGAGGGCGCCGCTGCCCGCTCCTGCGCGAGCGCTCGAGCCGGCGCCGGGCCCGCTCGCGGTCGTCGACGCCGAGGCGGGCGAGTCGGCCGCGGCGGCGCCGTCGGGGAACTCGCGCGTGTGCGCCTGGGCGACGTCTGCCGCTGCGCGTGCGAGTACGGCGCGCAGGGCGTCGAGGGGCGCCTCGGCCTGGTGCCACGCCGCGTCCGACTCGGCGTGGTCGAGCGCCTCGAGGAGGCGCCACAGGACGCCGCGACGCGCGTCGTGCGCATCGTCGAACCGGTCCTGCAGCGTGACGAGCAGGACGCGGTGCGTCGCCGCGCTCGGGCCCGTCTGGTCGCGCTCGCTCGACGGCACCGGCGGCAGCGACTCAAGGCCGCCCATGCTGACGGGCCGCTTGCGCCGCGCACTTGGGCCGCCCGGGCTCACGGCCTCGAACGACGACGACCCGCCGCCGCTGCCGCCGCCGTTGCCGCCGTGATGCGGGCCGAGCGAAACCCGGAGGCGGTGCTGCTTGCCGACACCGGCGCGCTGCGGCGTGCCGCTCTCGCCCGTGCGACGGTCGATGCCGCCGAACGTCGACTCGGTCGGGTGGAACGGGTCGACGCCGTCGACGAGGTGGACGCTGCTCGGGCGGGACGACGCCGACGGGGCCGACGAGCCCTCCTCCCAGCGCGAGACCTCGGTGCGCTCGGCGCGCGCGAGCGAGTCGTGCCGCAGGAGCTCGGACAGCGAGGCTTGCGGCGCGTGCGACTGGGACGAGGTGGGCGTCATCGAGGCCGAGGCCGAGGTGAGGGTGAGGAGCGGCGAGTCGGACGGGAGGAGGGCGTTGAGCGCGCTCGTCGAGGTCGAGAGGGCGTCGAGTGCCGAGGACAGGGCGTCGGCGAGGGCGTTGCGGAGCGCAAGAGCGCGGAGAGGAGGAGGAGGGGAGGACGGCTCGCTGTCGGACGTGCGAGGAGGGGACGCCTTGGACGGGCCGCCGAGCGGGGAGGGGATGCGTGGCGAGCGGGACGGCGTCGAGAGCATGGCCGCAGAGGTCGGGCTCGTCGGCTTGGGCGAGGCGAGGTAGCCACGCGCCTCGATGCGCGAGATGGGCGGAAGAGGGTCGGACCTGTGGGCGAGGGCGAGAGGTCAGGGTCCACCTTCCGCTCGGGCCTGAGAGGGAGAGAGGGACGCACAAGCCGAGACCGTGGGCGATGCACTCGAGCTCCTTGATGGCCGTGAGGGCTGTTGCGACCCGCAGGTCGAGCTCTTGAGACGCGGCGACAAAGTCCTCGACGGTCGCGAGGAGCGCGTCTTGCGGCGACACGGGGGCCTGGTCCGTAGGCGCCGGCGCGCCGTCCTCCTCCTCCTCGGCGACGCTCTCGAGCACGCCGCCATCGTCGCGGGTCGACAGGCGGCCGAGCGCGCCGACGAGGCCCGAGAGCGCCGCTTGAGCGCTGCCAAGGACGCCGCGCTCCGTCACACCCTGGCCCCTCGTCTCCCACCCGCTGCCCCAGTCTGCCGCCTGGGCCTTCTCCTTCTCCTTGCCCTTGCCGAGGCGCTTCTGCGCTGCGCGAGCGCGCGACGAGGCGGTGGTGGTGGTGCGGGGAGCAGGCTTGGGCCGCGCCTCGAGGGCGTCGAGCGGCGGGTAGACCTGGAGGGCGTCGGCGAGCTTGGCGCTGAGGAGGGCCGAGGTGGCGATGGCGTACTTGACACGCTCGACGGCGGCGACCTGGCGGCGGGAGCGCTTGACAGGCGACGTTGTTGTGGGAAGAGGTGGTCGCGAGGTGGAGGGGGACGGGTCGTGCGCGGCGTGGCCGTGGTGCTCAGCGGTCGATCGAGGCTTGTCGTCGTCGTCCGAGTCGGACTCTGCGCGGTGCAGGGGACGAGGGAAGGCGTGAGCGAGGGAGGAGGAGGCGGGACGAGATGAGGGGAGCGAGGCGGGGACGCACGGCGCAGGAAGCGGGCGAGGGGCGAGTGGTCGTCGTGGATGGCCTCTGCCATGGCCCTCGAGTGCGGCAGTGGCTCGCAGTGCAGCTCTGGCGCCAAGAGCGGTGAGTGGTCGAGGTCGACGACGCGTCGAGCGGCGGCGAGCCACGCGACGAACGGCCGCTCCTCCTCCTCGGCCGACACATCTTGCGGGCGCAGCGTAGACTCGAGGACGGCCTGTGAGCTCTCTGGAGGGTGCGCGCCAGACCGCGCCCAGCGAAAGCGAGAGAGGTGGCTGCGCCTTCCGAGACACGACCCTCTCGCTCCGCTCCCTCGCGCTCGTGCTGCGGCTGGACGATGCCGTGCGTCTACTTGTACATTCATCGCGACTGGCGCAGTCAGTACGAGCCTCTGAGGAGGGTGCCTGAGTCTCGAGGCACGCCGACGACGCCGGACTTGCGCACAGAGAGTCGCTCCTCGTCCTCTCGCCCCTCGTCACTCGAGCTTGCCTGGTGCAGCTCTCGCAGGCTTCCACCGCACCGCAGCGACGGGCCAGACGCAGCGCCACTCGCCGCAACCGCTCGCCCCCCTCGACCTCTCCTCCTCGGTCGGCCCCTTGTTCTCCCCACCTCGCTCTTCTCCTGTCACCGCGCCAGCCCATCGAGCACCCGCAACTGCGTCAGCAGCGGCACCACAAGACCTGCACACGCTCGCCGCACGGCCACGCCAGGTGCGCACCCTGTTTCTCGCCCCCTTTGCCCCCTCATCAGCGCGCGGGGCTCACCGAGGAACATCGCTCGCAGCAGCAGTCCAGCACCTCGCCGACCACGACCATGGACAGCACGTTCGGCTCGCGCCCGTTCAGCGCAGCGTCCTCGCGCGGCTCGTCCAGCATCGCCGCCGACCGGGCGCCGACCTCGTCATCCCCAGCTCCCCCTCTCCCACCTTCCTCGACTACCCCGATCGCCGCACGCGCACCCGAGCTCTCGCCGCCGACCCCGGCACCGTCGCCCCAGCCGACCGCGCGAGCATACCCGTCGCTCGAGGCGTCGTCGTCGAGCTGGCGGCCAAAGGGCACCCCGCTCGAGTCGGACCTCGCCCTTCTTCGATCCGGCGTCCCTGCCGTCCCTGTCGACCCCGTCGTCCCGCAGCCACCCGACTTGGCGGGTCGGACAACGGGCCGCCGTCGCCCCTGTCCGAGTCGGAGGTCGTGTCGCACCTGCGCGCCCAGGTCAACGCCCTGTCGCGCCGCGCGCGCGAACAGCTCCTCCAGGACCTCCTCGCCGACACGGCCCCGATCGACCTCTCGCCCCTCTACCCCCTCATCGTACCCCGCCTCCAACGCGACTTCCTGCGCACCCTCCCGCTCGAGCTCGCGCTCCACGTCCTGTCGTTCGTCGACGAGGCCAAGACGCTCGCGCGCGCGAGCGCCGTCAGCCGGCACTGGCACGCGCTCCTCCTCGACGAGTCGACCTGGCGCCGCATGTGTTGGAAGTCGGGCTTTGCGCCGCCCGAGAAGCCGGCGCCGCCACCGCCCGTACCCGTTCCCGCCGACGCCACCGTCCGGTACCTCTCCGACACCGACGACCGCTCCTCGTCGGCCGCGTCGTCCTCGTCGGCACCAGCCTCGTCGTCGGCCGTCAACAACGCGACGAGCCCGAGCACCCGCCTCGGCACGGCGGCGCGCCTGCGCACGCTCGAGTTTGGCGAGCGCGCGCGAGACTGGGACGACGCCCTGTTCACGCCCGCCGGCCGCGAGCGCCGCGGCACGCTCGACCGCGACGCGCTCGAGGAGATCGCGGCCCGCACGGGCGGGTACGCCGCCGGTTTCCCCGTCTTTGGGAGCGTATTCGGCTCGGCGCCAGCCGGCGGGTCGGTCGCGGCGGCGGTCACGGCGGTCGGGCTCGGCACGGGCGCCGACGCGATGGACGACGAGTCGGGCGCCGGGACGACCGGGCTCGGGTTCGGCGTGTCGGTCGTCGAGGCCGAGGGCGCGGCGCGGGCGAGCATGGCGGCGCGCAGGGCGCGAGGGTCGGTCGAGGCGGTCGCAACCGGGTTGACGTCGCCCGGCCTCGTCCCGAACGCGGGCAACCTGCTCTTCGGCGACGTCGACGCCGCCAACGCCGCGAGCGTGTCGCCCATGCCCGAGTCGATCCAGTTCGGCACGATCCCGCCGGGCCCGGTCAGGGCGCCGACCGGCCAGGGCGTCCTCCGTCCAGCCGCTCTCGACGCTGGCGAGGGCTCGGCACCGTCGGGCTCGTCGACCCACGTCTCGCCGACGACGGCGCCGCCGCAGCCGCACCGGCCGTTCTCGTACCGGTCGCACTTCAAGCTCGCGTACCTGTCGGAGCAGAACTGGGTTCGCGGCCCGGGCACGCTCCTGAGCACCCAAATGTCGGTCGACCAGGGCGTCGTCACGTCGATGGCGTTCGACAACGAGTGGATCGTCGTCGGCATGGACACGTCCAAGGTCCACATCTTCGAGGCCGGCCTCGGCACCTACGTCCGGACCCTCGCCGGCCACGAGCTCGGCGTGTGGTGCCTCACGCTCGTTAGCCGGGGCGGCGGGCCTCGGTTCGACGACGAGCTCGGGTGGGAGGACGACGAGGAGTTCTGCGCGCGGTACGGCGTCGGCCCGGACAAGGGCAAGCAGCGCGCACGGTCTCGCGAGCCGGGCACGCCCGCGTCGCAGGCCTTCTTCCGCACCGACACGACGCCTCTCGCCGCCTCGTCCTACTCGTCGCCGTCGTCGCCCTCGTCGGCGCGCCCTCCCCCTCGCCGCCGCCGCCGCTCGTCGACCTCGTTTGAGCCCGAGCCCGGCCCGTCCTCGTCCTCGTACCCCGACACGCGCTCCGGTACGCGCCCGACCACGTGCGGCGGCATGGGCCTCGGCGCCGGTGGGCCGACGGGCGACTCGACGCAGCAGGGCGGGATCTGCGGGACGGCGAGGGGGTGGGGCCAGGCGGGCGCGGTCGTCGTCAGCGGCGGGAGCGACAGGAACGTCAGGGTGTGGGACGTCGCGACCGGGTGCGTCCGAGCGCTTCCTCTGCCTCTCGAGTTCTGCCGTGCCCGGCGGCGCTCGAGCCCACCCTTCCCTTGCCCTTACACGCACTGACCACCCTTTCTCTCACCCACAGTCGCTGCCTGCACGTCCTCCCGGGCCACACGTCGACCGTCCGGTGCCTGCGCGTCCTCGATGCGCGTCCTGTCGCCGTCTCGGGCTCGCGCGACGGCTCGATCCGCGTGTGGGACATTGAGCGAGGGCTCGCCCTGCGCCTGCTGAGCGGGCACCGCAAGAGCGTACGCGCCATCGAGGTGTGCGGCAACAAGATCGTGAGCGGGTCGTACGACACGACGGCGAGGGTGCGTCCCCTGTTCGCCTTTTCTCCCCATCGTCGGCCTCGCCCTCGAGAAGGTTCCCCTCTCGATCACGGGCTCACTCTGTCGCCTCCTGCAGTTGTGGAACGTCGACACGGGCGAGTGCCTGCATGTTTTCCGTGGCCACATCGGCGAGATCTACGCGGTCGCGTTCGACGGCGCCCGCGTCATCACCGGCTCGCTCGACTCGACCGTGCGCGTGTGGAACGCCGAGACCGGGTCCGTCCTCTCTCCCTCTCTCGCCTCGCTGTCGTCGTCGTCCTGGACCTGACCTTGCGCGCGCCTTCCTCGTCCCCAGCGACTTTCTCGCCCTCCTGCAGGGCCATACGCTCCTCGTCGGCCAGATGCAGCTCGACCCGTACTCGGACCTCCTCGTCACGGCCGGCTCGGACGGGACCGTCATGGTCTACTCGCTCACGACGTACGAGGCGCTGCACCGCATCAAGGCGCACTCGCAGAGCGTCACGAGCCTCCAGTTCGACGAGCGCTTCATCCTCTCGGGCGGCAACGACGGCCGGCTCAAGCTCTGGGGTGCGTCCTCGATCTCCCTTCTCTCTGCCTGTCACTCGTCGAGCGGCGGCACTGATTCGATGGTCGCATGCGTGCGCAGATACCAAGACGGGCGCCTACCTGCGGGACCTGTCTGACCCGTGCGACACGGTCTGGCGCGCGCTCGTCCGCGACGACAAGCTCGTGTCGCTCAGCAGGCGCGATGACCGCATCCTGATGGACGTCAAGACGTTCCGCGAGGCGGCGCCGGACTCGTGAGGAGGGTCCGAGCGTGCGAGGGAGGGGTTCTTGGCCCGCGAGGGACGGAGCGGCGACCTTTCTTGCGCTCTTTTCTTTGCCGTGCGACGCACTCTGTCTTGTGCCTCTTTCTTTGCAACTCTTGGTCGTTGCTCTCGACCTTGCTCTCGGTTGCGAAGGAGGAGAGAGGCTCTCAAAGAGGATTCAGCTCCTCGCATTCCCCTCGACGCTCGCACTGCTCGCACCGCCTCGATAATTCAGGTTCTGTCTACGCTCTCGCTCGTCTAGCTCGTCCGCCTGCCCGCTACGCCCGAGCGACGTCCCCGTCCCCGTCCTCGCTGTCGCTCGCGAGCGAGTCGTCCGCCTCGATGACGGCAAACTCGACGCCATGCTCCTCGCACCACGCCGCAACGAGCTCCTCGGGCCCCTGGCCCTCGCCGTCCTCGCCCTCGTCGTCTGCCGCGACCGCTCCCTCCTCGAGATCGACGCTCGCGAGCGTGTCCTTGTGCGCCTCGAGGAAGCCGACGAGGTCCTTGACGGTGATCTGCGGCGACTCGCCGATCGAGATCTCGCGCAGCGGCGCATTGGCGAAGAGCCGGAAGACCGTCGCGGTGAGCGGCGTGGCGATCTCGAGGGCGACGAGTTTGGGAAGGTCGACCGGCTCGACGTGCGACTCGTCCTCGGGCGCCGTGGCGGGAGCGCCGTCGAGCTCGAGCGACTCGAGCGTTGTCGAGAAGTTGCCGAGGAAGGTCTTGAAGGCGGGCGCGTCGCGGAAGGAAAGGTGCTTGAGCGGGCCCGAGAACGCGACGGCGGCGAGGTCGTCGTCGTCGACGACGTTGCTCGTGCCGAGGGCGAGCTCCTCGAGGGTCTTGCTCTTGGCGAGGGCCGCGACGAAGGCTCTGCGCTGCTCGGCGACCGTCTCGGCATCGCGCCCGTCCTCAAGGACGAAGCGCTCGCGCTCGAACCTCTCGTTCTCGCTGCAAGCCGCCCGAGAGGAGGACTGAGCGCGTTGCACAACTCTCGACGACGACGACACCGTTCGTTCCCACTCTAGGCGTCGCTGCCGGCGCTCCCGCCTCTACACAAAGACGACGCGACCCGTCCGCTCGAGCCTGCGCTTCACATGCTCGAGCGATTCCGGCCCCTCGGCCGCCGCCACGCGCATGAGGTACCGGAGCTTCTCCCGCAGGGACGCGGTCTCGGCGTCCAGCCCGTCCTCGGCGCCCGAGCCGCGCGAGTCGGGACGCTCGTCGCCATCCCACACGGGCTCGGCCGCGCTGCCGCCGTAGGTGCGCTCGTCAAAGCCGACCATGCAGTCGACGCCGAGCTCCTCGCACTCGAACCGGATGTCGTCGTGGGCCTCGCGAGTGAGCTCGACGCCGTGGTGGCACTCGCCCCAGTGGTCCGTGCCCTGGATCGCCTCGAGGCTGATGAAGACGCGCTCGAGCGTCGCGGCATGCGCGCGCAGGAAGGCGAGGAGGGCGATCGGGTCGTCCGCGATCGACGGGAAGAAGTCGAGGCGAAAGAAGGACAGGGGCATGGTCGGCGACAGGAGGCGGAAGAAGAACGCCGACTCGAAATCGGTCCCGACGCCGAGCGTCTTCAGGTGCGGCAGCTCGAGGCTCGTGCCGTCGTCGACGGGCCACAGGTCCGACGAGGCCCAGTTGCCGAGGTTGAGGTCGAGCGAGACGAGCGTCGACGAGAAGTGGACGAGGAAGGCGGCGAGTGCGTCGAACGAGATGTCGGCCTCGGCGCTCACGAGCTCGATGCCCTCGAGCGGTGACGGGATGGCGATGGCGCGCTCGAGGAACGCCGTGCTGACGAGCCTCGTGCCCTTGATGCGCAGGTTCTTGAGGTGCGCGAACCGCGACAGGCTCTCGGCGAGCTTGATCGAGTCCGAGGCGAGCGGCGGCGCCTTGCTGTGGACGAACAGCGACTCGAGGTGCGGCTGACGCTGGAGGAACGCAAAGTCGCGAGCGCCGTACGACGACGTGGCGACCGTCGCGATGCGCAGGTGCTCGAGCTGGAAGACGCTGTCGGGCTGCTGGCGGAGCTCGGTCATGGCGACCTCCTCGACGTTGTCGCACATGCGGAAGACGCGCGACGCGACCCTGTCGCGAGCTCGCGCGTCCGGGTTGTAGAGCGGGGAGCCGCAGCAGGGCTTCATCGTGACGCCGCCGAAGGACACGATGCGGACGTGCGAGGCGTGCGGCGGAAGCACCTCCTCGAGGCGCTCGAGGGCGGCCTTGTCGAAATGGGCGAACGGGAGGGCCTGCGCCGCGAAAGAAGGAGCATCAGTACACGTCTCTTTGAGCGAACGAGGAGGGAAAGGGAAGCGCACCCGCCACAACCAGGAGGAGCAGATGTTGCGCATCTCGCGGTTGAGCGACTCGAGGCACTTGAGCTGGTAGCCCTGGGATGCAGCGCTCATCATTTGCTGTCGGTGCGTCCAGAGTCAGTATGTGTGACCGAGAGAGCTGAGAAAGAGGCCTGAGACGCACCTCCTTGTCCGAGATCTCCTTGCGAGCGAAGAAGCCGACGGTGACGGGCAACATCGAGTAGTCGCCCTGTGGGGCCTCCTCCTCGTCGATAATGGCGAGGACATGGTGCACGATGCGCTCCTTGACCTTGACGGGGAGGCGGGCCCAGGAGGCGGCGCGCGGGTCCGCGAGCGAGAGGTCGGCGAGGGACGGGGGCGAGGGCGAGGGCGCCGGCGCGGCGCAGACGAACGGCTGGGCGGCAGGGTTGAGGGCGCGGGACATGTCGTGTAGCCGGCGATGTGGGTGCGCTGGGCGAGGCAGAGAGTGAAGCGAGGCCAGAAGCAAGAGGCGAGCGAAGCAGGCCGAGCGGCGAGGAGACGCCGAGACGGACGAAGGCGTGTGCACCGCAAAGGCGAGACACAGCTGGCCGCCGCCTTTTGTGCAGAGCGCCAGGCGCTTTGCGCTGTACTGCTCGGCTAGCGACGTTCGCTGGAGAGCGCGCCGGCCGCTGCAACCGGCACTCGAGGAGGGCGAGGCGAGGAGGCGAGCGTAGCCGAGCCGCTTGCCGGCGTGGCAGCGGGTCGGCAGGTACCTCGACTGGAGAGCAAGCAGGTACCGTCTGGGGTTCTAGCGGTGATGGATGACCGCGAACGAGTGCGTTCGCGAGGACGAGGACGGCCGCACGAGAGCCTCGCCCTGCACCACTCGCTCATCGCGCCGTGCGAGGCCGTTGCTGGTCCAAGATCACGCGCAGAGCTCTCCACGGCGCAGCAGCCGCTCCAGCGAGTCACCACGACCTCTCCCTACCTCCCCCTCCTCCTCGCCATTCTTCATCTCTCGTCGCCTCCCCACCGGCGTCAACCTCCTGCAGGCGTAAACATGCACCCGCAGAGTGGTCATCGATGTACCAGCAACCACCAGAGCGAGTGCGACGCCATAGCGTTCCGAGTGCCCGTCGCCGCAGGGTCGGCTGCCACCGACGAGTCGCGCATCGTCGTGCCTCTGCTGGGTCGCCGTCGTTTAGGCGGGTCGCGGTCGAGGAGGCGGCAGTGTCGCGAGTGCCGAGCGGTGCGGGTCGCGGGCTCTGCATGGAGCCCGAGTGCTTCCTGCCTCGCCTTCCCCTCTCTCGTCCTCTCTTCTCGGTGGCACGCGGGCGAGAGAGCGTTCGCTGCAACGATGGTCTCTCGCGCTTTGTGCGATCGTCTCCTCTGATCTTGGTCGCGAGCCGAGAGAGAGCCCAGCGAGCGAGAGACAAAGAGTGAGCGAGAGCGCGAGGACCAGCAGAGCTCGCTGCCTGAGTCTCTCGACTGCTGCGGTTCGTCTGCGCGTGCACATGAGCGTGAAGCTTGCGACAGCGGACAGTCGGTCGACCTGGTTTGCTGGGCCTTGGCGAAGCGAGCCTCTCTCGAGCGCGAGCGGCAGAAGCTCGGTGCACGGACCCGCCTTCCCAAGTCCAAGCGATGAGCCGTGCGGCATTCTCTCTCTCGCTCGGCAGAATCAGGAGGAGTGATCGCAAAGAGCGCGAGAGGCCAACGTTGCAGCTGACACTCCCTCGCCTGTACGACCGAGGGGAAAGAGAGGGAGAGAGAACGAGGAAGGGGAGGGAGAGAAGCACTCGAGCTCAATGAAGAGCCCTGATGCCCCCGCTCAACTCGTTGCTCGCCACACCGCCTTCTCCTTGGCCTCCTCCAGCACGTCCAACGGTTCCGACCAAGCAGAGGCACGCGATGCGCGACTCGTTTACTGATGGCGGGCAAGGCGGGTTCGACGAGGTCAGTACGTCATCGGGAGAGGTAGGGCGAGGCGGGAGAGAGAACGCACGTCGAAGAGACCGAAGCTGCTCGGGAGAAAGGGCGATGGCGGCGGCAGAGGGTGGGCGAGGTTTGGCGAGGCGGGGAGGGCGGGCGAGGGCGACGAGGTGGACCCGGGGTGACACGACGACGAACGGGGAAGGGAAGGCGAGTGCGAGGAGTCGAATACGAGGGTGAGACGAGCGAAGGACAGGAATGAAGGGGAGGGAAGGAGGAAGGACTTGGTCAGTAACTCGAGTCGCCGCCGAGGGACGAAGGTGCAGGGAAGAGGGGACGCACCCCATGTCGTCGTCCGACTCCTCCTCGTCCTCCTTCTTCTCGTCGGCGGCCGGGGCAGCCGAGCTCGACTCGTCGGCAGCAGCCGGCGCGGCGGCGGCGAACGCCTCCGGGTTGGCGAGGCGCTCCTTGAGGGCCTCGGCGGCCTCGAACGTGACGTCGGTCTCGAGCGCGATGGCGAGGAGGTTCTTGTACGAGTTGACGAGCGAGTGGGTGACCGACGCGAGGGTCGGGTAGTTGAGCGCGAGCGAGATGGCGGCGATGGCCTTGACGCCCGACAGGAAGCGCTCGACGAGCTCCGACTCGTTGACGTCGAGGACCGACTCGGGGAAGAGCTGGCCGTCCGAGAAGATCGAGATGATCTTCATGCCGTACGTGAACGGCGAGATGCCGAGCATGTTGAGGAGGGTCGCCTGCGACGCGTCGACCTTGTTGCCGGCCTGGACGAGGTGGACGTCCGACGTGATCTCGATGGTACCACGGGCAATCTTGGTCGGGATGTTGAGCGCCTGGAAGAACGAGGTCTTGCCGGGCTCCATGCCGGTGTTGCCCGCCGGGACGTAGATGTCGTTGGGCGCGAACGCGTTGGCCTTGGCCGGGGCGGCAACCTTGTTCGAGACGATAATCTCGCGGATGTCCTTGAGGTCGGCCGACGTGAAGACGAAGCCGACGTTGCCCTTGACGAGCGGGAGGAAGCGCTCGAAGTCGGGGTGGTCGGCGAGGATGAGGCGGATCGCGCGGCGGACCATCGTGTTCTTGCCCATGAGGATGGTGCCGTTGCCGCGGACGGCCTGACGGATCTGGTGCATCTGGTTCGAGCCGACGTTGTCGACGTTGACGACGAAGATGGACGCTGCGCGGAGGTGAAACGAGGTCAGCGCCCACGCTCCCGCTCGCTCGATGGACCGCGACTCGAGGAAGGTGGTGCTCACAGTACGTCTCGACGTACTCCTTGAGGCGGGCGAAGTACGCCTCCTTCTCGTCGCGCGAGCGGACCATGATGAAGCTGGTGAGGTGGTGGTGGTGGTGGGTGGAGGAGGAGGTGGGTTTGGCAAAGTCTACCCTTGAGTCTGACCGGCGCTCAAAGAATTTAAAGACTTTGCTGCTGGCGGGCAAGGGTGGGTCGGCAGGGGGACGAAGTTGGCGCGAGGAGGGACGAGGAGGAGGAGGGGAGCAAAAGTCAGCGAGTGCTCATGAGCGGCTCAGGGCGCGTGGGAGAGGGGGCGACGGGCAGCGCCAGCGTCGCCGAGTGCCCTGCAGTGGGCCAGAGAGGCGGCACGGTGCCCAGGACGCACCTAGCGAGGCAACGATGTGCTTGGAGGAGAGCGAGGCGAGAGTCGGCCGCGGGCGAGGCGGCCGTGGTCGAGTCTCGGTCGCACCTTTTCCTGGTCTCCCTTCTTGCGCGCTCTCGTACTTGCAAAGTAGCAACCGCTCTGTCGCTAGAGAACTACATCCGCGGCTTCAGTTCCTCTGACCGGAAGGACTCTCTCGCGCACGGGCGGCGCTCGAACCTCTGTGCGACGACTCGCCGCTGCGTCCGTCCCTCCTGCGCTCGCTCATGGCTGCCGTTGCTCAAGGTCTCTCCGACGTCTGCCGCTGTGACGGATCTGCCGCAGGTGAGGATCGACTGCCGCCCAGACGGACGACCGTGAGTCGTGACCGCTCCTCCTCACGCTCGCCGACTTGAAATCTGCGCGACGACGACCAGCAGGAACGGAGCCGCACAAGCATCAGGGCGCGCGCGGGAGGGGGTCGAGTTCGCTGCGAGATCTCTTCGTCGTGGCGGCCGGCAATCGACGTCGGCAGCGACGGTGCCGAAATCGCCTCGCATCGTCTCCTTCCGACGCACGAGAGGAGTCGCGGACAGAGCAGCCTGGTGCACTGTGTCTGAAGGCACGGAACGAGCGTCGTAGCACAGCGAAAGAACGGCAGGAGCGAGCGAGCGAGCGGGCGCGAGAGTTTGAGAAGGTCCGAGCGACCGGCACGCTCGGAGCGGCATGTGGATCCAGGCACCGGCGGCCGTCTCTCCGCATTTTGTCGGTGTCAGCTCCAAGGCACGTCGGTGCACGCGAGCGGTCCCACCTCCCTCCAGCGAGAGCCCGAGAACGCGGCAGGTCGGCGAGTGGGTGTTCGTCCTCCTCGACCCACGCACGAGCTGGACGCCTGCCGAGCCGCACCACCGAAGCGCCACCGCACAAGCTCTGCCGTTCGCCGTTCGATCAGGCGCGACACGCTAGCGAAAGCTCGCTCAGCGTCCGGAGCTCCTCCCTCGTCGCCTCGCTCTCGAAAAGGTCGCCCTCGTTCGCCCTCTCTCCACCCACCGACTCCCGCCTGTCGACGCCTGCACGAGCTCAGCACTCGCAGCGCGGCCCTCTACACGGCCACTCGCGCGGCAGACGGTCCCTCGCCCGCTCCTCGTCGTTCGTCGGCCATCGACGCGCAGCCACGGTCCGCCCTCGTCAGCCCTCGCCGTCCCGCTCGCGCCGCACCAGTACCTCGTGCGCAGCAGTGCACACGCACCCCCCGTCCAGCACCGACTGTACGAGCCGAGCCGCAAGTCGCGCCGAGCCGTCCAACCCGAGCCTTGTCCGCCTCAGCTCGTTCGCAGCCTCCGCCAACCTCGACCTTCCACCTCCCTCTTCCCCTCGCCCGACACCCGACTCGCACCAGCCCGGTCCGCCATGTCCGAGAAGCGCTTCGACAAGGCGCCCGCCTCGCCGCAGCCGCAGCGCCCCCGCTCCGGCTCGCGCCGCGGGACGTCGTTCCTCAGCTCTCGGCACGTCGACGAGAAGCGCACGCCCGCCGACTCGCCCGCGCTCGAGGGCGACCTCGTCCTGCCCCCGCCAGCCGTCGCCTTTGTCCCGCCCGGCGCGGGCAACAAGCTCCAGGTGCGGTGGCAGAAGCTCAAGCGCCGCATCGGCAACGGCTCGGCGCCGTCCGAGAGCCTCGGCGACCCGACCAACACGACGGGCTCGGACGCCGGCTCGTCGTTCGTCGGCAACCGGCGCAACGCGCAGAACAGCACGGCGGGCGGCGGTGGCGGCGGGCGCGAGGAGGAGGACGAGCTCGTCGACGAGGTCGTCGTCGACCAGAGCGAGGAGTACGACTGCTGGAAGCGGACGACGATCCCTTCGCAGTCGGCGAGCCATCGCAACGGGACGGGCACGGCGGGCGGGACGGGGCCGATCGGGACGATGCCGAGCGATGGGAGCAGCCTGCGTCAGACGGCGTACGAGACCAACGGGCCGGTCGACGCCGTCGTCGGCTTTGCGCGGTATCGCGTGTGGCCCTACCTGACTCGCTTCTTTGCGGTGCGTCCCCTCTTCTGTGACCGTCTCGGCCTTGGCGGTGAGCGGCGACTGACCTCGTCGATCGCTCCCTTTGCAGCCGTCGTACCACGACCCGGCGGTCGAGGACGCGTACCAGAAGGAGGTGCGTCACGCCCTTCCCGCCTCTCTCTCTCTCTCTCCTCCCGCAACGTGTCCTGACGTCGACCTGCCTCTCGCAGTGCTGGTTCAACGGCAAGGGCGCCCACATCTTCGGCGCGGCCTACCTCACCCTGAACTGGGTCCTCACCGTCTCGCTGTTGCCCAAGCCGTGGTCGCACTGGAACGAGGTGCGTCGCTCTCTTCCCCTTCTCCTCGCCTCGCCGCAAAGGTGGTCGGGACTGACTCGTCTCGCGCAGGCCAACCTGTACGCCATCTGGCCCGCATTCGCCGTGCCGCTCCTAGTCCTCGCCGCGTTCGACGTCCCTCGCCGGCACAACAACATCTGGCAGGCCGTCCTCTTTGTCGCCATCCTGTTCCCGGCCATCCACAACCCGATCGACATGCACCTGTGCGGCTACTACACGGCGGCGGCGCAGTGCGGCAAGAAGGACTACATGGCGTGCGTCCCCTCCCTCTTGCGCCCCTCGGTCTCTTCCTTGACGATCTCGAGCCTGACCCGCTCCTCCCTCTCGCAGCACGCTCTACTACGTCTCGGCGTTGCCGGTCGTCGCGCTGTTCGCGATGGGCCAGAAGCGCATCTGGGCCGTCGTGTACGACATCATCTGGCTCGTCATCGTCGCCGTCCTCATCCTGCCCAACCGGACGCCCTACGTTCGCAACCTCGTCAACAGTGCGTCTCTCTCGCCCGATCGACCTCTTGATGCGCACGAGACTGACCCTTCCTCGCCAGTCCTCCTGTTCCAGGGCTTCATCCTCTTCCTGCACTACATGCGCGAGATGGCCGACCGGCGCATGTACACGATGCGCGCCGAGCTCAAGATCTCGTTCAAGGCCAAGCAGCGCGCCCAGCAGAATGAGAAGCGTCAACTCGACGCCAAGCGCCGGTTCTCGAGCTACATCTTCCACGAGGTCCGGGTCCCGCTCAACACGGCGCTCCTCGCCGTCCAGAACCTCCAGGGCCTCAACGTGTTCGACAAGAATTCCGAGTTCGCCATCGAGTACTCGGCCCTCGAGGGCTCGCTCGCCATGATGTCGCAGGTCCTCAACGTGCGTCCCTCTTCCCCTCCCTCTCTTTCCCCGTGATGACGACTGACTCGTCGATGAGCACGCAGGACGTCCTCGACTTCTCGCGCATGGAGCGCGGCGGCTTCTCGTCCGTCTCGCGCCCGTTCTCGCTCCACAACGTCATGAGGTCCATCTTTGTCCCCCTGCGACTCGATGCGGCCTCGCGTGGCCTCCAGCTCGAGACGTCGCTCGACCTGCGCGTCGACCAGCTCGCCGTCCGCGCCGCCGAGATCGGGCCGGGCGACGCGAGCACCGAGGAGGGCGACGGCTTCGTCATGGGCGACGAGATGCGCCTGCGCCAGATCCTCGCCAACCTGGTCTCGAACGCCGCCAAGTTCACGCCGTCCGGCGGCCGCATCGGCATCAAGACCGAGCTCATCTACCCGACCCAGGAGGACGAGCTCGTCAAGCCGCAGTGCCTCCCCGACTCGACCGACTTTGGCGAGCTCGAGCGCTCGCCGTCCAAGGGCGACGACGAGGGCGCCATGACGGACGACACGCTCGGCGGCGGCGCGTCGCGGCTCACGCCAAACCGGCTGCAGGAGCACGAGGCGACGACGGGCGCGGCCACGGGCAAGGAGATGATGGTCGTCCGCTTCGAGGTCTCGGACACGGGCGTGGGCATCCGCAAGAGCGACATGGCCGAGAACAGGTGCGCCCTACCTCCTCTCGCGTGCCCTCTTCCCACGTCCCGCCGTCGTCGACCGAACGAGGTTCGTAAACTGACTCGCCCTCTCCTTCCCTCTCGCAGGCTCTTCTCGCCTTACGTCCAGACGGCCGTCGGGCGCGAGCAGGGCGGCAAGGGCACCGGTCTCGGCCTCTCGCTCGTGCGCCAGATCGTCATGCTCTCGGGCGGCCGACTCGGCGTGCGGTCCAAGGTCGGCGAGGGCAGCACTTTCTTCGTCGAGCTGCCGTTCGCCATCGGCACGCAGACGCGCGAGGACGACGGGCAGCCGGCGCTCAACCAGACGGCCGTCAGGCGCCCGGGCACGTCGACGAGCACGCTCGAGAAGCAGCTCAAGGGCGACACGAGCGCGTCGACGGCGGCCGTCACGCCGGGCACCGACTCGTCGACCGCGAGCGACTACCGCTTTGTCGGCTCGCTGCGCAAGCGCTCGAGCGACCCGACGCTCGACAGCATCGATGAGTCGACGCCGTCGTCGCCCGGTCGAGCCGGTTCGCCCATGAGCGAGCCTCCTTCCCCCTCCGTGTTCGCCTCGCCGCCCAACGTCGCCACCCCGAACCTCTTCCTGTCGGGCCAGTCGACGCCTACCTCGAGCCCGTCGTTCACCCACCCGTTCGGCGGCTCGAACTCGACCCTGCGACCGACGCCGCACTCGCACATCTCGTCGTCGTCCGCCCCCGCCGAGGTCACTCTCGCCCCGAGCCAGGCCTCGGTACCCGTCGTCTCGCCCAAGCCGCTCCCGGCCAGGGCGACGCCGCGTGCGCTCGCGCCCAAGGCCGGCGCCGGCAGGCTCGAGTTCGCCGACGGCCCGCTCAAGGTCCTCGTCGTCGACGACGACACGCTCACGCGCAAGCTCATGAGCCGCATGATGCAGCGTCTCGGGTGCGAGGTCGAGACGGCCGAGAACGGCAAGATCGCGCTCGACATGATCCTCGCGCCGCCGCCACCGGGCGCCGTCGTCCCTGCTCGCGAGGACGAGACGTCGCTCGCCGACAGCGAGTCGCCTCGTGGCTCGCCGTCGCTCTCGCGCGTCGCCGACTTTGACGCCGCCGAGCGCGGTATGGGCGGCGGCGGCGGCATCATCGGCGGCGTGCTCAAGCACGGCGGGTCGAGGCGAGGCGGCAAGAGGGTCGGCCTGCCCGGCCCGCCCGACTCGGCGATCGGCGTCGACGCGTACCAGCACTACGCCGTCGTCTTCCTCGACAACCAGATGCCGGTCTGCTCGGGCGTGCAGGTCGTCCAGAAGCTGCGCCAGCTCGGTCGCGACGACCTCGTCGTCGGCGTTACCGCCAATGCTCGTGCGTCCCTCTCCTCCTCTCTTCATCTCTCCCTCTTCCTCTGCGACGTCGCCACTGACTCTCTTCCTCTCCCTCGCACAGTCCTGTCTGACCAGGAGCAGTACCTCGAGTCGGGCGCCTCGTTCATCCTCACCAAGCCGTGCGTCCCTCTCTCTCTCTCTTTCTCGAGCCCCTCCTTCACGTATACTGACGCTCGCCTACCGTCGACAGTGTGCTCGAGGCCGACCTGCGCAAGTACCTGCACGTCGCCGACAAGCGCCGTTCGGAGCGCAAGGACTCTGGCACTCGCGCTCAGCGCCAGGCCATGGTGACCGCCTCGGGCCCGGTCTTCCCGCCGATGGACCCGATCGGCCCCGACGCTGAGGACGACTAGACGTCCACGGCTCCTCGCCTCGATTCTCTCGGCTTCCATCGTCCTCGCCGTCTTTTCCCTCCCCTCTTCCCCCCTCTCGCTTCGCCCTATACGACACTCCCTCATCCGCCTCCCTGTCGCACTACCTACTCCTCTACACGCTCGCTATCCGCATCCCCTGTCTATAATGCCCTGCCTCCACATCGCAACTTGCCTCGTTCCCCCCGATCCTCCCCTCAGCCGACGCCGCCCTTCATACACGCACAGGCGCGCGCTCTCCTTCCCACCTTTGGTTGTACGATCTAGCTTCCCTCCCTCTCTCTCGTTAGTTCGCATGACTTTCGGCCGCAGTAGCTTGGTCCTGGTTTGTACTGCCTTTTCGCCTCGTCTCTCGCACCCAGTCCGGCGGTCCGAGCGAGCGAGCAAGCGCGAGAGCAAGCGCGAGAGCAAGCGCGAGAGCAAGCGCGAGAGCGAGAGCCAGTCGGCCGTCGGCGACGAACGAGCGAGACGAACGAAGGCGGACGAGCTCTCGAGGCTGCAGACCCTGCGCTTCCCTCCCGAACTCGACGAACGAGAGAAGCAAGCTGAGAAGGTCGAATGACAAAGATCGCTACAGCCCCTCGGCCGCCCTGCTCACCCTGACGACGTCCCTCAAGCACGCACTGAAGTCGACGACGACGTCCTCCGTCGCCGCTGCAGGCGCGCCGACAAACTCGACGAGGCAGTCAAGCTCGTCGACGACCCTGTCGGCGGTCTTTTTGTCGCTCGACGCGCTCCCGACCTCGCCGAAGCGGACGTCCGACGCCGCGAGGAGCGACAGGAGGTGCGTGTAGGCGTGCTGGAAGAGCCCGACGGCGTCCGGGTCGGGCGAGACGTCGCGCTCAGGGCACCTCGAGGCGAGGAACAAGGTGACGGCGGCTTGGTGGCTCCAGGCCAGAGCGAGGGCGGCGGGAAGGTTGGTCGTGTTGCGGTGGACGAGGTCGATGGCGCGAGAGACGTGGTGCCACAGCGACGACGTGTTGAAAGCGTCCACGTAGCGACGGCTGTTGGTGGCGGCGAGCGAGAGCTGCGTACGAGTGGCGCCGAGGAGGGCCGGATAGATCTTGGTGCGAGGCGCAGTACCGCGCAGCATGTTGATGCCAGTCTGTCGACGACTAAGCGTCAGTCGTTGGGCACGCGAGCGAGCTGGCGAAAAGGATGGACCGTGTCGAACTCGCCAATGTCGAGCTTGACGATGGCTTCGACCGAGCTCGCGATCGTCGCCTCGAAAGCGACAGACCGTCTCTGACTGGCTGGTACCGGCCAGGAGAGCGGAAGGTCGATGACCGACAAGAGGTGGTCGAGCTCGTCGTTCGAGAGGTCCGGGAGGCGGAGCGGGTTGGCCTTGCGGCGGCCGCACACGTGTTTGTGCACCGGCCAGACCTGCGCACACAGTTCGAGAGAGTGAGGAAAAGGCCCTGCTGGCCAGTAAGAGAGAGAGAGAGAGAGATGCCACGCACGAGCGTTTGGTGGTCGAGCGCGCAGAAGAGGATCGCGACGCCCTCGCGCTCGCAGCGCTCGCACACGAGCGAGGCCGGGCGGTCGCACACGCAGCAGGTGCGGAGCATCGTCTCGCAGCCTGGCTGGCTCGAGGCGAGAAGCGAAGCGCAGAGCGGCGACCGACGACCTCGGCGACGGACGGTCCGCGGACCGGGGGTGCGTGCGCGCGCTCAGGTCTTTCAGGAGCTACGTCCGGGGGGACCCGATCAAGTCTCGCGTGCAGCTCTGCTTCTCGTAGCGCGGGGCGCAGGACCTGCAGAAGCGAGCTAGACGACGAGAAGCCCGCGAGGCGAGCGAGGAAAGGCTACGCCCGCCTTGAGGCAGACGCGCCGCAGGTCTCAGGCCTAGCTCAAGCGAGAGCGAGCACAAGCGCTGCCCGCCTCGACCGCTCGAGGAGGTGGGAGCGAGCCGGCATCGTCCGGATCCGCACAGCGAGGGAGGAGGAGGCCAGCGACACGGCGGCAGCCGCTGCCACCATGAGCAGGGAGCGGGAGGAAATGCAGTCAAGCTCGCAAGCTCGCGTGGATGGCCTGGCCGACTGCGAGCGATGGCGGCGAGGGAGAGAAGCGGAGCGGAGCGGGGAGGAGCTGCCCCTTCAGCCTAAACTCGCCTCGCTCTCGCTCACACGCTCAAGATGGGCTGGTTCTCCTCGTCCACCACCGACTCGGCTCCAGCACCCACCGGCGCACCCGACCGATCCGCCCGAGCCCAGTGCTGGACCGGCCGCGACGCCTACTTTGCCTGCCTCGACAAGAACGGCGTCCAGGTGCCCGGCCAGGAGGACGGCAAGTGCGCACAGGAGGACACCGAGTACCGCAAGGTCTGCGCGGGCAGCTGGGTGCGTCCACACTCTCCCTCGAGCTCCCCTCGCCGTTTCCCGTCATCAGCTCCGCCTCATCTCTCGAGGCGACCTCGACGGTGGCAACATCGCCTGCAGTCGCACGACGTCCTCAGACTCGCCCGAGCAATCAGCGGGATGCACCACAGGCCATCTCGGTCCCGCAGAGCGAGCCACTGACCCCTTCCTCCTCCCCTCCCTCTTTCGCCTCTCGTCCTCCCCCGTGCAGGTCGAGTACTTCAACAAGCGCCGCGTCCTCCAGCTCCGCCAGGACCTCATGGAGCGCAAGGCCGCCGAGCAGATCCAGGCGCAGAGCGGCAAGCGGTGAGGCGGGCTCGTCGCGTCCTCGGCGGTGGTTCCAGGTGCGTCCTCTCTCCCTCCCTCTCTCCCTCGCCCGTCCTCCTGAGCGTCGAGCTGACGCTCCGACTCGCACACAGGCCGGAAGCGCGAGATGTACATACAGAAGGAGCTGCACCGCAATCTATCACCCGTCAAATTCCCTTCTCCCGGTCGCCCTCGAGAGTTAGAGAGCTCCTTCCTCTCGCCAAGCAAGCGTCGCTCTCTCGCCGCCGACTATGTGTCGGAAGGTCGCTCTTGCTCTCGGCCCAGAGAGGCTTCAGGCTGCTGCCGCCAACATGCTCAGGCTGGGCTCGACTGCTCGCTCTCGTCGCGACTGCTCGCTCTCCTCGGCGCTGCAGCCGCAGCTCTCAACGTCGTCAGGACTCACAGCGCTCGTGAGCTGTCACAGACACGAGAGAGCCTGACCCTGCCTCGAACCTGCTCGCCCGACGAGCCGAGACGACAAAAAGCAAAGTCGGCTCTCATTCCCGACGTCGACGAACCGCTCACGACTCTTGTGCGCTGCTCTGGCCTCGAGCCTCGGTCTGGAACGGACAGCCTGACGAGGAAGAGCACAGGAAACGAAGTGAACCGTCGGGATGCACCTCGCCCGCCTCGCTCCCGGACCGCCTCGACCGCCGCCCGCTCAGTCCTGCATCAACGCCTGGACGATGTGCCCGACGCGCAGCATGCGCAAGTCCGAGTACGTCTGGCCGGTACCGACGAAGTAGATGGGCTGGCCCGTGACGTACGTCATCGAGAGCGCCGCGCCGACCTGTGCGGGAGGAGGAGGACCGTCAGGGGCCTGAACTGCAACCAGTAGCGCTCTCGCGCTCGACCTCGGCGACGAGATGAGAGAGCGCGACGAGGAAGAGAAAGCGGCCGGACGCACCTTGTCGTCGATCGTGTCGAACTTGGTGAGGATCATGCCGTCGACGCCCCGGCCCTTGCCCGGCCCACCTCCTGCCGCCCCACCGCCTGCGCCCGCCGACCCGCTAAAGTCACGCAACGACCGGTTGAACTTGGTGAGCTGGTCGACGGCCTCGTTGCCGACGAGGGCCTCGCCGACAAAGATGATCTTGTCAGGCTGGTTGACGGCGATGAGCTGCTCGAGAGCGAGAGGGAGAGCGAGAGCGAGAACGGGAGAGGGTGGAGGGGCACGAAGGAAGGTCAGGGATAGGTGTCGTGCGCAGAGAGAGAGAGAGAGAAGGCGAGAAAGGAAGACGGGAGAGGGAGAAGGAGGGCGACGAGGAGAGGGACGGGACGCACCTTGGCGAGGGCGCGCATGAGCGGCTCGTTGTCCTGCATGCGTCCCGCCGTGTCGATGAGGACGACGTCGAAGCCCTCTTGCTTGGCTGTGGGCGGGCGAAAGGCGGGTCAGTGTCGCTTTGAGGAAAAAGGACCCGCGTCTGCGGCCCCGACGAGCGCAGTTTCGCGCCCGTCGCGGCCGAGAGGCGAGGAAAGGGAGAGTGGACGCACCGTACGCGAGCGCCTCCTTGGCGATGCCCGCCGCGTCCTTGCCGTAGCCCTTCTCGAACAGCTCGACCTTCTTCTCGCCTGCGGCGCTCGCGCCGGCGAGCTCGTCGTCGAGCTTGCCCAGGTTGCGCACGTGCACGCGCAGCTGCTCGACGGCGCCCGAGCGGAACGTGTCGCACGCGGCAATGAGGACGCGCAGGCGGTTCTGGAGGAGCCAGAAGGCGACCTTGGACAGGTTGGTGCTCTTGCCGACGCCGTTGACGCCGACGAACGTGATGGCGTACGGCTCGGCGCCCTTGTTGGCCGTGTTCCTGCTCGAGGCGGCGGCGATCGACGAGGCGGCGGCCGACGAGCGCTTGCGCTGGATCTCGAGGAGGAGGTCGGTGCTCGTCTTGGGCGTCAAGATGCGCACGAGCGCGTCGTGAAGCGCCTCGCGCACCGCCCGGCGTCCTGCCCGAGTCGACGACGAGAACAGGCCGGCGTCGACCTTCTTGCCCTCGAGCGTCTTGCCGACGCCGGCGACGACCTGCTCGGCGATGTCGCGCGCGACGTTCTTGGCCATGAGGTGCTGCTGCATGGCGGCGAGCGTCGGCGCGAGGTCCTGCGCCGTGAGGGCCCGGGGCTGCATCGACAGGCGCGAGAAGAAGCTCGACAGGGTCGACTGGGGCTTGTCCTTGGCCGCCTCGTCCTCGCCGTCCTCGTCGTCGTCCTCGTCGTCCGACTCGCTCGCCGCCGCACCTCGCCGACCGCGGACCTGGTAGTCGGCGACCTCGTACAGGCCGCCGTCGACGCGCTTGCCGAGCGCCGCCTTGTCGACGAGCGTGCGCGTGTCGACCTCGACGTCGTCGAGCCCGGGCGTGCCGGCGCGCGACGACGAGCCACGCCCCCCGCCTCGGGCTGGCGAGGGCGCGCCCGAAGAGTAGTCGTACGCGGCGAGGTCGGCCTCGGAGATGTTCGAGTCGGCCCACTTGGTCGCCGCCTTGCGAGGGCGAGGCTTGGTCGGCGTACCGTCGGACCTGGATGGGAAGCTGAGCGTCAGGCGAACGCTCTTTCGCGCCGCACGCAGAGGCAGAGAGTAGATCGAGTGAAAGGAGGCGACGCACTCGGACCCTGCCCCCTCGCTCTCGGTCCCCGGACCGCTCTTCCTCCCTCCCTTGCCGCTGCTGCGCTGCGCCGCCTTCTGCCGCGCCTTGAGCGCAGCAATGTTGCGCGCTATCGTCTGCGCGTCGAGTGCACCGTCGGACGGGCTGGCGAGGGATGGCGCTGCGGGTGGGGGAGCTGCGGGTCAGCCTCGAGAGGGAGAGGGAGAGGGAGGAGAGAGGAGGAAGCTGGACGCACTTGCGGCCTCGCTCGCAGAGGAAGATGGGCTTGCGCCGACGTCGATGACGCCGGATGGCGTGCGAGGCTTGAGCTTCTTGTTCTGCGCGGTCGGGCGAAGATGTCAGTGTGGGATCGGAGGGCGACGACGGCAGGAGGTCGAAGGGGGCGCACCTTGGCCGCGCTCGCCTCAAAGTCGCGCAGGATGCGGTTGAACGTCTCGTCCCAGCCCTCGAACAGCTTGTGCCACCCGTCGTTGCCGAACAGGCCGAACGCGGCCGCGTTGCCGACGCCGGCGCCGGCCGAGGTGGCCGCCGAGACGAGGACGTCCTTGCCGCGGGCGCTCGAGTCGACGATGGCCTGGACCGTGTCGCGGTAGGCGCGGAGGAAGGCCTTGCGGACGGCCTCGAGGAGGTCGGCGACGTAGGGGAGCGAGAGGATGCGCTGATACGCGACGCAGAAGACGAGGTCGAGGTCGTTGGCGAGGAGCCACAGGAGGGCGTGGGCGTCCTTGTCCCACCTCGAGACGGACGCCGACGACGTGTCGGTGGTGGACGACGCGCGCTGCTCGATGAGGGCCTCGCGGATGAGCGAGTCGAAGGGCGAGGCGGACGGGGTGAAGGAGCGGCTCCACAGGACGAGGCCGCCCTGGGTACTGCAGGCGCGTGCGATCAGGTCGCATTGTCAGTACGGAACGGTGGACCAGCAGCCTCAACGGGGGGAACAGAGGACGCACAGGATGCTGAAGTGGTCGAGCATGTGGGCCGAGGTGGGTCGGCGCTCGGTCGGGTGGGCGGTGCACTGGACTGGGTAAAGTGAGGCTGGCGAGTAGATCTAGGTGGTCGCTGATGCCCCAAGAGGAGAGTGTGCGAGCGAGGGGGGATCTCCCGCGGTTGATGAGTCTCTCACGGCTCCGTAGCACCCTCTAGAGCTCGCGTGACTGCTCCCACAGAGCCATGCCGCACACCAACAACCTCAACGGCAAGTTCTCTCGCCCTTCCCGCTCTTCCTCCCCTCCCCCTCCTCGTCGAGCTCACCCTCACCTCGCTCCTCTCTCGACACAGCCGCCGACCGCAAGGCCAAGCGCGCTGGCCGCAAACCCGCCTTCCTCGCCAAGAAGCCAAAGTCGAGCGCCACCCCGTCCGCAAAGGAGGCCGCCATCGGCTCTGCCCCCTCGACCACCGCTGCTCCCGCCGCTTCCGACCCGGCCATCCCCCGCAACCGCACCAAACAGACCGAGCTCATCCGCGCCTTCCACGCCATCGAAAAGCAGCTTGCGAGCCCGGCCCTCACCGACCCGGACGAGCGCAAAAAGCTCGAGCAGGAGCGCGAACGCCTCGGCGGCCTCGAGACGTACCAGGCCGCCAGCGTCCACGGCGGCGACAAGACGCGCGGCGGCGAGTCGAGCAAGTGGCTCGTCAAGCAGATCAAGGACCTCAAGATCGGCGTCGACGACAAGGACAAGCTCAAGGCCCAGCCAAAGGCCGAGCCCACCATCCTCGAGGACGGCACCAAGGTGTGGCCCAAGGTCGAGCGCAAGAAGGTGCGTCCCTCTTTCTCTCCTTCAGACTATCAAAACGACCGAACTGACCCCGACGTGCACCCGCAGCTCCGCCTCCTCGACGTCGGCGCCATCGCCGGCACCGCCTGTCCGTCCTCCCTCCCCCTCTCCCTCTCGTGCCCTCGACTGACCCGCCCCACCCTCTGCAGACGAGGGCTACCCATGGATCGCCCCGACCTCGATCGACCTCAACCCGCTCGCGCCGCACGTCGTCAAGAGCAACTTCTTCGACTTTCCGGCCCCCGAGAAGGACGAGGACAAGTTCGACGTCGTCGCCCTGTCGCTCGTCATCAACTTTGAGGGCAGCCTCGTGAACCGCGGTGCGTCCTCTCTCCCTCTCTCCCTCTCTCCGCTCGAAGTGCTTTCCTCGGGCCGCGAGCTCACGTTGTCCTTTCTCCTCGCGCAGGCCACATGCTCCTCCACGCCCACTCGTACCTAACCCCTCGCGGCTACCTGTACATCGTCCTGCCCCTCCCCTGCCTTACCAACTCGCGCTACCTGTCTCACGACCGCCTGACGGCTATCCTCGACTCGACCGGGTGGGACGTCATCCGCAAGCACGACTCGGCCCGCTTGACGTACTGGCTCGTCAGGAGGAGCGAGACGGGCCCGGACGGCGTCGAGTGGAAGAGGGAGCAGGTGAGGACTGGCGCGGGGAGGAACAACTTCTGCTTGGTGCGTCGTGCCCGCTCTCTTCTCCCTCGTGTTCTCCTCTTTCTCCCTCTCGCTCGAGCACTGACTCTCGTTCTCACGCCCGACCAGGTCGTCAAGCCCGGCTCGCCTGTCGAGCGCGGCGTCCCATCGACCGCAGCCTCGACCGCCAAGGGTGGCAAGGGCGGCAAGGCCAAGGACGGCACGGAGCCAGAGGTGGCGACGGCCGACGAGGAGTGAGCGGCGAGCGGGTGCGGCGGCATCCTCGTCGGGCGCGCCATGTTGTTGTACCATCACCTCCCTGCACTGCCCTCTCTCTTTCCCTCTGCGACGGTCCCTTTCCTCGAGAGCCTCTCGACGAGCAAGAGAGCACGAGAGTCGCTTGGACGCATCTCTCTCTATTGCATACGGAACGCGCTCTAGGCGTAGTACGCCGTCGGGAACCACCGCACGTCGACGCTGTGTACCTCGCCGGAGCGTACGAGGTCCTCGCCGGAGAGAAGGGTGAGGAGCCTGCGCAGGGGAGGCGACGCGGCGTCAAGACGAGGTTCGATTAGGAGCGCCGCCGACGAGAGCCGGCATCGAGAGGGAGAGAGTCCGAGAGGGAGGGGTGAAGGAGGAGCGAGAGGGAGAGAGTAGGGGAAAGACGAGGGGGCAAAGGAGAGGGGGACGCACCGTCCGACATTGCTCGCCTGCGCGACGACGAGCGCCTCGCTCTCGCGCGCCAAGAGCGTCAAGTCGCGCAAGAATGGGCGCGTGAGCGCGATGCGGTGCTGGAGAGAGGCCTGTGGGCGACAAGGGAGAGGGGCAAAGGCGTCAGGGGACCGTGCGGCGTTCAGAGAGCGCACTCGCCGGGACGGGCGCATAGGGAGAGAGCGAGAGAGAGAGAGAGAGAGGGAGAAAGGTGGACGCACGTCGCGGAACACGTTGGCGTCGAAGCCCGCCTCGAGCCCGTCGTCCACCGCTGCGTCCTCGAGCTCCTCGATCCTCGCCGCCACCGCCGCAAGGTCCACCAGCTCGACGCCGGGCAGCTCGCCCTGCTCCGCCCAAGCCTGCTGCAGCGCCGACGCACCTCGAGGGTCGTCGCTCATGGCGAGGACGGTCGGCGCGGCGGTCCCGCGTGCGGCGGCGCCGACGGCCCGAGCGAGCACTCGAGCATCCTCGCCCATCCACAGCGCGCCCTCCTCCCCACCGGCGCTCGCCCCCTTCTCGCCCGACGTCGCACCCGAAGCCCTCGCGCCGCACTCGTTGGCCCTGCCCGCGTTGCGCACCCGGCCGCTCGCCTTGAGGTCGGCGAACTCGGCGTCCGAGGCGTAGCGGACCGGCCCGTACTTGGGGTTGGCCGACTCGCGGCACTTGTCGCCGAGGCTGCAGGTGAGTAGTGGAGGAGAGGAGGAGGGAAGGAGAGTCAGGAGGTGGACGAGGCGAGCAAAGAGGAAGGCGCGAACGGACCGCAGGTGTAACCCGATCTTCCTCGCGCCCTCGCCCACAACCGCCTCGCTCAGGCTCGAGATGCTCGCCTCGATCCCCTCCTCGAGTCGCCACCACCTCCTCGCGACGTTGCTCATGGCGACAAAGACGGGCTCGAGCGCGGGCGGGACTGTTTGCGCGCCGTCGAGCGGGAGCGAGGGCGGGTAGGCTGCGAGCTCGGCGGCGTGGAGGTCGCGAAAGGGTTGTGCTGAAGATGAGGGGGAGGTGGAAGACGTAGGAGGGAAGAGGGAAAGGAGGAGGGCCGAGGTGTACGGGATGCTGTGCCGGGCGTCGTACAAGGGTGAGTCCACATCCTCGCCGCTTGACGGCAGGACGACAGACAGGCAGAGAGAACCCGACGCACTGGTACGCATCGGCGACATGGTCCTCCCTCGTCCAGGTCGGCCGCTCCAGCCCCTTGGCCGAGAACCGCTCAGGCCTCGTCCTGTCCCACTCGACGCCCGCAGCGCCGTTCTCGTCGTCGCTCAGCCGCGGGAGGACCTCGGTGCGCGAGGGGAGCATCTTGCGGCGGTCCGGGGACGAGGAAGGGAGGCGGCAGGTGCGGTTCGAGGGCGGGAGGAAGTAGCTGCGGGACGAGTGGCAAGGGTCAGGCTTCGAGCGGCGCCTATCTCTCGGGCACACGTCCCGCCGAGGCGCCTGCAGAAAGAAGGACGCGAAGGAACGAGCCGACACACTCGGCGATGGACCCGTACATCCAATCCTCCCGCTCGTCGGCGAGGAAGACCTCGTACCCGAACCGTTCGGCGACCGCCGCCGTGCGCACAAAGGGCAGGTACTCGGACGCAAAACCGCGCGTGCCCCGGAACCGGTACAGGAGGGTGCGGCTGCACTCGGGGAGCGAGGCGTCGCCATCGAAGCCGAGGAGGCGCAAGGATGGACGGGTCGGGGAGGACGGCGGCGAGGTCGACAGGGGGGCGGGTCGGGAGGGTAGGAGGTGGTGCGCGATGTCGAACGCGCGGTGCTTGGCGGCGGCGAGGCGGGCAGACCAGCTGGACGAGCTCTCGCCCGGGTCGACGTCGTCCTGCTCTTGCTCGACGACGAGGACGGGGCGGGCGACTGCGGCAGGGTCGAGTGCGGGCTCGACTGCTGGCGATGCTGCTGGTGCTGGTGACGACGACGGCTGCGTGGGTGCCGACGAGAGCAACGAGCTCGCAAAGATGAGGACGATGAGGGCCGCGAAGGCAGCGAGGACGACTGGCGGCCTCGAGCGGGGCGGCATGCGCTCCTGGTGCGACGGCGGCGGGGCCGGAGTGTCGTGTCGTGTCGTGTCGGGGGAGGGAGGAGAGGGGCGGCCGACAAAGGAAAAGCTCGACGAGGCGCAAGATAAGGGCGGAGGGGCGCGTGCTGGTGAATGAGCACGAGCCGCCTGTCTCGCCTTTGCGACCCGCGAGGCGCTCAGAGCTCGACCGTACGACAAGCAGCAAGCATGACAGGAACCGACAAGCAGTTAAAAAGAGAAGCTGAAGCGAGAGAGCTGGGCGAAAAAGCAGAGGCCGAGCAAGAGGCTGTTTGAGAAGGTCGGCTCGTCCTCTCTCGAAGCGACTGCTGCGGTCGATGCAGCCAGTCCACCGACACCGTCGCGACGGCTCTACTGCCCTCCTGCCTCCCTCTCCTTGGCGACTTCCTCCTCGACCTCGCGCACCTTGCGGCACGCCTCGCGCACGCGGTCGAGGAGGCCGCCCGGGATGCGCATGAGGCCCTGCTCGCTCACGACGCGGTACGCGACGCGGTTGGGCTCGTACGACGCGCCGACGACGCGGCCGTTCTGGACGAGGACGGACGCGAGGATGTCCTGCGGGTCCGGGACGCGGTTGGCGTCGGCGGGCGCGCGCTCGTCGGCGATGTGGCTGCGGGTGGCGCGAGTCAGGGACGGACGTGGACAGAGAGAGAGTGTGTGTGAGAGAGAAGAGACGGACAGGTGGGTGTCGTCGTGGAGGGCTTTGGCCTTTGTCTCGAGCCAGGGGTCCGACTCGACGTGCTCGCGCAGGACGTCGTGGACGAGCCTGAGCCAGTCCGGGTTCTCCTGGAGGGTCCTCGGGGTGATGGGCGGGAGGTTGTCGTCGGCTTGCGGTGGCGGCGGGGCAAAGGACGAAGGCTGCGAGGACGAGAGGGGCCGCAAGGTGCCGATGGTGGTGGGCGAGAAGTGGAGCGAGGGCGGGGGCGAGTCGAGGTAGGACAAGGTGTAGGCGCCTGGGAGGGACGGGTGCGGGTGGTAGCGGAGGCCCGGGTGGACCTTTGAGGCGGTCGAGGTGAGCCACCGCGAGCACGACGACAACGAGGAGGGCGAGGCGAAGCGGGGGCGGACGAGGGCGCGGGCGAGCATGGTGTCGGTGCTGGAGCAGTACGGTGGTGGTGGCGGTGCTTGCAGTGTTCTGGCTGGTGTGTGACAAGAGCGAGCGAGATGCCCGCCCGGATCGGCTCATCGCCTCATCGTCCGTCTCAACCGCACTCTCCCGAGCTCGTCCAGCAGTGGGGCTTACCTGCACTCGAACGAGCATGGCTCAAAGCCACTCGTACACCCAGTGCGCCCCACCTCTCCCTCTCTCCCGCCCTCGCCCAGGTCACCCAACCCCCCGTCATCCCCCTCAACTCGCATCGCGACCTCGTCCTGCGTGTGCACGAGCAGCCAACAGCACCACCTCCATCGTCTGGCCCGGTCGAGAGCAGCCCGCACCACCTCGAACCGCGCGCTGACCCCTCCTCCTCCCCCCCACCCACTCCCGTTCGTCCTCGCCGGCTCGTACGACTCGCCCGCCTCGCCCGACTGCAGCACCAACCAGGCCTACTCGGCAGCCCTCTCGGGCGCACTCGCCCACCTCGGCCAGCTCCTCGCCAACCCGCACTCGCGCTCGTGGAAACCCCTCGTCCCGCCAACCCCTTCCTCGTCCTCGGTCGCCGCCGCATCCCTCTCGGCCCGCCGCACCTCGACCGCCTCGACCGCGACCTCCCCCTGGGACATCTCGTCGTCCTCGCCGAGCGCGACCCCTCCCGCAGCCGCCGCCAAGGGCAAGGCGCGGTCGCGCGCACTCGACGGCGCCTCGTCCTCGGCCACCGCCTCGGACGACCCGCAGCTCGACCTCGTCAACGGCCTCGCCGCCCTCGACCCGACCCAGGTCCGCATCCACCGCAAGGCCGACAAGGAGCGCGGCGCCGACATCATCCGCGCCGTCGCCGAGGTCGCGTGCGACCCGGACCAGCTCGACCTCGATGCGCTCCGCGCCATCCTCGCTACGCCCGAGATCCGCAGCCACTGTGCGTCCCACAACTCTCTTCCTTCCGTCGACCTGCCGCGATTCACCTCAGGACACGCTCGCAGGGGACAAGCTCGTCGACTCGGCGTCGACCATCTCGCTCCTCGACCCGCTCACCCGCATCCTCAAGACCGACTACCGCCTCGGCTGGCCTGCGTCGCCCCGCGACACCATCACCATCTCGCGCACCTTTCCCTCGCACGACGGCAGCCCGTCATTGATCGACCTCGCCACGTCGCTGCCGCGCGCCGCCGACGAGCCGGCCTTTCTTCGACCCGCGCCGCCGTTCGTCAGGGCCAACGTCAACCTCATGGCGTGGTGCTTCCAGGTCGTGCCGGCTGCACCCCCGCCCGTCGGCGCCGGCACCTACTCGCCGAGCCTGAGCGCGAGCGCCCTCTCGTCCTCGTCGCCGTCGACCTCGCCCGCCGGGCCCTCGGCCTTCCCTGCGCACCTTCAACCCTCCTCCTCGTCCTCCCCCTCGACCGCCCAGCACCACTC